CTTACCGTCTTGATAAATGAGACAGGAGTCAGTTTGAGTACAACAGAGCAGCTTTATATTCTCCATGTAGGGAGGAACCCGTATCGGTGTGACTGTGCCCTAAAAGAGACTATCCTCTTTCTGAAGAGCCAAGACCACGTGTCTGTGGAGGACCCTGAAGAGCTGCTGTGTGCCACACCAGTGGCCCAGCAGGGGGCTCAGATAATGAGCTTGTCTCTTGAAACGTGTGAAGATGACCAGTGGGTTGCCACACAACGGCCCTCCTCTCTGTTTGACTCTTTTTGTAGGTTTATTCTCACACCTGTTTGCAGCATTTAGTGTCCCTGTTTAGGCACCACTTTCCAATAAGACACCCTTTACATAGGGTTTAACTAATGGCTTTATTATTGGTTAATAAATGATTTACTAAAACTTGCATATCAGTTATTAACCATTAATAAGAACAACTTCTGGGTTGCCAGAATGTGAAAAATCCTTTTTACTGATTGGATTGTATACCCACTTGCCTCCCCAGAAGGCTGCAGAGGATCAGGACCAAACTTAATTTGTTGACAGCTTATGAAGAGCACCAAGCAAAGCGATTTTCACAACCTAGCAACCCACAATTTGCTCTTTAATTTATAAATAACCTTTAATCATTATTAGTCACAATTTTTAACCCCATTTTAAAGGGTGTCTTATTAGAAGTTGGTTCCATTGCGTGTAATAAAATGGAAAATATAGAATAAATTTGTTTCTGTCACAGTGTCACATTCTTTTTTTTATCTCACCACCATTAATATTGCAGTATCTGTGGATATCTATATGATTTAAACTTGAATGATCAAATACATCTGAGAAATTCATACTTTTTTTGTAATGTTATTTTTTTATCACATATGTTTGAAGGAAAGTTTTCAAATTTTTTTTAATGTACAGTTGTGACCTCTCTTTCCGTCTTGGTAATTGCACCCTGGACCAGTGAAAGTAGATTCTGGCTCATGAATATTTCAGCGTGGTGTAATGAAATCCAGGTGACTCAGTGGCAGTGGTACACATACACATGGCCTGGCCACTGCAACCATGAACACACCTGTAAGTACTTTCTTTTTACAATCACATTAGCGTGCAAAGGCGGTGGGAAAAAATTATTTAGGGGAATTGAGAATGGCTTGTTTGATTTGATAAAAAATTTTTAACCAATTTCCATTTTTCTCTTGTGTGAGGGAGCTGAAACAGTAAGAGTGGGAGTTGTACTTACTACAGGTAAAACTAGGACAAAAATTCTACATCTGTAAATTTGCGAAGCTGCCGCTGGGGATTTGTGTTTAGATGTTGTTTTTAATGCACAGAGGGCAACGACTGTGTAGTCATTGGTGAAGAAGGACGTGGTGTGGACTACAAATCAGAAAAGGACGAGGTAAAAACATTTGCATGGTTACATGATTTGCATCAATCAACATTCAGCAATATGCTTTCTAAACGCTCTCACCATCACAATGTGATTTCCAATCAGGAAGCAAAGTCTTTCTCCTTTGACCAAGTTGTGACTCTTGACAACATACAGGTAAAAACTAGCTTCTGACCTCTGATTTATACCAATATGACTGTTCACACTGTCCACTAAGCTTCTTTACAGCTTTTCATCACCAAACACTGTGTGGAGACTAAAAGTCTGAATATAAATGTGCAGAGTTTCCACCCTGAGCTCCTGCAGCCTCTCACTGAGGTCATATCCAGTGGTTATAATGGAGCGCTGCTGATATGTGGAGCCTCCAAAGAGAAGATAGACTACAGTATCACCAAACAGGTGGAGCCCAAAACAAAACTACACTTAATGTTGGCAGATTTTATGTTTTCTCACAATTAATCTCACTCTTTGACTCTGTGTTAGGTCTTGGCAAATCTTTTGAGCCGTATTTTACCAGTGAAGGAGGAGTTGTTCATCTCTCTATCGTTCCTTCAGGTTTGTCTTTCTAAAATAGCATAACCACAAATCATATTAGACACAATGCAGTGCAGGATAGCTTCTGATGTTTATCAATGTCAGTTTCATCCAGATGGCAGTGCTGTGGATCTCCTGAGCCCCAGTAGACAGACTTTAAGACTTGTGACACACCCTGTCCTTGGAAAGTGAGTCCAGATGATCATGATATATCAAGATACCTAAACAACAGACACACATTGAAATAGATTATCAAATGATTTGTTTTTGTCTTTTTTCTCAGTCTTGTAGGAGGTTTAGGCGAGGTGTGTGTGTGTTCAGCAGAAGAAGCCTTTACTCTGTATGAAACATGCAGGGAGACTATGAAGGCAAATGCAGGCTCCCTTTCCAGCAGGTAGGTCAAATAAAGCAGGGGTCAAATAAACTCTGGCCATGTAATCCATTAACTTAATTACACTGAATGGATTAAATTACAACAGATGATCGCAAGAAGTGTCTCACTGTCGCACAAGTGATTGGGTTGTCAGATTTAGCTCATCGGGTTGTTGTGCACTGCGACATTCAAGTTGCCCTTTCTTGCCCTTTTTGAATGAATGCTGTTATTGTCTCTATATGTTCATTTTGTGTGCTTCCCTCAGATGTAGTTCCCTGTTCTCAGTGGCTGTTGAGTGGAAACTTCATCCAGACGAGGAGGAGGAGGAGGGGGAGGTGTGCCGCAGCAGACTGCAGCTGTTCAGCCTGGCAGGAGGAGCCAGCAGGACTGACCTCAGAGGGTCAGTCACATCCTCATATGCAGTGAGCCATCTATAACATGGCCCAGAAGAACTCAAAAATAGTGTCATAGCACCATTTTGCCTGTAGTCACACGTCAGTCACATAACCTCATAATCTGGATTGGTACCAATGTCATTTATTTAGCTCACACCAGTAAAGAGATCATGTAGGTCTTCCTAATTAGGCTTCACTTTGTAATAAGGCATTTCTTATTAAAGGTAAAATTAACATTTACATCTGCAGACTTGATTTTTAAGAGTGGGGGATTATTGGTGCTAGAAAAAAGGCCAATACTTTTAAACTGTACCAAAGCCTCAGTTATAACATACAGCCTCCTTTTGAACAGAACACCTCTCTTTATGTTATATGTTATGTTAATGTTATAACACCATTCAATTCAAATCAACAGCGAAGTTAACGTCATTTGCTTCCTGTGTAACAAAGTTATGTTCAAAGTCTTGCAAGATCTTCTGCCATTGGAAGACTTAATTTTAGTCCCGTTTTACACTTTAATGAGCCTTTCAGCATAATAGGTGTATGTGGGTGGTGAGGAAACAGCTCCAGTGACACCTCAGAAAACAGAAAAATAACTAGGGAAGTTTTGGGGAAAAAAACGTTTCAGAGTGTTTAATTTGCAGTGGCAACATATTGCAACGTTTCCTGTTTGGTTGAATGAGTAAAAAATGTCGATTTCTCATACACTACTGGCAAAAAACTGTACACTAGGACCAGTGTGTAATTTTTAAGAGGATCTATTGACAGAAATGCAATATGATATGCATAACTATGTTTTCAGTGGTGTATAAAGACCTTACATAATGAACCGTTTTTATTGCCTTAGGATGAGCCATTTCTATCTACATAACTGTGGGTCCCCTTATGTGGAAGTTGCCATGTAGTGTGGCCTATTTCTACAGTAGCACGAACAAAAAAACAGCTTACAGAGCGTGTTTCATCACTACATTGTATACATACGAAGAAGAAGTAGTAGTAGTAGTCGTCGTCTGGTTTGTTAGAAGCAAGAAGAGACGTGAAATTTAGACAAATGGAGGACTACACATTTTATTTAGCGAGCTGACAGAGCGTGTTGATACCAAAAAACCTACACACTGAGCCTTTAAGATTAGTATATAGCAGGGATTTTCAAAGACTGAGACCCCCCCCCCCCCAAAATCTTTAGTTTACTTGGTAAGTTTGCACAATTCCTGGATGCCCACGGGATCATGATTATGTTATTTGATCCCATAGACACCCAACATTTGAGCCAAAATAGTCTGATATTGTTGTTTTACATAACTTCTGAGGCATTTATTAGTTTCTGACACTGAGGGGGGGGGGCTATCTCTGAACTCTCACACATGTAGGCTGTTCTATGTGATCTCCTTTTGATAACTAATGCTTTGAGTAATGTAATATTGTTTCACTTCCATTCACTGAGCCTCCCCTGAAACTGTTTGGAGCCCACCAGGGGAGGCCCACCTCACACTTTGAAAACCCCTGGTATACAGCACACACTATATACAATTAGCATGTGGTGTTAATAAAAGGTAATAGATGAATGCTCTCCAGAGTCAGCCCACTGCTGAAGGCTGTGGACCAAACCCAATGTGAAGCCACAACAAGCGACAAGCTCCTCCCTTTCCTCCTAAATGACGCCTTAAGAGGAAACAGTAAGACAGTCCTCATCTACTGCATCCACCCTCAAGGTAAGCAAGTGGTCCTCTGGGCCCAGGCACAGTAAATTAACCATAATACTTTGAGCATAGTAATGACTCGCTTGATCCATCAGGTTTCCTAGATGACGAAACCCCCTCTGCTTTAGCTCTGGCCCAGAAAGCAAGAAGTATGATAACTAAGGCCACTGTCAACCGCTGGTGTCCAAGGGCAACCGAGCAAGAGATCAGAGATGACATCATGCATCTAAGAACCGTGATGATGTCACTGGGAGAAAGTGAAACTCATAACACCTACAGGCTGGCAGAGCTGACTCAAAACCTGCAGGTAATTCATTAGATTCATTAGATTAAGCCTATAATTAAATTATTCAGCCGTTGTGACATACATTCTGTGGTCTCTCCAACAGACTGTGAAAAATCAGTCATGGGAGAAGAGGAGGGAAGAGTCAAAGAAGATAAAAGACAAAACACAGGTTTCTAAATTGTTTACTTTGCCACACAAGTTGGCCAGAATGTGTGTCCCCAACATAATGAAATCACAACCGTGTTCTGCATTGATTTGGCAGAGTTGTCGGACACCAAATAGCAATTGGCGCAGCAGTGGTCATAGAGAGAGCACAGACACGATGAAATATTTACAAGAGCAGCTGAAACAAGAAATGGAGGAACACATCAGAGGTAATTTCATGCGATATGAAACTTTTATACATAGCAACATCAGTCACATTGTTTGTGTTTCTCATATCCACAGAGGGGAAAGGGAAAGTTGAGAAAGTCCATGAAAGAGTAGCAAGAATCCAGCAGCTGAGGGAGGCTCTCAGAGAGGAGACACTGAAGAACGGGGCTGCTACAGAGAAATCTGACCTCTGTCAGGAAGTAATGCATGCCATCTAACTCCCATCATTTTAAATGTAATATTGTACACTCCAACGTATGATTGGATAACCTGTTTACAAGGCTTTGTGAATACCCTACTAAACATATAAAAATGCTTTATGTGTGTGAGAGTGGGCAAGTCACACTAAGACATTTATTATGCCAATTTAATGCTCAGTCTCAGTTGGAATACAGCAAAGCACAGGAGCGGAGGAGGCAACTTAAGGACGACCACGGGAAATTAATTCAGGAGGAGGTGGAGAAGATGGAGAGGGACTTGGCACTGGAACCGCTACCAGTGAGTTAATGAGATACGCTGCTGTTTAACATTATTCAGTTTGTGATCTATCTTAGCTGAGGATGCTGAGTCAGTTTAAATTAATGCAATGGATTTATGGTGGGTTGTGGAAATCCCTGCATTTGCAACTTCATTCTGTTATTTCCTCTCATTTTTTTATGCCTTAATCCATTCAACCGTTAGACAGAGGGCTCCCAGAGAGAGCTGCTGGTGCTGACCAGAGAGCGGCAGGTCCTTGTGCTGCAGATAGAGGCCCTGCGCGCTGAGGCCCAGCAGGCTGAGAGAGACCTGCAGGATCAGTATTACAGACACCAAACAGAGCTGCATTGTCTAAGAGAAGAGAGCCTGCAGGTGGGGGACTGTTGGATCAGTGAGAGAATTTATTTAATTAGTTTGCTACTACTTTTACTTCTCTCTTTTAGTTATCTGTGCTTTTCAAAACACCTGAATATAATTTTGTCAATTAGGAGTGATCAGCAGAGGTAGCAGCTACATACTTTCCATGTTTTAGAAATGCATGATAATAAGTTGATAAAATATACAAGATGCGCATGATACATTAGCATGATTATTCCTCAGGTTCACATTAATTGTATAACATGTATATCAATTACAAAATATACAATGTGTCTTGTATTACATACATACAACATTATGTAATTGTAATATTCGTATAATATATAGCATATATTAATCGATTATTGAAGCATGTATTGTTGGATACAATGACTGATGAGTATTAATTATGACAATGTGTGCATGTGTGTAATTGCTCACTGACACGTCACCCCTGGGGGCCTGCTATTGGCGGATTCTCTGCTTGAGGGAGGGCATTTTGGGTCCACATTTTGTAAAACCGGGTGGTGGCACTGCAGCCAGCACTTAAGAATCACACTTTAACCTTTTTCTTTCCCAAAAATGAAATCTAAAAATGTAAAAACAACAAATGCAACAAAAAAAATCCTGAATTAACAGGATTTTGCAGATTAACACTGGATATCGGGGACACATAGCAGGATTCTACAAAAGATCAGGGAAAATAAGTATTTTTAACAGATGCCTGCAAAAAAAATAATAGCAGCACACAAACATAAAATCAAACAAGACATTTTACTGTTTAACCATCAGTTTGTTTTCTGTGTTATCTGTTTTACTGCTCTCCAGGTGTTCCGAGTGTTTCGTCAGGTAAGCGAGGAGCAGCGGAAGATGTCAGAGGGCAGATACAGAAGCGTGCTGCTGGAGGCTGTGCAGGATGCCGTCTACCTGTCAGCCCAGAACCAGCAGCTGCAGGCTGACAACAAACAACTCCGTAAAGGTCAGTGTGTTCTTTAACCTCTACCAGACTGGCTGTTATATTACAGATAGAATTTACCTAATCCTAACCGCATGAAGTAAAATGTGCTCTTCCCAACAGCATTTAAAAGTTCTTCATTTTCTTTTGCAGCACTGGGAGAGTTAAAGGATACTCTAGCTGTGCGAGGTGATCCTAAGGCTGAAATGTTAACCCAGAAACAATGAATATACAGTGGTGTGAGTGTTTGCCCCCTTCCTGATTTCTTAGTTTTTTGCACATTTGTCACACTGAATTGTTTCAGATCATCATCACTTTTAATATTAGACAAACTTAACCCGAGTAAATACAAAATGCAGTTTTTAAAGGTGATTTTATTTAATAAGGGGGAAAAAACTATCCAAACCTACCTGGCCCTATGTGAAAAAGTGATTGCCCCCTAAACCTAATAACTGGTTGTGCCACCCTTGGCAGCAACAACTGCAATCAAAAGTTTGCGATAATTGGCAATGAGTCTTTCACAGCACTATGGAGGAATTTTGGCCCACTCTTCTTTGTAGAATTGTATTAATTCAGCCACACTGGTTGGTTTTCGAGCATGAACAGCCTGTTTAAGGTCATGCCACAGCATCTCAGTTGGATTTAAGTCAGGACTTCGACTAGGCCACTCTAAAAGCTTAATTTTGTTTTTTCTGAGCCATTCAGATGTGGACTTGCTTGCGTTTCAGATAACTGTCCTGCTGCATAACCGTGCACTTGAACTTGAGGTCATGAACTGATGGCTGGACATTCTCCTTCAGGATTTTCTGGTAGACAGCAGAATTCATTATTCCATCAATTACGGCAAGTCGTCCATGGTCATGAAGCAGCAAAGCGGCCCCAGACCATCACACTACCACCACCATGTTTGACTGTTAGTATGATACTTTTTATTTTATGCTGTGTTGGTTTTACGCCAGATTTAACGTGACGCACCCCTTCCAAAAAGTTCAACTTTTGTCTCGTCAGTCCACAAAATATTTTCCTAAAAGTCTTGGGGATCATTAAGATGTTTTTTGGCAAACGTTAGACAAACCTTTGTGTTCCTTTTGGTCAGCAGTGGTTTTCGTCTTGGAATTCTGCCATGCAGAACATTTTTGCCCAGTGTCTTTCTTATTGTTGAATCATGGACTCTGACCTTAACTGAGGCAAGTAAGGCCTGCAGTTCTTTAGATGTTTTCTCCATTTGTGGATCATGGCTCTCACCATGGTTAGCTGGAGTCTCAAAGCCTTAGAAATGGCTTTGTAACCCTTCCTAGACTGATAGATGTCAACGACTTTGTTTCTCATTTGTTCTTGAATTTCTTTAGTTTGTGGGATGATGTGTTGCTTTTTGAGATATTTTTGCCTACTTCACTTAATCAGAACGGTTATATTTAGGTGATTTATTGATACAATAGGTTTGGCAATAAGTAGGCCTGGGTGTGGCTAGTGAAATTGAACTCAACTTTCCAAAAAATCTGGTTAATCACATGATTTAACAAGGGGGGCCATTACTTTTTCACATAGGGCCAGTAGGTTTGGATAGCTTTTTCCCCTATTAAATGAAACAATCTTTTAAAAACTGCATCTTGTATGTATTGAGGTTATGTTTGTCTAATATTAAAAGTTGTTTGATAATCTGACACATTTCAGTGCGACAAATGTGCAAAAAACTAAGAAATCAGGAAGGGGGCAAACCACTGTTTGAATCAGTGTGCTTAATGTAAATCATGAGAAATAAAACAGTTTTCCACAATTTATTGGTTATCATTAACACACTGTAACACTTTGATATTATAGTTGACAAGACATTTGTCTTGGCAGAGAATGCAATACAAAACAAAATCAACAAGATAGCAGCACTCTTCATCTTTCACTGAAGATATAATAATCTGGACACGCATTATTATTTAAATGTACTCGCAATTGTGTAACAGACATTAAAATGAAAGTCAATTGTAAAAATGATGTCAATTGTCAAATTAACCATCTGTTGACGTGCTGGATTCTGAATGTCAAAGTCAGAAGGCAGATGGATTAAAAGGCAGAAAACAAATCACATCTGAAGCTCAAAAAGTAGGAAACAGGAGCTAAAGGTAGACTGTACTTAATTGTTTTTTGGTTCAATGTGCCTTGTGGTTCATTTAGTGGAGACTTTACTATCTGTAATAAAGGTAAGCTGCCAGTCCAATCATAGAAACAGGGAGGAGGAAGAAAGGGGTGAGCTGCAGCCCTAAGATGGCCCAAGAAAACAGAGCATTAACCAGAATGGAGCAGGAAATGACAAACAGTCTGGTGATCCCGCTTCCGTGCTTGAGCACCACAGACATCAGGAGTCCGTTAGCTGCCTGCCCCGCTATAATGGCCCAAACCACCCCTGAGTATCCCTCCAGAAAGCTCTTTTCACTTGCTACAGAGGAGAAGGAGGAGAACCCATTGATGGCCACGCCAAATACATAGAGGTAGAGATTCTGCAAGCTGAGGGGCAGCTTCTGGCTCTTCAGCACCCTCTCTGTGTAAACTGCTGCCAGCCCTGAAATACAGCAGTACACCAGAACAAGGAAAAGCCCCCAAGCTGTGATGTGAAGCCTGGGTTCATCCTCGGCTTCAGACCTCTCGGGGTCCCCTAGATCCAGGCTGCTGTAGCTGTGGCACACGCCTGCGCCCATTAGGAGCCCCACGCCTAACCACTGAGCAGGACGGAGCCTCTTGCCCAAGCAGAGGGAGTACAGCAGGGCAGTGGAGGCAATTTTCAGGTTAGAAAGCACCTGGTAGGAGCTTGGATCCATGTAGGCCTGCATGAGAACTACCAGGTTGTTGTTCAGGGCGTAGAGTATGGCAGGGACTGCATAGGGGGCCACAAGGACTAGAGGCGGAGGAGCATGTAAGGCGGATGTACCCCCGGTTAGAACAAGAGTTGCGAGGGAAATCAGGAGTTTTGCTAACTCAATCATGACAACACACGAGGAGGCGTTGAAGGGGACTTGACCATCTACCTTGGTGAGAGTGATGAGTGGTGCATGAGAGCCATAGATGAGGACCATCAGCCCAAAGAGGACACCCCACTGAATCCTTTTCACCCACTGTCTCTTAATCCTCACTGGGGAACTGGGTCCCACATTCGGGATCAAAATCATCCTCAATGATGCAAATGAAACACTTGATTTCTAGCAATTCTGAATAATAATTTTTAAATTAAACAGCTATAAATGTCAACACTTTCAATTATAAAATACTTAGATGCACTACTCTATGTATAACTCTCTATAATATGGTATAAGCTGAACATTTAAATCTGTAGGAAACATTTGCAGGAATTACTGCATGTTTTACACATAAGCGATTCAAAATCTAATGGGACAAGTAAAGAATTCTGATGGCCAAACATTAAAACCTTGTAGGTACAAGGTCTTACATCTTGATACAAGTGGAAATTAAACAGTATTATTTAACCAAACCTGAAACAAAATGGAAATAAAAGTAAGTCTTTGAGTCCCAGTGAAATTCCAGTTACATCATAATATGCATAGTCCAGTCTACACAGAACACTTGAAGGCTGATCTGTTGTGAGCCACTGACAAGCCAGCAGCTGCAGCAGTATTTCTTCCTCTTGTGCGTGTTATGTCAATGCCAGGACCAGCACCAGCCCAAATTACTTTGGTCCCTTTTTCATGTTGTTCAGATAGTCTCTCACGGTCCTTTCAATGTTGGGCACTTGATAGCTCTGTGCCACGTACATGCCAGTGATTGTTCCCAGTAGCACTCCTGCAATGGCAGAGGAGCGGAGCTTGGCCACCATATAGCCGGCCAGAAAGCCCTTCAGAAATGGAGATCCCAACACTGAGCCTCCCTACAAGATAACAGCAGGATATTCAGCAGGGTCCCAGCACAGAAAAAGTACATACAGATGGGTAAATACAACTGAAAAGCTTTAAAGTCTAAATTTATCATGATAAAATATATTACTGTATCAGCGATACAACACAAAATAATAAGAGTTAAAAGGTATTTAAGGCAATCCTAAGACAAAACTAAACAAAAAGTCAAAGATATCTAAATGAGCATATACTGAGATAGATTCTTAGTATATATATGAGTCACCTTTAGTGTGGACAAATGCATTCTAACTTCAATAATACACAAGGTGAATGAAGGGCAAATGTTTCTCCGTTCATATTATTGCCATGAAACGTTCACCATCGAATATTTGAAGACGAGAGGAATACGCTTTCAACAACTTATTCTCCTCCTGTGCTCAGTTGCGAGGAGCACCTATAACTGCTTACCTGAGGGATTCCCACAGAAATCTCGCTCTCTACTCGCCTCTGGATTTCCTCTAACTGGTTTTTGAGCTGCGTCAGATCTTTCAACTGTTTCAGAGGATCCTAAAATGAAAGAAAAGTATCACATTTGTATTAGGAAACACTGTGACATGTCCAACGTTAATGTAGTTGAGGATAGCTATCGTTGCTGTACAACATATCCTAAAGGTACAGTTACTGACAGACTTTCCCCGCGGAGTGCTTCTCTAGCAAAAAAAACCCGCTGGTTTTTCAACTTTGCTGGTTAGTTAAGTTAACTTAACAGCAACATAACTTAGCCAGCTGAAGAATCGATTATCTTAAATTAAAAGGGATCGTCGCCCCGGTAACTTCATTTTACAACCAACTGCTTCTGAATAAACATTTTTTTCAACCTCCTGTAGCAGCTGATGGCATCTGACGAAACACATGAAATGAATGCATTTAATAGCCAGAGCACAGCGAGCCACTCACCTTGTCATTCGCCATTTTTGCTAAGTGGTGGGATCAGTGTTCGGCTCAAAAGCCTGAGACACTTTTTTTTCTCCAGCTCGATTTGTTTGGTCTGGGCCTAGGCGCCGGGTGCTTGATCCTCAATTTTGTCTTACAGGAACTATGCGGCGCGCTGGTGGTAGTTAAAAACACGTTATAAATGGAGACAGCTCATGGAAACCGAGACATATAACCCAGAGGGTACTTGTTTTGCTACCGTTAGCCTATTGCTGTAATGTAACAGTGTATTATTTACCTTTGCGTACTCATTCACCTTTACTGTAAGACATCAACGAGGGCTTCACCAGTTAATAAAGTCTTTCTCAGTAGAAGTAGAGTCAGAGACGGTTTGGTTCAGTGTTTCAGCCGCAGTTCTAAATATATCAAGAAAAACTTTGAGCAGAATTCTTCAAGAGAGTCAGCCTTTTAAGGAAGCTATTATTTTTCCCTGTTGACAGTCATTGTGATATCTCATTTTGAAATCCTTATTTCAGAAGGAAATTCTTCTCCACATGACACCCCCTTTTTAATACACTGTGGCAGAAGGTTTGCCTGTTGCCTCAAAACCCCATTGCCAATAATACATAGTAGATGTCCCATAAGCTTAGCCTACACAACAATTTATATTATAGAAATGTATTGTGTTCATACTGCTGTGCACTTTCCTGAAGCTGTTGCTGTCTCATCTTTTTTGTCATTGTTACTGAGGCTGTGGCACGTTGTTTCGAATTTGAATACTGTTTATGCCTGATTTTTATTTAATGTTTTAGTTACCACTGTATTATAGGGGAAAATAGAAAACAAGCATGCCTGAGCAATGTTATAATTATATCTGCTTGCTTTTTATATGTAAATTTACGGACAAAGGCCTTATTTCTGTATGTGAGCAGTAGGTTTAAGAAGAAAGCTGTTGACTGTAAATTAATGTCTTCCTACTTATGTTCTGTTGCCTTATTTGTCATTGGTATATCATGTTTAACTTGCTTTTGTCTTTCTTACTGTTTCCTCTGCACTGTGCCGTTTTCCCCACTCTGCCAAGACATTTTGTTCTCTCTAATGTGCATCTGTATTCAATAAAAAGTTAAAAAGGATTGAGCAGCATTCAATTATTTAGTATTTTTATGGACATGGTTTGATGCCACATAACCAATTCAATTCAATTTTATTTATATAGCGCCAAATCACAACAGTTATCTCACAGCGCTTTTCATAAAAGAGCAGGTCTAGACTGTTCTCTATGATGTTATTTACAGAAGCCCAACAATCCCCACCAAGAGCAAACACTAGGCGACAGAGGCAAGGAAAAAACTTCCTTTTAAGAGGCAGAAACCTCGAGCAGAACCATGGCTCAGGGTGGGCGGCCATCTGCCTCGACCGGTTGGGGGTGAAGGAACCACTGATCCCACTTATGTAGCACTTCTGGGGTCACCAAACTGTGTAAACTGCGCCTGCTTGTGGCCACAGTCTGCACTGTCTGTGGGACGCACGCGTTACTTCCACGTGTCAAAAACGTCTTCCGTGATTGGCCCGTGTTTGTCTATTCCGACATTTGATTGGTTTAAGACCATAGCAACAAACCGCCATGTTTTTTTACAAGTCGACGAGAAACGAAGCTATTTTACAGACATTTATGCATCGCAAATAATGGATTTAATATGAAGTATAGGCAAATCTCAGCATTACTTGCCGTTGGCAGAATGCTTGACTTTTTCGGCGACGTAAAGGTTGTTCAGAGCAGTTTGTAGAGCCTCGGGCCATCGTAGGTAAGGCTTCAATAAGAAGGCATTTCATTGGATAACTCTCGGACTGTTCAGGCAGTATAAACACACGCCATTAAACCTACTGTTAAAGCAGGGAAGGACTAACGTTAATGTTTTATCATGTTAGCATTGTATTAGTCTCCCTAAGCATGACAAGTTTACATGATATTTTATCTTGACTAACACAGACTGTATTGCTATATTCTCTCTGCATGAACTAACGTTACCAGCCCATATCACACTGCTCTATATTCTGTTTCTTTTATTAGACAAATGTCTGCGTTTGGCTCTCAGCAGCTGAGGGGGTGAAAAGCACAGTATGCAATATACACTTAATTTTCTAATTTTCTCACCCGTTAAACCTAACTAACTTAATTAGCTGTAACTAAATAAAACTAATACAAATACCCTGCAGTAAAGTTTTACCTTTTATGAAAGTTCAAAACACCAAACTAATCTCTGCCATTGGCCCTAGATATTTGGAAATCATGGAGAAAGTGGAGGTGTTTGAGGTTGTGAAAGTGACTGAGGAGGTGGAGAACTGCTACAAACACATGGAGGTGACTACCCCGAAAAAGAGGAAGAGCAAAGCTCAAGAAGACAGTGTTGAGAAACCTAAAAAGTCTAGGTAATGTACATAGCCAAAAAGGACTTTCATACAGCTGTTACCATATAATAACACGAGTAGGCCCTGTCTTAAACAGGGATTGAGCCTCTAACAATCAAAAATGTCTCTTTCATTGTGATGTATTAATGATGTGGCATCTGTCTGTTTTAGGTCTGCCTACCTACTATACTACTTTGATGTTCACCAGATTATGCAACAGGAAATTCCTAATCTGCCACAGTCAGAGATCAACAAACGTATCAGTGAGAGCTGGAAAAGGCTCAGTGTAGCTGAGAAAGCCTACTATCTGGAGAAGGCCAAGTCTGAGAAGGAGGGTGTAGACACAGTAAGATACATCCTCATCTTTTTTATGTAATAAAATGTGTGTATCCGAGTATCAATGGAGCCTTTAATTTCACTGATACTCAGAACAAAACTACCTCATGTAGAATAAACTGGCCTGTTCTGATGGAAAGGTGAAGGTGCTCCTAATGCTGTCAATAGTCAGAATATTAATACTGCTTTTGTGTACGGAGTTACGGAGTTAAAGCAGAGTTAACGCAGCGCTTTCCTGCTTTATCCCCACTGGTGTCTAATACAGCATAACTTCAAAATGTTTCTATGGATAACCATGAACAATCTTCTCGATCATGCTTTTCTGTCAGTCGTCTCTCAGCCCCTCCAAACATCCGCCAGGCTTCCGCAAAATCCTCCCCAGAGCCAGTTACTTTCTCTTGGCTAAAGGCTGCCCCTCAAATCACCAGCCGGGAGGCTCTCAACCAGAGGTGAGCGTGGAGCCTCTGGAGTCTCCAGTGGAGGGAGGCCTGTCTTCCGTCTCTTTCACCCAAGAACCCCAGTTCACACCTCTTGAGCTGGCCGGTGAGGTGGAACTTTCCGAACACCCCATCGTTGTTGATGACACAGCAGAGGAAACGGCACGGGCGTCTCATCCCACGTCCCCCCAAGGAATCCCACCCTCGTCTTCCTCCTTTGTGTCGTCCTCCACAGATGCCTATGTCTCACAGGGCTCTGCTGACATTACCGCAAATGGGGTCATGCTGAAAGGAAATGAGACGAGAGTTGCTGGTAGTGGTCATGCTGGGGCGATGGTGCAGCAGATACAGGGGGAAACTACACAGATTGTTGCTATCATACCCACCCAGGTGAGACTTAAATTTCCTTCTACCAGTTAGTAGAATGAGCTTCATTTAGATAATGATTATTAGGACTTAAAAGTTAACAATCTATATACCTCATTTTAATCAGAAAAAAAGTGTTTTAGCTAATACAGAGAGGTGATATGTCCCTCACTTCAGAACCTGTTGGAGCCCAAGTCTTTGGCGGGTGTCAGCTCTGTGGGCTCAGTAATGATGGTCTCTGTAGGAGCCAGAGTAGAACAAAGTGCCAAACCTTCATATAAAATGGTAAGCAACCACATTATTCATCCACCTTATAAAGGGCAGTAGTGAAATTGGCAAGCATATGGAATATCAGATTCAAGTAATGATGACTGGGGTTGGTAATATCAGTTGGGAGACATGAGCTTCCATGTTTTGCTCTTTTTTGCAGTCTGTAAAGACATACACCAGGAGAGGTCGAGGGAAGTGTCTAAAGCCTGGATGTTCATTTGTGTATGTCACCCGCCACAAGCCACCGACGTGCCCTGAATGTGGGAGCCACTTGGGCGGAAAATGGATACCTGCTGTAAGTGTCAAGCAATGTCTGCACAGTTAGGCATGTTCACTCTTATATGGGCACCCAGAAGTAGTACAATGATTCAGCCTACAGCTGTACCTTCAGTTCAAGTCGATTAACTTTGGCTGCATTTACATATTAGGCAAAGAAGACACAAGAGAAAGAAGCTGCGTCCAAGAAGTTGCCACAGAAAGCTGGAACCAAGTCTAACGAAAGCTGCCAACCCACTCCTCCCCCTGCTCAGGAGGGGAAGGCTGAGGGCAGTAAAACAAACCCCACTAGGAGCAAAAAAGAAGCCAGAGTTCAACGGTGCTCCAGAAAGCAGCATGCAGTTCCAGCTGGAAAGCCATCAGAGGGCAGCAGTACCAAGGAGCCAGAACAAACGAAGTGAGCATCCATGAAGTGTTAATGGCACAATCTGAGATTGGTGTCGAAAATTAAGTATGTTCTGTTTGCTACATGGACCCCAGTAGTATGTTGACCATCTGTGTGGGCTGTGACGATTGAGTTAAAACTGTGGTTTGAACCATTTGCTCATTGGTATTTACAGTATTTCACAAAAGTGAGTACACACTGACTTTTTTGTAAATATTTGATTGTATCTTTTCATGTGGTTATTTACAGTAGTTGTGCAGCATAACAGTGTAGCTACACATCATTCTGAAGTTCACCAGAGCTTCACAGGTTGCCATTGGAGTCACTCCTCCATGAGAGGCAAAACAGTCTTTATGCTAGTATGTCACAGTACATGTTGGCATTCATGGTTCCCTTAATGAACTGTATGTAAGTGCTGGCAGCACTCATGTGACACTATGCTTGACTGCAGATAAGACATACTTGTCTTTGTAATTTGACACCATCTGTAACCACACCTGAGACCTTGTAACACTAACAAGTCACATGACACTGTGGCTAATTGGGCATAATTTGGACATTTTCACTTAAGAGTGTACTCACTTTTGTTGCCAGCGGTTTTGACATTAATGTCTGTGTGATGTTTTACTTCGAGTGGACAGCAAATTTACACTGTTATACAAACTGTACTCTCACTACTTCACATTGTAGCAAAGTATCTTTTCTTCAGTGTTGTCACATGAAAAGATATAATCAAATATGTACAAAAAGTGAGGGTGTACTCACTTTTGTGAGATACTGTACATACCTTGGGCATCCGATTTGTGTGATAAATACAAATCTTCTGAGTTTCTAATTATAATTTGCTGTACATACACACATTGACCTTCTTTTTAGTAATTAGTATTATGATTTTTTTTTTCAACTGTATAAAAGCGTTGGGTGAAAACATTTTGTTAACCTGAAAATATGGATGGGACCAGATTGAAGTGACACGTGTGTGTGTGTGTGTGTGTGTGTGTGTGTGTGTGTGTATAGCAGCTGTTTTTTGTTGCAGGTTTTGGTAGTAGTGTGTATCTCACTTGACATACTTTCCCTCTGTCACAGTGTTGTGAGCTCAACTGTCCAAAGTCAACACAGAAGCAGTGCCGCTGTTCGAAAGAGACCTGTGAGACCCATCCTTCCTGCCTGCTATAGAACAGGTGGGATAAAGTGTACAGCACTCGGGCAGTATTCTGTTACCATATGGATTTACATATTGGCTTGTGTTTGTGTTTCTAGGCCGTGCTGTGTTCCAGATCATAACTGTCCCACCTGACAAAGGAAAATTTCAGAGTGTAAACAACAATAAGTCATTCACTGGTACTGCACATTGTTATATTTTAATTACAATTATACTTTATTAAATGTTGTCTTTCAGTTCGTAGGTTGGCTAAAGTTTTATTCGAAGCTCATTCAGTTCTTATTATTAGCAGATACAGACTACCTTTTATTATACAAGAGAGGAAGTGATATGTCAATAAAAGTGACTGTACTTTCTGAGGTCTCTGCCCTCAACTGATGTGGTTGTTTTCTAACCACAGTGCCTCAAGAGAGTTTCTCGGGTCTCAAACCCAGCACTTTAAAGCAGCTCGGACAGACGGTCCCGACAACCACTGCCAAGCAGGTTAACACACGCACACACATAGAGACAAACACACACACACTTTTGGTCTCTGGTCCAATATTCCTCACTTGATGCATGTCTTTCCGAAGGATTCTGGCCCTGCAGATGGTAGTCAGCCTGTGTCTTCACTGGCTGATGGGAGAGTGAACATCCTGTCAGTCGCCCCTTTCAAACAGCACACCGTTTCCAGCTTTGTCAGTACACTGTTATTCTCTGTGCAATGTACATTTATATCTGGATTTCCCTTATGTCTTGATTTGTGGGTTAATTCTTGCAATTCTTTATTCTCTCAGGATTTGGGACTGTCTACAGCGCGCGGAAGGGGTCGGTGTAAGAATCTGTCCTGTGACTATATGTACAAGAACAGACACAAACCTGCAGTGTGCCCTAAATGTGGCTGTGAGCTGACCCAGAAGAACACCAAGGGATCAAAGGTGAAAGCTCGCTTCCTCCAGATTCTTCTCAAGTGACAGTACTGTAGGTTTCCAGCTGCATCGCTTACCCCTCGACCCCCTTTGTGAGTCTTAGCACAACCTTGGGATCCTGGAGCAGTTGCTTCTCAGCATTTGTAAATGTAGACATCAGACAGATGACAGCCTTTGATGTCACCTTTGATGTCAAGTCATTTATCTTTGCAGTTTTCTTTTCAAGGCTTTCAAGGTAGCAGAACTGATTTCAGAACATCCTTAACACCCTCTTTATGTAATTTTGTTTTTGTGTGTTTTGTTTGTCTTAGCTGCCGAGCAATTCATTTATTTATAAATCCTTTTCTCCTTCTCATCTGAATTATTTGCTGTTACAATCTATCCCATTCACTTTAGTGATTACTAAAGCCAACCTCTCGTTGCTCTCCTTATTTTTATTTTGTTTCCTTTCTCAGTCTGGGACTCTGCTCGATCCGTACCAGGCCCTGAGTCCTGCTCAGAAGGACATCCAGCGCCAAAATACCCTGCAGTTACTGCAGCGTTTCCTGCAGATTCCCGAGAGCGAGACTGAGCTCCAGGAAACGTTGACCCTCATCCAAGAGCTCAACAGTCTCCAGATCGTCTTGGTTCAACCAGGAGACCAGGAGCACGGGGGCAGCGTAGAGACGGAGTACCTGGTCGAGTCTGGGTGGCCTCAGTTCTATGAATCGGCAGCTACTCATTGTGGCCTGTGTAACTACCCTTTGTTCAAGGGAAGTCAGAGGTGAGAAGATAGGTGATGTTTCTTGAACTGCATTAACACTGGCATGTTGTGCTAATGTCCTGCCCCATAATGCTCTTATGTGTCTGTGCTTGTGCATCCTAGTACTGTCGCAGGACAAGAGGACTGCTGGCTGCTTACGGAGACACTGATCCAGACAGCATCTCTCCAGCTGAAGGTGTGTCTCAACATTCAGTGTCTGGCTCTGCACAGCTTCACCGACCTGCATCCAGGTAAAGGGCACTACTTACAACAACTTGCAGATTGTTCAGTTACTTTTTCCTTACCCGTGGTTTATTGTCCGCTGTTATGTAGTACATGTGTTGGGTGTACCTCTGGGAATTGTGTGTATTACTGACTGGCCGTAATGGGGGCATCAATAATTATGTGTGCATTACATACAACATTTATTTTTTTCAAAATGTTATACATGTTTTGTGAGAATGTTGATGAATACCAGCCCAATAATTAATGTTTTAAGATGTCAACTTTATTCTGATGTTTAGCTACTTAATGTGACGTGTAAATATTTCAGACACAGCAATATGATATTCAAATATCAAAAATAACAGAAATGTTCTGTTGCTTAGTGTGAGAAACTGTAAGGAGCTACTCACTGGAGCTCTTCATACTGTTTTTGTTTTATTTGTGGGCAGAAGACCGCAGTTTGACAATATTTTGCTCCTGTGTTCATGGTAACACGAGTGCTCAGTCACAAGTCAAGTGCATACAAACCGCTTGTCCTGAGGATATTTTTTTTTTATAATTTAACTGTGGTAATGTGTGTAGCCAGCTTCTTTTGTGAATTAAAATGTTTTTAATAGGTTTGTTCAACATTGGGAACAGACTGCTGGTCAGTATTGACCTTTTCCTGAAGATCAGAGCCAGCATCAGACTGGGTCAAACCCCTTCTCAGGCAGCCAAGACCATGCTAGACCACGTCCCCAATCACCCCGGTAAACCCTGGAATTGAACTCAACAAACATGCATTCTGCAACTGTGTTATTTAATTTTTTCTCTGGCATTATGTACATTTGCAATCTTGTTTGTATTTTACAATATGTTGTCTATGAATTTCCCTGTGTTTTCCATATTTTCTTTTGCCAAGTCCACTCTCTGAGTGCAGAGGAGTTATCTCAAATTCACGAGCTTCTCCTCAGTGGCTACTGGGCCTTTGAGTGTCTGACAGTGCGCGATTACAACGACATGATCTGCGGCATTTGTGGCATTGCTCCCAAACTGGAGATTGCAGAGCGACACACAAGCAACGTACTGGAGCTAAAGAATGTGGAGGTGAAACATTTATACAATTGGTGGGAAACTAAAAATGTTTAGATCTTGTGAACATGTTGAATATGAATGTGGACCTGCACGCTACATACTTTAGGGACCTCTGCACATTCTTTCACACATTTCACTCTGTCCACAGTTTACCTGGCCTGAGTTTTCGGTCTCGGATGAGGTACATGTTGATGACTTCTGGCTGACCATGGAAAGTGAGGCTATCGAGCAAGCGACTTTCCCCACTGACATCCCTATCACACGTGTGGATGCTTCGATCATCGCTCCCTTCATTCCCCCACTGATGAGGAGTCCCACTGTTATCAACACGGAGAAGGACAAAGTCCTGTCACACACACAGCAGCCCTCAGGTACCTACGTCTTTCAAACTACCATTTAATTTAATCTTTTTGCGTCCGTCCTGTAGAAATGTTCGGTAGTGTCTGAAATAAGGGAGAAAGTTGTTTTGTTTCTATCCATGACATGTTATCTTTTACACAGATGTGGCTTCATAGAGAATGAAGTGGAAAAAGATAATTACATTCAGAAGGGTTATATGCTTTTTTGGCTAGATAAAAGTAGTATAATGATGCAAATGTCATGCAAAGGTTCCAGATTCAACTAATTCTGTATTAGTGCTACGTGTTAAGTTATTCTGCCATGCAGTACAGCATTATTTAGTGATTTGTATAAGCAGATGTATTAATAATTGTTACATAACTAGTATCACTTTTACTGGACTATAAAAAAAACAATATATATAAATTTTTAAAATATATATAAAAAAAATCATCACCTCTTTTAGGAGATCCATCAGTTCTGGTGCGTCTCATTCATGATGGTGACCTGAGACTCGACAAGATTGAACACCACAGTGAGGACGAGCTGAGAACAATACTGGACCGCTGCGGGGCAAGCATCACCCCTGGCTCCACTAAGGTGTGTGCGCGTGTGAGAAACGTGTCCATGTGAACAGGAGATCACCCCACCCCCCCACCCCACACACACTGGGACTGATGAGACTTTAAAGTCTTGCTCAAGGGTATTTCAGCAAGTTGCTTTGCTTGCTATGATGGGAGCTTACATTTAGTTGAGAGATTGTTTCCTTATGTATCACTCTGTTTGTGTTTATCTTATTGCCACTTAATGTGGTGTGCTTATATCTGTGTGGGACTGTGTTTAAAGAAAAGCCTCCTTTCTGCCTCCCTCCGTGTTAGACCGAGTTGCTGGCCTCCCTGATCTCCTTGTACACACTTGTTCACAGCGGCCTCGCCACTGGCCCACAGCCCCCTCCACACCTCACCGGTGGCAAGCTGTCCCAGCTCTGCCCCCACAAGGTAAAAACAGCAGCCCTGTCACTCATGTAACCAGTCATTTCAAACACGTAAATTCAGCCCATCATGGTCTGTCAATTTTTCCCGCAAAATGTAGCAAAAATAAATTATATGTGGGGAAAAAAACATGTTATATAAGCACAGTAGCAATTGAAACTCAAATGTTTGTGGTGTATTTGTGAAGACTTTGGAAGGGTTTTCTACATTACTTGTCCATTTCTCTTCTGTACCTGTGTCCAGGTGGTGTGTGGCTCTAAGTACTTGGTGAGAGGCGAGACGGCTCGAGACCACGTAGACCTGCTACTGTCCTCTCGGTACTGGCCCCCAGTCTATATTAGTGACTGTGCCCGTCAGGTGGCCCTTTGTGCTGACATGCAGTACCCAGAACTGGCAACCCGGATGTGGGGCAGGAACCAAGGCTGCTTCTCTGACCCTTTCGAAAAGCCAGATGTGAGTGATGAAGTTAAATCCTATAATCTATTAAGGAACTGACACGTGTGCTGGTTATTGTTTGCCTTTTGCATTTAGCAAACTATATCACAATTTTAAATCTTAATCTTTAAATTCACATCTTCTTTAGTTTGTGTCATGTGCTGAGCTACAAGACCAGCCGTACAGCGCTGACCTGTCTTCGGTTGGAGAGAACCAGCAGGTCCACCCCATCACCAAGTCATCTTGTTGCTGGCTGGTTCATCCTCCTGGAGCAGCCCAGGAGCCTCTTGCTCTTCCTTCAGATCACCACTCAATGGTCCTCTGCAGAGATCTGGAACCCTATGTCAGCCTAGTGTCTAAGCAGAAGGAACAGGAGGATGACGAAGGAGCAGAACAGAAAGAACAGACGTACAAAGCTGAGAATGACTCCACGGAGCAATCGAACGACAATTCGTCAGTAGGCCGTGTGCGGCAGCAACCTGTGGCTTTCAACAACACAGCTTATTACTACCTTTACAACCGTCTGGTAGATTTCCTCACCAGCAGGGACATCGTGAGCCAGCAGATCAACCAGGTGGTGAAGGCCTGCCAGCCTGGGGAGGTAGTGATCAGGGATGCGCTGTACCGACTGGGAGTGGCACAGATCAACACAGAAAAGGAGGAAGATGAAGCAAGTGGTATGGAGGGGCAGACACAAGAGGGAGGGACAGAGATTTATGAGGTTGTGCGTCCTGAATGAAAATGATCTGGACAGACAATCAGCAGACAGGCAGAGGGGTGGACTGAATGTAAAGATGGCTGCATGCAAAGATAGGAGTACAAGAGAGAGACAGCCATGAGGGGAGACCCAAGTGCTACCAGAGGGATCCAAGAGTTTGGAAGCTACAGAGCTAACCCCAATGAGCGAGGGAAGCAGAATAAGCAGGAGAGTAGCAGAACCTTTAATCAGCTATATGTGAGGTGTGAGGAAATAGGCTGAATGTGGATAAAGTGGGTGGAATTTAGCAGAAATGGACCTTACTGTAAGTAATAAGAAGAATGCAGAGTAGTCAGTAGTGTTTACCGTGAAGATACTAAAAAAGAATCACAATTTCACATTTTTTAACTATAGTAACAGTGAGTGTGAGAATAAATAAAAGTCAAGACGATGGAGACTGAACGTCAACATCACCATTTCAAATGACTAAAAGAATGTAACAATATTTTACCAATAGGGTGTTGAGAGCTGAAAGAAGTGAAAGTGAAATCTAATTTGGTGCTTTCCTGTGACTGAAGGAATGTCAACAGGATTTGACACTCACACAACTCTGCTACTTCAAGCCTAAATGTGTGTATATATATATCTAACCATGTATGTATGTATGTATGTATGAGTAGTATGTTGTATTTATTTCCCTTTTATGTCCAGAGACATGTCTGCTTTAGGTTTTACACTCTTACCTCTCACTTGCCTCGCGTTGCCTTTTGGACTGATGTTTGCTTTTGAATAGTGATGATAAGATGCATATCTGTGGATTGTACTGAATCATATTGTGGTGGTGGATCTTGTGGCTTTAGTTTGGATTACATTTTCTGCTCAAGAGAGATCCATTCAAAGACACATAACAATCGATTTGTTTAATTCAGCAGCCGGCCTTTGAAGATATAGTAAATCTGCCTGCATGAAGTGCTTCACAGAGGTTACTCTTTTTGTTAGCTCTGGTCACTAATGCTTTGCTTAGCAATTAAAATCAATGATGGGCTAACAAGACTTTGAAGCACCGAGGCTGCCAGTTGTCTTGAAAATTGGGTTAATTTGCCAAGACTTCAAGTGTTCAGTAGCAACACCTGTTGGTCAAAAGACATCACAGCAGCAAGGCATATTGCGTAGATAAAGAAAATATTGCAGTAGTTGAATCAATTATGTCCTGTAAATTAAACTGCTGACATAACAAAGAAATTAATTATTTTGCAGCTCTGGTTTGGATCTGTGGTAAAATGGTCAAACTAAAAATACAGTTTCAAAATCCTAACCCTTACCCTCATTAAATAGATAATAAAACCCTTATCAAGCATTACTACTGCCTAGTGGCTATTAGTAGAATTTGAGAATATGGAGGAGCAATGTTTCTGTGATTCATTAAATAATGAAGCTTCTTTTAACTGGGCTTTTACTACATGTCTGCTACAGACAGCAGGGCTTGTTTCCTGGTATCTTCATCAAAACTACCCATCAGAATTACTGTCATACTCATATCAGTCATGTGGTGTAAAAAAAGGCTTCAAGCGTTACTGATGTCATGGTTCACGGAGGGCATATAGTTGTTCTGGCTATTGGGTTCAACATGTAATGATGCACACTTCACAACGCTTCTAATTGTCAGGGTTTTTCCCTCAAGCAAAGTCACCAGGATTGTGGATATACAGGAATTCCTTATAAAGGTCTAAGGGGACTTTGACTCCACCAAGTTTCAAAGAGAAACACTAATGTTATTATATTCAATAACATGGTGATATATATATATAATGAGAAATGTCAACACAAAGCCCAGGAATGTTTGTTTGTGCTGTTGTTGCTAATTAGATCATTAAAATGACAAGTGATCTTTTTTTGGGGGGACAGTGACATTTATGAGCCCCGCGACCCTGTACACAGGATAAGCGGTTAACGATGGATGGATGGATGGATGGATGGACATTTATGAGAAGATAATAAATCTGAGGTGACTCTGAAACAGAAAGTTTACACAAATGAAGGAGATTATTATGCTTTACTGAAACTCAGTAAAATCTCAGTTTCTCGATGAACAACTTCAAAGTCTGCTCCTCAGAGTTAAAACAAGTATCTGAAAGTGCTGGTTTTAGCTGAAACCTCATAAAAGAGAAGTATTTAGATGTCCTGTAGTCTCAGCGGCGGGATGAATACTTCCCTCCAGAGATTTCAGGGTTGCGCAATGTTGACAGATTTGTGGGAAATGTTCCAGAGGAAATGCAGATTGGACGTTCTCCAATGAAAAATAGGAACTGAGGGGAGAAGAACTTAAAGGCAGTGCAGTTTCTATGGGCACAGCGAGGTACAACAAAGAAAATGTATCTTAGAAATATCTGCCACCACATCATAATTTAGCAGTATTTTTTAACTTTGCACTGGAATCCGGAGATTCAGTGGGAAAGCTTCATTCACCGCCTCTGCAGTTTTTCAGTGATTTAATTGGCAGCTTTTATATTGATTGTCTAATTTGCACAAAAAAAAACACAATACATGTATGAAATATTGATGTACTACTATCTACTCTACCACATTATTCAGCGAAAATAAAGATAATTCTTGATTTACATCATGAGATATATACATTATTAGACATCTCACTCGTGTTTCACTCTGATGCAAGCACATTTGGAATGCCTGAAGTCACACACATTAGCAGTCTGTATCTCTCACATAGCTTATACATTATTCTTCATACAGTTGGCAGTGTAGGCTGACTGCTACATACAGACATGGGCGAAGCTTACATCCTAACACCCGTCTAACTCCACAGGAAATGAGAAGATTAAGTTGTGCCCCAGCAAAAAAACAAACAAACCAAAAAAAAAAACCTTTCACATTGTCAAACATGAACCCTTGTTCATCTGATCCATAACAGATCCACAGATTTTCCCTGCTCTGTTCATTTGTCGCCCCTGCTGCTTAATCACACTGAACACTGGTTAATTCATTAGATTGACGTGGGACAATCACATGTTGCCACCAACTGACAGCTACTGTAAGTGTGTCACAAGAAATACAGCTATGACGAAAGCACAGTTCGGAAAACAGCACGGCCATTCTTTGCCTTCTCCACGGAGGATTTCAGCATGTTTTAACCAGGAAAAAAAACCACACATAATTTACATGGTCAATACAACTCGAGCGCTTAAAGATGGGGTGGCTCGCATATTTTTGGATCCAGTGTTTGTGACTGTTGCGTCCTCTGGGAAACCATACATGCAATAAAATGACGAAAAGGAAGTGAACCTGCTGACAAAAATGAATCTCCACAAAAACATGGCATTCACTGTCATAGCGCAGTGATTAAAAAAAAGAAGTAGTAATAATTGTAGGGGGATGGATTGTAACACATTATAGCTCAAATACACAACAGAAGGAGTGATAAATAGTCTGTAGGGGAGCAACATTTAGGATACGTTACAGCTTTGGATGCTTGTGTGGTTTGTTGACATGTTTCCTTTCATATCTGCAGTCTGTGTTGGACGTGGGAATTTCTAGTCATGGTCTGCGAAGAAGCGAGTCACATGCTTGCTGCAGCAGCATGTCTGTCTGGCGAGCAGGCACGACAGGGCAAAAAATAGCTGTTGAGGCGACTCTCTGCTCAACTGTCCGGCGGTCAGAACAATCTGTGGTACCCTGGCCACGAGCTACAGCTGATCCCACTTTCCTGATGCTTGTTGATGAGGGATTGGTATGCTGATTGATTGGCGGGTTTAGGGCTTTCAACAAAAGTGGTAGTTGTTGGTGTTCATCAGAGGCTGCTCCTCTTCCTCGTGGTCACAAGACTGGTCACATGGACCGTCGCAGCGCTTGGGCTCGTCACACCCTTCACCCTCGGTGACCTGCACATTCTGGTAGATTAGCTGTGGGGAGGCATCATTAGGATGGTGAGATTTGATCCAAGAAAGTCAAATCTCGGCTTCATTAATATTATGATGTGAAAAGAGAATGAATTCCTGCATTCAAACAATATTTTGTTATCGGTTTCTCATTAAAGTGACAGTGGATGTTTCTTTGCTGGAAATTGCAGCGCCCAAATAAGATTTTATCACCAAAGAAATCCAATTCATTTAATTAGCTTGACAGGCACAGCTGAATCTGTTGTGTCTTTGGGATAAATATAATGAAAGTTTCCTGAGGACATCTGGGCTGCAGCGTCACATGCTTTGTTATATGGGTAGTTTTGAAAAGAAAACTGCAGTCGCTAAGCGCTGCTTCACGCTAACTCACCTGTTCCTTCTCAGGTTGGTCCCCAAGCAGCCGCTCTATCATCTGAGTGATCTTGCTAAAAGTCGGACGCTCTGTAGGCTCCAGATTCCAGCACATCTTCATGATCATGTAGCTGAAACAAAAGTGAACCATACTTACAACTGATTTATTTCAGAGAAGCAGAGAAAAAAATGGCATTTTTCACTGTTTTTTTAACTGCTCAAACTTTGTGGGGTAAAATTAAGAAACTGCATAAAGCCAAATACGACAAATAAGGAGAGGCTTATAGAAGTGGTGACGCAGTTAGATAAGAGAGGCTCGTTCATAAGAACCCCTGCCCCTCCAGTCTCATTTTGCTGCCGTGAAATAGTAGTTACATGGCTTCCTAGCTTTGCGATCATGTGGCTAAAAGGCAGAACTGAGGCCTGACTCACAGCAGAACAACAGTAGAACAACTGACTCAGATTCAGACCCCTCCGTTTCCACAGTGTAGTTATTCCGGGTGGTGTGACAGCCACACCAAATCAGCACACACAGATGTTAGGGCCGTCTGAGAGACTGGGAAAAACACTCTCTTTATTTTCTTATTTCCGTGGCTTGTTAAGTTTGGAGTTTAGGCTTGTTATGTTTTGGAGGTTAGGAGATAACCCGAAGCAACTCAGTGAAACTCAGGAATAATGAAAGTGCTTCATGAGGTTACCTCATGTGTCAGTTATTTCAGATTTTAGATAGGGTGGACGACTGGCAAAGAAAAAAGGGATCTTTGTTCGGTCGTGAGGGACATTTGGGAAGCATGCTATTTGAACTATCCAATGTTGAAGTCAACTTAACAGTCATCAACTATATTTTATAAATCAGTCATTGTTAAAGTTTATATCAACTTAAACGTTAGTATTTGCTGCTGCATGTTAACAGCTGACTCCATTGTAAAACCCAGCTGATAGTCACTTGATACTCCAGTATAACTCAACTGATAATCAGGTGACACTAAGTAGAGGAGCAGCAGTGATCCGTTTTTGCTGAAGGGTCGAGCTTACATCTCAGGCGGGGCAAAGTCTGGTTGGGACATCTGGTAGCCGCGCTTCACCATCTTGTAGAACCTGGAGTCCACAGCCATGCTGGGGTAGGGGCTCTTGCCTAATAGGGAATAACATAATATACGATAATTTTAGCAAGCAAATCGTGAAATAAATGTGTGCAAAATGTAGGGTACATAGCATGCGTTCTGACCTAAAGAGAAGATCTCCCACAGAGGATGCCGTAGGACCACACGTCACTCTGGACGGTGTAGACACAGTCAAAGATACTCTCTGGAGCCATCCACTTGACTGGCAGACGTGCCTTCAATGCAAAGAGCACAAAAGAAGTGTTTATCTAGTCTCTAACTTGCTTAACGTGAAGTAAATGCTGGCTCTAATCTAACCATGGGCTTACATTGCCCTTCACCACGTAGTTGGAGTCATTCATGATGTCTCGCGCCAGGCCAAAGTCACAAATCTTGGCCACTCTGTTGTTGGTCAAGAGGACATTCCTAGCAGCCACGTCTCTGTGAATACACTGCACACACACACACACACACACACACACACACACACACAGTTTGTCTTAGGTTGTAGTCTCTCACATTAAAAGACAATAAGACCACTAGATAGAGTGTATCTTAATGTAGCATGAAGAATTACACAGTGTATACGGTCAAACTATGATGATGAGTAAATATGAGGGAAATACCCCTCACAATAATGAGGTTGCTTTTTTTATGAAATCCAGTGGTGATTTTGTTTGTCTTCTGGGTAATACCCTCTTGACAACACAGCGGCTGCTGCTGCAAATTTTTTGATTTTTATATGTTTGTACATTTAAATCCTTTCGGTGGTATAAAGTCACTCACATTTTTGGCAGCCAGAAAGTCAAGGCCTTGAGCCACTTGAAAGGAAAATCTTAGCAAATCATCAATATCCAGCGGCCAGTCACCAGTATCCTCACACACATAGTCTTCTAGAATCAGACAGAAATAATGTTAGTAACATCCAGGGTCAGAAAATAAAGAGGCTAATGCTTTTCATTAGCGTGCTGCTGCGTACTGACTGAATTTGTGCTCATTTTGTCTGGGATCGATGTGATAATGCTTTTTACCTTGAGATGACTCAGTATTTGGCAGCTGGCTGGGTCTCATCTCCAAGTAACTGCTTGAGGATGTACTGGAGATCCCGCTGTCACTGATGGATGGAAAGACGGAGTGGGATGTCAGCAGAAACAGATTACAGACAGAGATTGAATGTTTGCACATGTTTGGTTATTTACCTTCGAATGAACTGTTTCTGACTACAGATGTTCTTGTAGTCATTCGAGTTCTCCATAATTTCAGGAATGTTCATAACAAAGTTCACAAAGGTCTCTGCCTTTTGGCGAAGGAAGTTCAGGAGGTCGCCAAGGCTGCAGTACTCTGTGATCACAAGCACTGGTCCTGATGAGGAAACACAGAAACCCTTGCATGCATATTACTTCCATGAGCTGGATGAAATTTCAGAAACATGGTTTTGCAACATTTTCATTCCATCAAACATAAGGCAGAACAAATAAAGGATGCCGTCTGACCCCCATAGGTGCACGCTCCCAATAGATTGACAATGTTCTTGTGGTGTCCTAGGTGGCTCAGGATCTTCAGTTCAGACATCAGAGCTTCCCTCTCGTCTGAATGGGCACTCGCTGCAGAAACACATACAAAATGTCATCATATTATCATCCTATCCGATCATGTGAAACCAATGATTTAGCATTTGAAATGCCTAAATCTGATCTGATTTTTTATTTTAGCTGATACATTTTCAGATTTGTCAGTCACTCTTACTTGCTCACGTAAACAATAATCTCCCTGTTAAATCGGAGGCCTTAACATTGGCTCACCTTTTAACATTTTCACAGCTACACGCATCGTATTATCTTCCTTTCCCAGACCATAGGCTGTGGCTTCAACAACCTTTCCAAAAGCCCCTGCACCAAGGATCTTCCCTGGTTGGACAGAAAATACGAGAAACCATTTTGAATACTTAAACCCGGCCTGGTATTCACAGTCAAATTTCAGACATAATATATTTTATCTTCTTCTGATTCTATTATGCTTACATTCACTGTTCTGTTGTTATTTAATCATTTTATTTGCATTTTTCAACAGACAGACCTAGCTTCAGCTTGTCTCTTGGGAACTCCCACTTCTCATTGTAAGGCAGCTGAGTGGGGTCAATGAAGGTGTAGTTGTTTCCATCTCTTGCCTCAATGATCTGCCAGCGGATCTCATACCTGGGTTTCTGAAGACAAAAATAGGAGCGAAACCAAAACAACAAAAACACTGCAGCTAAGTAGCCCTTCTAAACAGTATTTTAGACTACTATATATTTCGGTGGCTACGCTTTAAAATTGTGAGTACACCTTACCTGCTTGTATTTGTAAAAAAGAAAAACCAGCAGCACAAGGAAATGGCCAGAATGCCTGCTGCTCCGGTCAACGTGGAAGTGAAGAGCTTGTCTGCACAGAGAAAGAATAGTATAAATGCATAATTTAACTCATGTGAACTGACATGTCCTACAAGATGATATTCTCTGATGTACTTCTGTGGATTTTGTTGCATTTTGTCTTTTTATGAAATATTGACCTACAGAAAATTAAACAATATAATTATGCAGTTTAACAGTTAACAGTAACAATCACAACTACAAAGGCATCAGCTGACTGTGACAACACAATGTCACAAACAAGACATTAGATTCGCTTTGGTTTGGTTGACAAGATCCACATGACAATGTACAATAACAAATTGAGAAGTATGGAACTTGTGATCACACCATGACAACAAATGATTATCAGATTATCCAAAACGCACCAGAAACCTCCATGGCAAACGTGTCGCTGCTGACGCCGACGAGGTTGAAGGCTACACACTCCACCGTCATCCTCCGGCTAGACGGCCCCACCGTGAGGACGCTCTCCACCTCCACTGCTCCGTACTCCTCCCTCTGGACCTCTACTGTAGGAGCCTGGAGAGGGATCGCCATCTGCAGCCCTGAGGTGTTTTCATTGCACCTGCCTCATACACATACACAGTCAGACAAAGGCCCCGATGCTTCAATTTACAGAATATTACACCAAACTTAATGACATTTCTCTGACTGCTGTTCCTTGTGTATTGATACTTACGTAGGCCGTATCCCAAAACACTGGTACCAGATGATTCTGGGAGCAGGGTAGCCAAATGAGGTGCAAGTGAGTGTGGTTATGTTTTCCCATCTCACCACAGCAACAGGTCTCTCTGCCAGTAAAGGACCAACAACAATTATCAGATTTGAAAGAAACTTGCATTTTCCTTTTACCTCAGAGAACTTAATCATGCCGTAACACCATGAATGAGTAAACTGATTGGTTGTGTGTTTACTGCGCCACTTACGATACATTTGGACTTGGAATGTGATGGATGCATTGGCCAATTCGCTCCTGGCGTAGAAGGTGTATTGCCCCTGCTCCTGTGCATTCATTCTCTTCAACTGCAGAGTAGCGTGGTATCTAAAAAAAATACCACCCCCCCCAAAAAAGGATCTTTAAACTGAGAAAAAAGAGGAATGTCTGCAGAATCCCATGTGACTAATTCTGCGGTTTGAATTCAGACACTTCCTATGTATCATAGCAGAGTATGTCAACAATCTAAAAAGAGAACACCCTCTTCCCTCTAACAGCAGTTTCATGACCTGAGGAAATATAATGACCTTTGCATTCCTGGTCAAATTAACCCAAAATGCACTGACAGTATTTTTCAGAGTAGCTTCTTCTTCCTGTAGTACACTTGATTGTTTTAAATGTAAACTGACAATGTGCTGACATCTTGGAGCAATACGATGGAGCTACTGGTTGGTCATCATCTCTGGCTTTTGTGTTGTACCTGTTGTTGTATCTGATGAGCTTGTGCTCCTGAGTGGACGTGTTGGGAGATGCTGGGGTGTGCCACCTGTGCTCCGTAATGTGGGGGTACGCTTCAATGAGCACACTGAGCTCCAGATCTTCTCCCTCGTTCACCTCGACTGAAAGACCCTGGTGGGCCAGTTTAGGGGACAGCTGTGGCAACAGCCTGATGTAGGGCTTGTCTGTTTAGAAGAAGAATCCACAACAGTTTGTTTTCGGTGCTTAATAAATATTCCATGCTTTTCGATGTGAGACGTAGCAAGAGGGTTTTACGTGGCTTACCTACAACCAGCAGGTACGTGGTTGAACTGTTCACCCCTGCTTCATTAGTGCCAATGCAGGAAATGTTTCCTGTGTCTGCAAGGTCCACAGCAGAGATGGTCAGTATGCTCTGTATGTCCAGGCGATTTTCTCCACTGGAGCGTACCCTCTCCTCTATTGTTGCTTTCTGAAGAGAAAAAGAGGGAATGCAATTAAATAAAAAATAATAAAATTATGATTACTATCACAAAAACGCCTAACACTGACCGACTTGGTGCTGTATTTCCAGGTGACATTATAGTTGAAGTTGGGGTTGTGTGTTGTGCAGCGAATGTTGAGTTCCTCCCCAACAATGCGCACATATTCATCCGTCTCCAAGAAGACATACGGAGGGAAACGAAGCTCTAGAGTAAGAGAAAATCATAAATAAGAATGAATGAATGAATGAATCACCTTGAATGACTCTAGGAAAGCTCTGGGGACTCATTAACAACACCCAAGTGGCCTCACTCTGAATGACGTTGATGGAAAATGCCTTGGAGGTCCTCTCCACTCCGTTGACCCTGGCTGTGCAGACATAGTCAGCATTGAAGCTGGGGTGGAGGCTGTGGATGAGAATACCACGGTGCCGGTGAACTGTGAAGTTCATCCCTGGTGGCACTGTGGTGCCGTTGTCCATGCGGAGGCCCAGGTTTGTGGCTGCTGGGTCGGTCAGCAGGCAGGGCAGCAGGTAGTCCTCACCCTCCTTCCTCACCACCCGCAGGGACGTGCTGCTGGTCCAGAACACACGGTTTGGATCTAGTAACAAAAGACATGGAGACAATATATTTGTTCATAGAACAATGGAATAAGTGAGATTTACACTGAGGAAATCTAATAAACAATAATAGCAAAGTATAACCAGTGTGGACAATGATCCATCCAAGCACTTACAACTAACTAACAACATTTGGAAGGGTGTCCTGCTGGTCTGTACACAGAATAGTAAGCTCACCTTTTACATACACATGCACTGAGGAGGCCAGTTCATGCTGTTGTGACCCAGCAGTGTAAAAACACTTGTAAGTTCCAGTGAATTCTGCAGATGGACGTTCAACCTTAAAGGTGCGGACATTCCCGTTGCCCTTGGACACGAAGCGCCTGTGTTTGGCTAGCCTCGTTTGCCAGTTTACAGGCCCGTCACCCTCACACGTCAGATCCAGAGCGCTCCCAGGTTTGACCACCACCTCTGAACTCCTCACCACCTTAGAGTTGAACTTGATCACCGGCAGCCTCCATTCTGCTGAGAAAGAACGACAATGTGAATTTAATGCATGCATTTATTGACTTTTTAGGTAAACAGACAAGTGTGAGGACACATTTTTTGGTAATTTTCTGATAACTGACAACCCAGAGCTGTCTCTTCTGCACCATGATTGATTTTTCACGAATTCAGGAAACAGATTGAAGGCTTGGACCCCGAAAACATCCCTCGATACTTTGTGCTTCTGCTTTTTACAATGTCGCTACTTGAACACTGGAAATATAAAAACTGTCATCATGCAAAGCTTTGCATCCATTTTTACTTGGGCCCATTGTTTGACACCAAAAATAAGGGACACATTCAAGAATTTTAAGCATGATATGGGGAGTAATAGTTTCCAGGCATCTTTAAGGGAGAAACTGCTAAAAAAGACCTTAACCCCCAGGCAGTGTTGAAGCAAGTTTTATTGATGAAGAACAGTGCTCTCTTTGATGACTTTTTTGAGGAAACTCAGCTGGACAATTTATGGCATCTAAGATTTGTTTTAGGCTGGAAAACGTTTGAGAAAAGTATGGACAATGAAGAGATTGACGTGCCTTTCCAGTAAGACTGAAACTTTCTCTCATTTAGAGTTGAGCCTAAGCTTTCGGTAAATCTTATAAATGGTTTCCATTTCAAGGGTTTGGACAGTGTGTTTCGAAGCTTGAAGCAGAACTGAGATTCCACAATCAGCATTTTTTTCCATTCACCACAGCACACAAGCTAATGTAGAGAGACGCAGAATTAAATGCAGTTTGAAACCAATCAGCACTTTTAGTTCCGAACCTCCTGATTGTTGGTGTAAGCAGTTACCTTTTCTCCTCTTCAATCATCTAAATGAACAATTCATCCAACCTAAAAATGTCCCCAATTACACTTCATACAGTAATCCACCAGAAAGCAAAGCTAATTCACTCAGCCATCATTAAACCTAACAACAGATGCTTTCATAGACTCAAATGCAAACACATGAAATTGCAATATGTGAGCCAAATCAAAAAAGAATGCATCACAACAATCACCCCAAAAAACAACTCATGAATCTTGAGACACAACAGAGTATCAGATCTCAGATGCAGAGCGTTTCTCAGCTCTTCTGCACTGACCATGAATTAATGCCATGTATTATGTGATGAAATTATTAGAGCATACATGACAGGTCATGTTTGGATATGTATTTTTAGACTATTATATAAGTAACTGGTTAGTTGTGGTTTTAAAAATATACATCTTGTTGCGATTGGATTTAATTTAAAACTTGAACTGGATATTTACCAAACCTTTTAGAACTTTTTACATACTGAACTCTACATATTATCACACTTTACATCTTTCAAATCAATATGAAAACAATAAAAGGAAATCACTTTTCTGAGTTTTTTTGAGTGCTCCTCTTTCACTTGTTTTATTTCAGCGTGTGGATTGCATATTTAAATATACAGTCACCACACAACCAGCGTGAAAAGAAATGTTTTGGAGGGCCTTACCTGAAGCAGCGGAGGCCACAATCCCCAGCAGCAGAGCAAGGTAGGACTGCATCCTGGATCAACTTCAAACCTGCAGTTTGAATGCTGATATTTGCGTGTGCTATAAAACACTTCTGATCTGTAGAGTTGGAGAGAGAGAAATAAGAAAACCACCTCTGAAGTTGTGGTGTCACTCATCCCCCCTCATTAACTTCTCTTTTCTGACTGGTCAGAGCATCTATGCCCGTAAATACAAATCTTTGCTGAACAACAATCTATTGTACGTCAATGTTTGTCTTCTTATGTACACATTAAAATCAGGAAACAGGTTAAAGAATTAAATACTTTGAGGAAGAATTTCTTACATAAGGAATTAACAACTAGCCACTGCACCTCAAAATACAGCTGATGATGCATTATGGAAGCATCACTCATTTATTTCAAATGTAGGCTACTCACCTGCAGATGTCTTCAGGTTAATAGAGGGGAATGATAACTTCCCTGGGTGTGACGTCTCCACCCAGAGCAGACACAAGAGTCCCTTCCTCCCCTTCTGTTTGCCTCTGCCCTTCTTCTCCCTTCTGCTTGTTTACAGTCTCTTCCCCACATAAGCCACACAGCTAACATGAAATGTTTCAGAACAGCAAGTTGTGGAGGGTGGAGGGAACTCTGTGACTGGGTGGGGTGTCAGCATATCATGCTCAACATATTAATGAGCCGGTGCCAATTTGCCACAGAAAGGCGCAATTCATGCAATTCATGTCTAGAGGTGAGACTAATCACCTCCATCCCCGTTGGACAACCGTGCCTGCCAGGCTTTTCTAGCCAGGGAAGCGTGGACTCATGGGAGACAGATGGAAAGTCAAGTTAGTCTTACAAATTTGACCTAGGAATCATATTAAACAGCTAAGAGATATGAGAGTGTGAAGAGAGAGACAATTCTTTATGGATGTATGGTAGACAGGAGTAAGACTCGTCATGAAAGCACCAGCAGATGGTTTCTAGCTGAATCTATCTGAAAAAATTCCAGTGCACTGGAATTTAACTTTATATTAGTGAGACGTCAGTAATTACTTTCAACTAGGATTGTTGGGAGTATTTTTGCTGCTCTAGCTCAACCCAGTACATTTTGTATATCTTTCATTGCATCAAGTAATTATCTATACTATACATTTAAATGTACATTAGTTCTGCTAAAGCACGCATAGTTGTCTCCTTATTTTGGCGACTCATGCCAACGTTAAATCCCACAGTTGTTTACACTGTTCAGTTTTGGTAGTTAACGTTATATACTTTAGCGTAGCTTAACGTTAGCTGCTGTACCCAGTAGAGGTGTTTTGGTTTAAGAGTGGCCTTGTTAAGTGTAGTTATGACAGCTTTTAAAGACTGGAACCTGCAACCATTGGGATGCGAGTCCTGCGCTCCACCAACTGAGCTAACTACTGACTCAGAAAATGGCCGTAGAATAAAAAATGATCGTAAATAAACCTTTTTATATAACGTATATTAAACGTACCTGCAACCCCTGTATTCAGCCATGGTTCCTTATCTCGAGATCACGAGAAAATTATCCCGTTATCACGGAAAACGGAGTAAAAGAAATATTTGAATTGATGGCCGCTTAGGTTTTCCATACTGTCGTGCTTAAAGGAGACCTATGCTTTTTACACATTTTGTGACTTATCTACAATGTTATAATGTTGGATGTTCATGTTAAACATGGCCAAAGTTTCAAAAAATTAGGTTAAAGCATTTATAAGAAATCACTGTGAGCAAAGACCTCAGGTTTCCTCCTGTTCTGTTTTGAACAGATTTTTCTACAGCTGTTCCATATATGGTCCTGTGCTCCCACACTAACGGCATGGCAACCAGTCTGCCTGTTCCGCTCAGCAACAACAGCCTGGTAACATGCTTCAGGTCTTGGCCAATCAGAAGACAGTGGGCTTTGAGAGGGGGGGCCTTAAAGAGACAGGAGCATCTACAGCTTGTTCAGACAGAGGCTGAAATGAAGGCCTACATGAAGAGTCAGTATAAGAAAAAAAAAAAAATTGAAACAATTTGAACTTTGAAACATGCAAAGCTACCACACAGGAGTCCCAGAACTACAATATAAGACTGGAAAAGCAGTATAATAGGTCTCCTTTAATACCTCTGTTGAGTTTTTCGTTAAACATCTGATCCATCTCTTTACCACCATTAACCTCTTGCCCCATCCCAGGCTGCTTAAAGAAGTTTTACCCTTAGTTAGCACTTCTTTACTAGACTTGATCAATCCATCTTTACTAACAAGCTATTTACCACAGTCCGTTTAAAATAGCTGAAATTAAAAATATTCTTTAAGGGTGCTTTCACACCCGTAGTTCGGTTCATTTGGTCCAGACCAAGAAAAAAATGATATGCTGTTGCATTTTTGTTCTGGTCCGGTTCATGTTCACACTGCAGTTTTACAAACGAATCAGAGAAGTAACCATGATGTTACACAGACGTACAGGTAACTTGTTGATTGGACAGCTTTGGTGATTGTCATCCTGCATCATCAGGACCCACGTGGGGAAATCAAACTCCGGTGACTGACATAAGTTTGTGCAGCACTTTAACGCTTCTGATCTGTATCGCAAAGAGCTCACAAAGTAATAATTGATTATAAGCATGATTAGTAATGCTAGACAGCAGAGCGACCGCATAGCCTATTATGAATAATAACGTAATAACAGGACATGTAGGCTACAGTAATAATTCGGGGCTTATTCGCCTATACTGTGGTATCGCTGTCACACATTTTTTATGGACAGGGTAAACGGAATACTACTTGCCCTCTTTTTTAAACATATTTTAACCTATTAATCAGGGAAATACACATGCTGACAAGTAGGCTATACTTTATAAAATGATTTTCATAAACATAGCGGCTTATACAGATCAATTATAAGATCGCTGAACACATGTCGCTGTCAGCAGATGGATTTATTAGTGGTTTAGCTTTGGAAATAATGCTCAGATCACATCTCTGCTATCATAAAATCCTGTGTTTGTTTGCTTTCACACTACAAGCGAACCGCACCAGAGTTCGTTTGAAAGTGTACCGAGATCTCCTTGAAGAGGTGGTCTCAGTGCACTTGTTTGGTCCGCTTTTGGTGCGCACCCGAGTGCGATTGTTGCATTCACACATGCCCAAACAAACCGCACCAAGGGGGAAAACGAACTCTAGTGCGATTCATTTCAAAATTCCATCCAAGAAGTAACAAATACTTGGACTAGTTTTTCCGCATCGTTTTGGGACAGGATGTTCATGATGTTTGCAATATTACGTAGGTGAAAAAAGGCATTCCTTGAAGTTTGCTTTATGTGATATGTCCTGATAAAGATAACTCCAAGATTCCTTACGGTGGTGCTGGAAGCCAGGGCGGTGCCATCCAGAGGAGCTATATCTTTAGATAAAAATTGCAGGTCATCAAGGTTATTGTGTCCTTAAGGCATGCTTGATGTTTAGCTAACTGATTGGTGTCATCTGGCTGGATCAATAGATATACTGTACACCTGGCTAGTACCGGGTTGGACTCCTTTTGACTTAGACAGACTTTCTTGTCATTCAACTGCACATTCAAAATGTACATTTGAGCGAGATTTTGTTGAAAGGCTCCAAATAAAAAACAGAAGACAAGTAAAAGAAAAATAATGCCTAAAAAATAAAATGCCTTCAGAACTGCCTTAATTCTTCGTGGCATACTTTTAACAAGGTGTTGAAAGACAATTCAAGACCTTAAATATACACTCACAGGCCACTTTATTGGGTATACCTTACTAGTACCAGGTTGGACCCACTTTTGCCTTCAGAACTGCCTTAATGCACTTTAAATCCTGATTAAAATCCTCAAATAAAACTATTGTTAAGTAGAAAGTCACACAACTGATTGGCGACTGCTTTCTCTTGAGAAAGAGAAGGTTATATAACGGTCTATTGTTGACTAAAACCCCTGGATCAAGAGTGGGCTTTTAGGGTGCTTTCACAACTGCCTCATTTAGAAGAAGAATTAAGGCAGTTCTGAAGGCAAAACTAAGAAGATGGTGGCGCCTTGCTCGGCTTCGGCTGCAATGGCTCCTTGATTTCTGAAAAAAGTTGCAATTTTGTTGTTGTTCTGTTTCTTTTATATTTTTATTCTATTTTATATTGCAAATACTTATATTCATACTATTTTTCTTTTACTTGTCTTCTGTTTTTTATTTGGAGCCTTTCAACAAAATCTCGCTCAAATGTACATTTTGAATGTGCAGTTGAATGACAAGAAAGTCTGTCTAAGTCAAAAGGAGTCCAACCCGGTACTAGCCAGGTGTACAGTATATCTATTGATCCAGCCAGATGACACCAATCAGTTAGCTAAACATCAAGCATGCCTTAAGGACACAATAACCTTGATGACCTGCAATTTTTATCTAAAGATATAGCTCCTCTGGATGGCACCGCCCTGGCTTCCAGCACCACCGTAAGGAATCTTGGAGTTATCTTTATCAGGACATATCACATAAAGCAAACTTCAAGGAATGCCTTTTTTCACCTACGTAATATTGCAAACATCATGAACATCCTGTCCCAAAACGATGCGGAAAAACTAGTCCAAGTATTTGTTACTTCTTGGATGGAATTTTGAAATTCTTTATCAGGCTGCTCGAATAAGTCAATTAAGCTTCTCTGCACTGGCTCCCTATAAAATCCAGAATAGTATTTAAAATCCTTCTGCTCACCTACAAAGCTCTTAATGGTCAGGCACCATCTTATCTTAAAGAGCTCATAGTACCTTACTACCTCACCAGAGCACTGCGCTCCCAGAAGGCAGGGTTACTTGTGGTTGCTAGAGTCTCCAAAAGTGGAATAGGCACTCCTTTCTTCTCCTCTCCCTCTCCATCTTTCTTACCCATTAATGCATGTAACTAACTAGACTGCTGCCCTCTCCCGTAGTTTTGTGCTTTCTCGTCTCTCTCCTCTCCTACTTTCACTTTCAGCAGGTATTTCTGCATCCGGAGCTGTGGGAATTGGATATGTGGTTGCAAGCCACCTACTTTCCCCATGTTCCTTCGACACGCGTTGCCACAGTTATTATTAATAGTTCTATTATTATTATTAGTAGCAGTAGTTGTAGTAGTAGTAGTAGTATTACTGCCTGTTAAAAGGAAGTGTTTCTCTGCCACTGTCACCAAGTGCTTGTTTATGTTGGGAATTAATGTGGTGGGTGTCTGTAAATAATATTACAAAGAGTATGGTCTACACTTGCTCTGTCTGAAAAGTGCAGTGAGATAACTTCTGTTCTGAATTGTTGCAATATAAATAAAATTTAACTGAACAGTTGATTAGTTTTAGGATTTTTTTATAGCAGATTTAAAAGTGCAAAAAACAGATGCTGGCAGAGAAGGGCAGCTAGATAAAGCCGTTGAATTCACATGATTCATAAAAGATTCACGCTTCCAGTATTACTATGATAATACACATTTATTGTCACATTTACAACATATAAAATGGCACATATAAAAAATACATTTGTAAACGTTAAGAAAAGCTTTGGTACCATAGCTTGTGATACAGTGATCTTGTGCATTTAAAATTGCTACAGAATATTACTATGTGTTGTTTTAAATGGACTAAGTATTGAAAGTTGAAACACTGTGTAAGTGAATGTTATCGAATGAAACAGAAGACTAAAAGCATAATATTTACATGTACACATACGGCTATCTAGGTTCCTTGAGTACAGTAGCCCTTCATATCGCAAGCGACAATAGCTGCAAGACAACACTCTGTCAGTCTATATACAAAGGCACTCGTGTGTGCCATCTTGTGCTCAGGCAGTGATACGCTGTATTTATTATTTCCACTTGTAGGAGTCACCTGTCATCACAGAAACTGATTTACCATTACAGGCACATATTTAAGTATTATCTTGTTAAATGTATTATCTCTGTCTTTATGAGAGTATATTTATATCCTCATTATGACTAACCCATTTTTCTAAATAAAGTGCAAATCTGGCACAGAACTATAACAAGCACTATAAGCCTCAGACTAAGGATTCAAAATTCACATATGACATATACATTTCATATAATTCTCAGGAAACAAAGAAGTGGAAATCTTCATGTGGCATGTAGCTATAAACAAATGATCTCTCTTAGTAAAACAGTGCATGTAGAATCTCTGGATATCATGTCCTTGGAATGACATTTTTACAAATATAATGCAGCGAACACAGCCGCTCGTACTTCAGGTAAGTAAAAAAAAAGCAACATAAAGTTTGAACCCAATAACTGTTGTTCCAGGGCTGCTCATGGTTAAGGACATAATGCTATATTAATTTTTCTTTTTATTTCATACTTGTTTTGGCAATGTAAATATTTGTTTCCAATGCCAATCTGAATTTGAATATTGTTCTTGTTTGGACAGTATTTTGTTTTCATGTGTGTATTTGTTTATGGTTTTTTTATTGTTGTGTTAATTACCTTGTGTTTTTAAAACAAATAAAATTGTTTGTAAAAACATCCACTAAACATTTCTAAACATCCACACTGGTCATTAACACTAAAGAGGGGACAAAATAGTAACAGCCAAAATTAACATATGGCTAAATGTGTCCAACTAAAAAAGCACATATCTCATAAGGCCTCACAAGTCTCTGGCTACAATGGAAAATACATCTTTACTTAGTGTAAATTGAATCCATGTGAGAGTGAGGAGAGTACCGTATTTATTTTATGGAAAGCTTCTTATGAATGACTGGATCGTAACATAATGCTTATTATTTCTAACCATTTTGTAGTTTCAGAGGTACTAAGTTCGATACAAAAGCTCAAAGAAGGGCAAAACTTTTTGAGTGCTTAGTGGAGATACAAAGATTGCCTTCTCAGTTTCAATGTTGCTACATTCTAGTTTAGTCACGTTCCCTTTTTCAGGCATGTTAAAAAAAAATCTCAGAAAAGGGCTCTGTTCTCTCAGGGTTCTGTATGTAGCTACAGGAAGCTGTCTTCTACCTCGGGCGTCCTGGAGGAGCACAGCAGAGCATCTCTCTCGCTGGTCTCCTCCACCCTGTCCTCTTCTGGAAGAGTGTCGGCCGTGTCCTGCGACATGGAGTCCGTCTCCTCCTCCAGAGCCAGAGAGCTGAGGGCAGGAAAGCAAAACACAACTTCACACTGTGCACTCCATCATGTACGAGCCATAGAAAGACACACCATATAGTCAGTATTTATTAATGTCTCTTGGGACTGATCCTGTCATTATCCCTCTTTTTTTTCATCTCCCTTCCAGCAACCACAAGTCATTTTTAACTCACAAATTAAACTAATTATCCATTTTTAGAACATTTAAAGACATTATGCGTCTTCTGCTTCATACGTTTGGCCTTTAAGTATTTCTAAGAGAAAAGTATTTCCAATGCAGCTTGTATAGAGACATGTTGAGTACTCCCTCTGTACCTCTGGCACACACACATGCACTAAATTACTGGGACAAATCAATTTACTGGATGTTTTTTCTCTTAGTAATCAATTACACAGATAGTACTTCTTACTTTGTTGGGATGTTAAGCAGCATCTAGCTAACATCCAAAATTAAGTTTAAGTTGGCCTACTGGAAGTGATATAACTGAAAGCAAATGTTTTACCTCTGGAAGGCCATAAACAGGGCTGCATTTTTCTCATTATTTTCATTGTCGATTAATCTGCCAATTATTTTCTCACTTATATGAGTAATTGTTTGGTTTATAAAATGTCAGGAAAAATGTCTTTAACTTGCTTGTTTTGTACGACTGTGAGTCTAAAACTCAAACATACTCTGCAGATTGCAAACGGGCTAATAACCTTTCCCCTCACCCTCCTGTTCCAAGTGTGTAGAAGAAACACAAAAGGCCCACTCCAGACCCAGCGCGTGGTTTGTCTGTTCTGGGCTACTGTAGAAACATGGCAGTGCAACATGGCAGACGATTCTTATTTTCAGGTGCACTAATGAAAACAAACTTATATTTCTGCCAATAGATGTCCCTAAATCTTACACAGTGGTCCTTTAGGATGATGAAACCAAAGAATGTTTGGCATTTTCTCAAAAAAATGTTTAGTCGATTACCAAAATAACTGCTGATTAACTTTCTGTCAATCTGATTATTAATTAATTGTTTCAGCTCTGGCAATAACTTTAAATTGTTTAAAGAAAATGTGAAGGATGTCTGTTGAATGACTGATTGGCACACATAGTGGAGGTTTCTTATTTTGTTTTAAGATGCTGCCTGATGTGTCCATGAGATCCTCACTGACATCAGTCTGTGGATCTGGACCAACAGTGTGTCTGTTATTTGTCTAATAAGGAGGCCAAAGACCTCTAACCCAAACCACAATGTTAAAGGTACAATCTATGAGCCAAATGTCAACAAAAGACTTGCCCCACTGCCAAAACTCAAAACACAGAGTTGGAATGTGCTATCACTCCCAAACCCATCAATGGGTATTTTAAGACACACTAATACTGAACAGCTTTGATTAGATGTGTAAATGTATCTTGATGTTGTATGGTCAAACATTTATTTGGCTTTTTAAGCCAACTTTGCTTGGCTGCATGTTTATATAGGCTATAAAAACATGTCTCCAATTCGGCCTCCACAATACAGTTATTGTCTCCAGCTCAACATCTGGATGAGTGGGTGTGTGGTGGAAAAAAAACTCAAATCTTGTTAAATAAATACATCCTCATCTTTCTTGCAACCCCAGCATTTGGCACACATCTGCAGCATCTTCTTCAGCAGTTCTATACCTTGCAGGGCTTCCTGACGGCACGTCAGTGAAAATGTCCTCCGGCTTGGGATCTGGGATGGGAATGATGTATTCGTTGTATGAAGTTATGATTTCTTGTGTATCCGCCTCTTGTCGGAATTCTCCGGGGCTCGGGCTCTGGTTGTAGGGGTCCGGGGGGACGTAGAGGGTGACGGGGTATGGGGAGCCAAATGCTGGGTTAGCAATTGGAAAAGGTGAGGAGAGTCTGGGTTTGGTGCGGGCGACTGCCGGGTGGTCGCTCTTCAGGAAGTTGTCATTGACTTGGTTGTATCTCTGTTGTCAGGAGACAATAGTTTGATTATTTGAGCAACGAGGGATCAATTAATCAACAGTTTGGGAGCTTCAGTTTGCTGAGTGAAGATATGAGACACTGAGCACCAAAGATTTTACATCACAGCTACTTTAAGAACCAGAGAGGAATGAAAGTGGAGGACAGTGTTTCTATTATGTGTATTATGTGTAACTGTTTTCAGAACTGAACCTGCACAGTCATTTACTGAGTGGATTTATCTTTATCAATGCAACAGAAAAGCAAAAATATGTTTGTATACCTAATTGTACATTATCTAGTGTTGCCTTTTTTAATTTTTGAAAGTGAACTTTGTCCAACATATCTGTACCTAAATTCCCAGATTTATATATGTATTTGTTTTTATTGATTTGTATTTTTTAACATGTATACATCTGCGTTGTGTATACTGGACTATAGCTACATAACTTTACTATATTTAAACATTATGAAAAACTAAAAGCTTGTTATCTAACAACAGTGTCATAGGCAAGCAGCATCAAGCAAAAGTGGAATAAGTGCTTAGATCCTTTATTTATGTATAAGCAGTAGTACAAAAGTAAAAATATTCTCTTAAAAGCAAAAACATTAGAGTTTTTACTTTTACAATAATTATCAGCAAAATATACCTAAAGTATTGATGAAAAAGTAAAAGTACTTGTTATGTTGTATTATACTATTACTTAAATCATAATATTGGATTATTATTACTAATGCATTAATGTGCAAGAAGCATTTTTAGGTGAAGCTACTAGCGTTTATAAAGGATATATTTATAGTGGAGCTTCCCTGTCGAGAAGTTTAATCCATCCTTATTTGATTATATGTTTTGTATGAAATATCTGAACCTGCAAAGTAACGTACAGGTACCTCAAAACTGTACTTGAGTTAATGTGACAGACATATATACATGGTTCAGCAGCTAAATTATTACCAACCAGCCACTAGGGGGCAGACAGGCTGACTGTGAGTAGATGAATTAATGAACTCGTAGATAACCTCACCCAAGAATAAAATAAGACTTGCAGATCAGGGATTTGTGGTATAGGGTCCAAGCTCACTGTTTAATGCAGCATCAATAAATAAATGAATACAAATTTATTAAATAAAGTACCTTTTTATAGCTGTCTGTCAGCATATTCCCCACACTGTGGACCAGAAAGGAGAAATCGGGCCTCTTCTCGAACTTCTCGTCCCAGCACTTTTTCATGATCTCATAGCTGCAACATAAACAACATCAAATGAATTAATTTCAGTAAAGTTCTCTCTGTAGAGGTGACATGAAGATTACAGTGGGACTCACACTTCATCAGAGGCATGGGCGGGTTTTGCCATTCGGTAGCCTCTCTTCAAAGCGCTGTAGAACAACTCGTTCATGGGCAAATCAGGGTAAGGGGTTCCTCCTGCAGAAAGCATTTCCAATAACAGAAGTCATGCACAGGCTAGAAAGCTAAACTTGATCTAAATTAAACAAGAACAAACCATAAATCTGAAGTCATGCACACTCTAAAATATGTCCTTATCAGCAAGACATTTTGTTAACCTACCAGACATTTGACATGTGAAATTAATGTCATGTATTTTCTGAGAAAAACACACTGAATCACATTTCTTGTGCAAATAAGTAGTTATTTTGATCCACATAAGGAAAATGAATGTGAAAAGTCTAATGAATGTCAGATTCAGACTGGGAAGCACAGAGAATCTTTGGTTATCTCTTACAGAGCCTGGATTGTGAGTTTGTTTTCCACCACTCGAGCTTATGCTGTGTATGCAATAAACTGTCTCCTTTGTTTTCATAGTCGTTTCATAAAATCGTGGGAAGAGGGTTTTGAGAGAGAAAAAAGAAGAACAAACAACTCACAATACCCTGAGCAAGGAAATGATGATTTTAAAGCTTGACTGTGCCTATAAAGATTAAGACCTCATATGAACCTTCAAACAAACTTGTATGTACTTGCAATCAGGCATGAAATTTGAAGTTTGCCATCGATTTGCACATACACACAACATTTGCTGCCATTTTGGACACTGAGAAACCTGTTTTTCCAGGATTGTTAGTGTGACTTCAAGATTTAACGATGAGTTAAACAGCTGAAACTGGTAACAGTATGACCCATTTGCAAATAAAGATAAATCCCTTTTATGTGTGTCCCAGTTTTATATGTGTGTTTGGACTGACCCAGTGTGAAAATCTCCCAAAGAAGAATGCCGTATGACCACACGTCGCTCAGGGTGGTGTACAAATTATGGAAAATACTTTCTGGTGCCATCCACTTCAGGGGAAGGAAGGTCTGAACGAAAGAAAACAAAAACACTCCATGTGAAGAGCTATTTTGAAACATCACACCTTCAACTGGGTTAAAAGAGTCTCTTAGGACCTTATTTGCAGTATGTTATTTAGATGACTGCTATTTCATTTTGGTAAGTAATATTCATTACATTACTTTCATGTAATGCATGCAAATGTACATGTACATTCAAGTGTATGCAAACTAAATAGGAACAAGAGCCAGATGTCAAAAATTAAAAATGCCTTTCAGGTGTATAGGTTCTGTTTGTTTTTTTATAGATGTTCTGTGCAATGATTTCGCCACTTACGCTGCCTTTAGAGATGTAGTTGGAATCATGCATGATGTCTCTGGCCAGGCCAAAGTCACAGATCTTCACCAGTTTGCCTTCACAGATCAACACATTCCTGGCAGCAAGGTCACGATGGACACACTGTGGTGGAATAAAATGAAATAAAATAGCTGTTTTTACACTTCAGGTTTTATGCAGATTAAACAAACAATATTTAAAGTGTTAATTAGTGAGCTTTAGAGGTGCTGGTAGGTGGCTTTTGTTATTGTCAGACCAAGCCAGGTTTGCCTTTTTCCCCTTGTTTCCAGTCTCTATGCTATGCTAAGCTAACTCCTATTCTACTCCTATTCGGAGTACAGGCATGAGTGGTATTGATCTTCTCTTCTAAATCTCAGTCAGAAAGTTAATTATTTCCCAAAATGTGAAACTGTTCATTTAAATTTAAACAACTATTCATAATATCTTACATTCTTAGAGGCGAGGAACTCCATCCCCTTTGCTACTTGGTAGCTGAAGCCCAAAAGATCGTCATAGGTGAGAGTGGGAGAGTCACCGATGGCCAGGTCCAATCCGCCGCCACCTGAACACGATTACAAGGTGAGACGACAAACGTAAGAAGAAGAGAAGGTGAGGAGCGTTCAAGAATGAAGACATTGTCTTGTCGTTTGGGGAAACTCCAGCTGTCCTGTGACTGCATGGGCTGAGATGAAGCTCATGCCCTTCATATGCTGTGACATTTGTCCATATATTCTCTCCAGTCTTTGATCCCTAAGCAAATTGCATTCCTTGATTTATGAGTCTGAAACAATTAATGTGTTCATGAATTGCACTATTTCAAGTTTGTGTTAAAAATAGCACTTTTTACACATCATACAGCTGGACAGCAGACATACACGGTTGGTCTCGCCTCATACTGTACTGCTATCTCATTCTGCTTTGTTTCCTGTGATCAGTGTGCTGAATTCGTCACACTTGTTTTCATTTACAACTCTGGAAAATGAATTATTGTCAACTGGAGAGTCTACAGTCTTACAACATCAACACAGACACACACATGGGCTCAAATCAAACCTTGTTCCTGATAGATGTCCTGCTGGTAGGGAGACTCGTATGGGGAGGGCTGGATGTCTGCGTACTTTATGCTGTCTATCTGCTCCTGCATGGGTACGTAGATGGAGGGCTCATCTTTACTCATGTCCATGTATCCTCCATCGCTCTCACTTCCAAAGGACACATAGCTGGTGGGATACATGAAGCATGAAAAGATGCAATGTACTAAACTGACCTAAATACACCTTTATTCGTGGTTCCTCATCATATCAAACGTTACATCTCTTGGTATGTGACAGCAGAAATTTCAATTAAGGAACCCCCCGTTATATTATATTACACACAATGCTCCTTTGTGCAGGGATTTTGTGCATTTTGTTTGCTCATCTCACCCTTTCCTCTGGCTGAGTGGGGTGCTTCCTCTAGAGATGAGACAGCCGTCGTCTTGGTTCTTCTCAGCGTAGTACTGCAGGAGGGTGTGCTTGTTCCTGTGCAGATAATCCACCAGGTCACCGTAGCGACAGTACTCAGTCACCAGATAGAGAGGGCCTGATTGGCGGAAGAAGAAAAGTTGGAAAATTTGGGATATGGGACACTAATAAACATTAATTTCACTATAGGCGGGCACCCTTACTTTTCACACAAATATACAAAAAAAGTCATTCATTAAGCTAACTTAAGTTAGTTAAATGGAGTCCTTTATAATAACATTAATTTCATGATTTTTATTTATTACTTGATAATTAATTACTCAATAATTAATTTTATACACTTGAATAATATTGTATAAGGTAAGTTATTCAATAATATTTATGACATGTTCATATATAAATTATTTATTTCAATATTATTAAGGCAATGCATTTTTTTGTCTTTGTAGAAAATATGTCAATAATTTCCTTTAAAAAAGCTATTATTTGTGAATTTTTAAACTATGCATGATTGAAGTAAACATTATGTGTTTTGCTGCTGAAACTGACTACATTATTACATAACTGTGATTAATAAATAAACAAATAATAAATGGTTTAAATCATACATAGGTGTGCATCAGCAGCTATCTCTTGCTCAATGAAATTAAGAAAAACGTGCGCATTCTTATCACATGTAAAATGTAATTGTATCTATTTACATCATGAACTGATCATATAGAATACAGACTATGAGCTTTTTTCAACAAAATCAACTACCACTATTTTGTGTAAAGTAAATGAAAATCTATAAAATTCTGAAAAAGTACTATATACTTTTTTTTGTTCTTGTTAAAGAAAAAAATTTGGCAACATTCTGTTGATTCAAGTACTCATCTCATTAGTCACGGACAGATTGGACAGAGATGAACCTCAGCGGGAGGTCACAAGTTGTGTTTTCTTCCTTAAAAGGGTATTGATGTGTCATAGCATTTTTTCCTTTAGAGAACATTTTAATGGAAAATGTGTTTTGTGAGTTCACAGACAAAGAAGGGAGACAAGCAACCAATATCTCTGAACCCCCACATGTTGCCTTTGCAAAGAAAGGTTTGGTTGGCGGTTCCCTTTAAGTTTCCCATGAAGAAAATGCTCACCACTGATATCAGGTGCTGTTAATGCCTAAACTAGCATAGCACTGGTTCACAAGGGAGGCTCACCATGTTTGGTGCAAGCTCCTAGCAAGTTCACAATGTTGAGATGAGGACCCAGGTGACTCATGATCTTCAACTCTGACATCAGAGCCTGAGTCTCACTCCTCCTGGCTGTAGCTGGATGGAGAGAGAGAGGGAGGGAGAGAGAGAGAGAAAAAAAAAGAGGTAGCTAGGTGTGAGAACAGGGGGAACAAAACATACTGAGATCAGAACACATTGCATCCTTGCCAAACTGCTCAATGACCCGTTGGCTGAAACTCGAACCAGGCTGGCAACCAAACAAAAGCTCAGCAGGCTGCTGCTCTCTCTGAGCTCGCAGGAATATGGCTCTGCTGTCACAATATTTGACAGCTATACGCAGGGGACTTGACAGTGACTCGCACATGGCTTACTGCAGTGTTTTTATATTATATGTCTTACATTTCAGCATTTTCACGGCCACTTTTGTGCTGGACTGGGAATGAGTGAGACCATACGCGGTTGCCTCGACCACCCTGCCAAAAGCTCCTGATCCAAGAGTGCGACCTGAAACACAAAGAAAGTCTCAGTGGGACAGAGTGTGAACGAAGCACATGGTAGACCTGAAAAGGAAGGGAGAACCTCTCTTTTCATTTAAATTTTAATGTGAACAAACCTCTTTGGTATCTTGTTATTCCTTGGACAGTGAGATTAGAAACTTGCTTGAGGAGGTTTTTAACAGATGGTCCAGATTACTTTCATGAGCAGAGGTCTAGCCATGGAAGGTCTGAGTAAGCTTGGGAAGCTTCCTGTTTGTAAGGAGCAGCTGACTACCACCAACACATCATCAAAAACAAAAGCGCTTTAAAAACGGGGTGGGATTACGGCCAAGAAGACAAGTTTAACAAACCTCACTTATATTCTCGCTTGTATTCTAGCCTCAACTTTGCCCAGACGACCCAAACCACCCACAGCACTAAAGTCACCTGGTGATAGTTACATACTCACTTGTTTGGTCTTGGCTGAGCAACAAGCAGACCATTCACAAAAAGTCTGTTTAGTCGGATATTAACTAGTGAAATGGACACATTTTTAAGTGCAACAGAAAAACTGCAACACATTTCTTTTTTAGCTCCACAACACAGGAGGGCCAAGAGCAATAAAAATCAGCAATATAAACAATAAAGGAATAATAATTCAATAAGCAATCATAAATGTGTCAAATTAAATACAAATTAACCAAAGCAGTAACTAAAATTATTACATTTAATACATAAATAATATAATATATAATAATATATATAGATAATAATTCATCTATTTCATGCATACAAATGCAGGGTGCCATGTAAATAATAAGAAAGTTGCCAAAAGGAAACCAAATAGTGAATTAAATAAATTTTTTTAATTTGCTTTAAGTATTCATTATTATTAATCTATATTTATATACCTTTAATTATGTATATTTTTAAAGACCTATTACTTTACTTTATTACCTGAGCCTCAGTATTTGAAATTACAAGTACAAGTAATTACAAGTATTTGAAATGTATATGTTTTTTTATTTACACCTAAAACTGGCTTTATTTTTGACTTGGTGAAATGTATACAATGGCAGCACATCAAAGTCAAGGCAAGTCCATTTGTACGCATCAAGTGTCTCTTCGGGCTTCACAGGCCCCATATCAGCATCAGTTTTCTCTCCTGTCCCTGTTTGCCTGAGGACTCACCCAGCACCAGGTTGTCTCGTGGCATTTCCCAGGCCAGGTTGTAGGGCAGGTGGATGGGGTCCACATAGATGTACTCATGTCCATCCTGGCTCACAGACTCTATCACCTTCCATCTGATCTCATAGCGAGGTTTCTGAGAACACAGAGAAAGAAAAAAAACACACACAAAGAAACACACATGAAAACAGAAGCAGCAAAGAAAGTGTGCATTTTAATTCACCATACTTTGTATTTCCACATGACGTGTGAAGAGCAACTCTCTGATTGGTGAATTTGTTACTTTGTTTCTCACCTTCCTCCATACAGCGATGAGGATGATGATAGACATGATGATGATGGCCACTAAGGCCAGAACAGCAGCCAACACTGCCACCTGGGAGAACAGTGCTGCAACAGGAAAAATGACGCAGAGCATTAGCCTGGATGAAGTTAAGGTTGGGAATATTTAACCAAGTTGTCTCAATTTCATTTATATAGCCTGATATCAAAAACCACAATTTTATCTCCAGGGGCTTTACAATCTGTACAACAACACCATCTATCCTTAGACCCCCTATATTTATAGCTTAAGTACAAACAGACAAATTTTGTCCTGTCTAACTGTTTGGTGTTCTGTGTCTGTAAAATATAAACTTTTCAAACATAAATCTTGTTGTTTTTTTCTAGACCCCCATGAGTTTGTTTAGTAGTAGTAGTTTAGTAAAGTGATATACTGTTAATTTACACAGTTAAAAGAGTAAACATGGACATGGCCCTTAAGTGACACTGAAATATAAAAAACACTAAATTTGGATTCTTCACAGACACCTACTGCTGGACACCAGTTTGACGTCTCTTCTGTCGATGAGTCCTGCTTGGTTGCTGGTCTCACAGCGAACTGTGACCTGCCGGGGCTTGTGGAAGGTCACCTGGCTCTGCACCTGGCTTATTTTACGAGTCTCACTGTAGCTGACGTTGGTCTGGATGCTCAGCACCTCCGGTTCTGGTATCAGCGGCTGCCACAAAGCTGTCTGGTTGCTGCACCTGCAGCAGGACGTGAGATCAGCGGGTGGAAACACATAATTTGCTGCAGTGCAGAGTCAAAAGGAATCAAAGTCGATGCTCAAGTAAGTAAAATAAATTTCTGTGTATGGTCAGCCCCCTAGTGTTCGCTGTGTGACAGTTCAGTGATGAATGGGTGGTGGTGTGACTTACTTGAGCATGCTGTCACAGCTGTACCACTGTACGGTCGGGGTTGGGACCCCCTCAGCTACACAGGTCACTAAGTGTCTCTTCCCAGGGAGGTGCTGGTCAGTCAGGTCTTTAATCTGAGAGGGAACTACACACAGGAGGTGCAGCAACCATAACTCATTACTAACTTGGATACAAAGAAAGTATGTCCTTGATTTTCATATGCAAAAATATTACTTTTAAATTGTCTGTGCTTCATATCCAGGCCTGTGGGTTATGAACTAAACGTCAACAAGAACACCCTGTATACTGTGATGATTTTAAGTTTCTTAAAATAGCCTCTCACCATGGACCACCAGGTCAAATGTCACTTCCTTTGTGTCATCTCCATTTGTAACAAGGACGGTGTAGAGGCCCTTCTGTTCCGTCCTTACCCTCACCAAAGTGAGAATAGTTACATACCTGAGGTAGAAGATGTATGGACAAAAGGTGAGAAAAATGAATAAAATTTGACTCTTCACTGCTCTTTTCCTCCAATATATATTCTCTACAGGCTGCATGTCATGCTTTTCATCAGACACAAAATGAATTGTGGTCTTTGTCTCTATGCATTAAGAACCATATAAAGTAAGGGGACGTATTTCCACAGGGAATGCAAACTCATTTCAAGATTTATTTCCAGAGAACTCAATGGGATGTTTAGGAAAATAAGCACCCCGGCCTTTTCCTTTTAGGTTTACCCTCCAACTAAGACATCTCCCCTCATCACAATATAAACTTCCTAATAAGCTTTCAATTGCATTTTACACAATTGGATCAAAAATACGGAGGGAGAATACATCATAAAAGAATATGGGCTGTCTTAAAAGGAAATGTTTGGCTGTTCTCATCTGCAAAGCTGAAAATCTTCCTTTTAGGGGTTAAGAGCTCTTTAAGAGGAAACCCCTCTTCTGACCACAGCTTAAAACGCTTCATAATAAACAATATTGTCTGCTGATGACTGGCTACCATGAACTCACAATACAGTGGACTGGAGATTTATTTGTTTATTGTCTTTGTATCTATGAGTTTTTCCCTATTGACTGTGTAATCATATATTTTTTTATAGTTTGTTTTGTTGATATGATGTGTTGACTGACTGGTCGGGTGCATGGGAGTGCCTGGACAATGTGGTTGTTATTATGTGCTAAAGTTAACTATAAAAAATATAGTCATATCAGGTATTTTTTTTATTTTTTTATTTGTGCGCTCAGTGGTGTTTCTCCATGTTTCAATTGAGCACACAGATGATATTTCACAACATGCATGTTGTCAAAAAAATGTGAAATCATGCTCCTGCAATTAAAACATTGTTTGGGTTTTTTTTTCTGAAAGAGATGTGTGAGTTGTGACAGGTATCTTGTGTTTATGGCTCCTGTGTGATGAATGATGGAGTACTGCCCTCTAGAGAGTATTGTGTTTCTCTCTGCGGAGGCCTTATCTGGTGATGACTGACAAGAGCTGGACGCCTCTGGAGGCGGTCACCCTAACAGGGTGTTCAAATGTATCAAAAGTATATTACTTTATGGTATGTAAGGAATTTTTAAGGTTAAAGAACAGCTGAAGAGTCTAGTTGGATGTCTTACCCAATTTCATGCTCTTGTCTGGTTGTGATGGTTTTGTCCCCCTTGATGGTGGCGCCATCTTTGCTCCAGCGGACCTGAGGGGGAGGGTAGGCTTCAATTTTCACCCTGAGCTCCACGTTCTCTTGCAGCTTGGCTGAAATGTTTTGTTGCTGAGCAGGAGTCACAACTACGAAGCCTCGCTCTGTAGAAAAAAAGTGATATCAGCAACATAATGTCAAATGTCATATACTTGATCTTCTGCACAAAATGTATCTTATGTCTTTAAGTAAATGTGTCTTATATTAACCATGCATTCATACACTTATTCTTGCTTGGTGTCTTGATGCAAGTCTTAATTCAATAACAATTTTTGTAATTGCGGGAACTGACAAATAATCATATTTAAATTTGATATTTCGAACTTGTTAGCAAACAATTGCAAACATTTACACATGTACAAGACACTTCGCAACATTAGCATTCATTTGTTTCTGGCCACCTGACAAATCTAAGTAAATTATTCGCTTTCTTTAAGCTCTGTTTTGTACTCCACCAACTCCTGAGAAAAACTGTTTGGCTCTTTAGCTGTTAAATTCTGGAAGGCCAGAAAAAACTAAACAATTACCTAAAATATGCTATATATATATAAAAATATATAATTGGTTATATTTATGTTAGTTCACTGAACAGGAGGCTAGAGACGGTATAATATGCTTCTGCTGTTCCTTGCTGAATGTCTGTGGTCAGACACTATCTGTCTTTTCCACTGAGATGTCCAGAAAGCCCTACTAAACTGTCCTGGTCTCCATGGAGCATGGCGGTTCAAGTTATTCAAGGATTTTATAAACATAACACACCTCGCTGCAGATAGAATAAGCATTCACAGACCCAAATGCATTCAGTGACTGTCAAGAGGGAATGAGAAAGAAAAAATTCAGTGTGATGAACCCTGCTTTTATTGGCTCTCAAGTTGCTGCTTGCAAGATCACATATCTATACATGCTGGACTTACTGTATGGTAATAATTGAAGTCAAAACTCAGTTACACAAATATTTCTTGGTAACTCCATGAGTTTATTCCCAAAAGTCTAAATATAGAGTTGCTGTAGCTCCTGGTTTGAAGCTCTGTTTTTCAAGGTACCACTCAGGGCATCCACACCATGACAATGGTTTATTTCACACTTTGAACAGAAATAAATAAAAGACTTAATTTCCTTTAAAAGAAGCACCTCGCTCACCTTGACTTGCAAACGTTTACATAATAAGCAGTCTTCTCTCTGTCAGTAAAACACAATAATAATCTGTCCAGCATCAGTTTGTTTTAGTTCTGGTTCTGTGAAAGTGTGTGTGTGTGGGTTACTCTAACCGAGCACAGTGATGTTGACGCTGGCAGAGGCAGTCTGGTCTTGGACACTCTCGAGGACATGGCAGTCATAGCCTCCGCTGTGGGCCACCGTGGCATTAGGGTAGATCAGGTAGGAGCGCATGCTTGTTGGGGACAGGACGTCTGTCAGCGGCTTGACCTGAACAACCATGAAGGGAGAGGCAAATGATGAGGATGTGACATTTTATCATCATGGCGTATATGTGCTATCTGCTCACATGACAGAATCACCCATAAAAAATTAGGTAAAGCTGCCTCCTTAAGAAACAAGAAGAAATATCAGAGTCAGTCAACAAAGCTAAACTTCTCTCTGGAGATAGTCTTCTTCATCTTCATAATGATCCAGAACTTAAGAAGAACCAAGTGTTACAATATCAACACCACATGTTATGAGAAGAACTGACACAGAGGGATAAAATTGAGGTGTGTCTCTATCTGGGCTCAGTCATGAGGCCTGAGAGTGATCACAGAGGGAAAGCGGAACAAAAGCGCTTGTTCTGCTCCACTCCTACTCACCTCGCTGTTGGGCATATTCCAGGAAAAATACACTAGCTCCACTCCGTGCACTGTGCAGTTTACTGTCAGCGGTTCGCCCTGCTTCAGGACGGTCTTTGACGCATTGATGTAGGCGTCGATGGCCTCTGGGACTGAGATGGGAAGGGAGAGGATGAGGGAGAGGAGGAAGAGGTGGTGATAATGTGATTCATCAAAACAATATATAGAAAAGTCTCCTTCACTGCTAATCAATCACATAATTGTACAAATATAAACCCTGAAATTAATATATTTTTATCTCATCAGTACAAGTCAGAACTGAACTTAGCAACTGGCTTCTGTAGTTTCATCTCAGCAAACAGAAACTTCTGTTTGTTCAAGCCAAACTCTTTAACCTGAACACCTACCGAAAATGCTGACGACGCAGAAGCCCTGAGACTCTTTCACCTCCCCGTTCAGCTCTCCACGACACACGTAGGTTCTGTCCTCCAGCTGTGCTTTGTACCCCTCGCTAGGAACATAAAGCCCCTTGATGGGCTGATCGGTGTCCCTCTCATACAGGGTGACAATGATGTTGGGATTGGTGACCACGCAGGGGACGGTGCTTTCCTCACTGGTCTTCGTCACCATGCCATGGGAGCTCTCTATGAACCATACATCAGGGTCTGCAGGCAGAAAGAGGACTCATTTGTTTAATTGTGGATCAATTATACAGTTCCGTATGACATACCAACAAAACATTTTACTATACAAATTTTTTTTTCTAATTATCTAATACTTATTTTTCTGTTTTCCAAGATCTTCCTGGAGTAATTTTAGTGCAGTTGTGCATTGCATTGTTGGACAATAATGTGCATTAACAGCACACCCAAAAATCTGTATGTTTTCAGCAGTTTTTTAGTATGCATACTGACTTTTCTGTGTTTTTTATTTTGTTATTTTACCGATGTGAGCACAATTTTTTGTTGCTGCTTTATGAATGAGATAGCCGTTATGACACTAAACAGTTAAATTATAGGAGAACAAACCAGACCTCACCTGGGACAAAAACAGCCACCTCCTTAGTTTCTCCAGTGAGTCGATCGATGCACTGATACACCCCTGTGTGCTTCCAGCTCAAGTTCCACAGGGTCAAAACACTGGAAGTGACGCTGCTTTGCACGATTTTGTAGTTCTGACCACCATTTTGAACTTGTTCCACTTGGAGGATTGACACATCGTCCCTCTTGAACACCCAGGTGGTCTCCTCTGAGCCAGAGCAGGTGAGGTTGAGGGAAGAGCCCTCAGCCAGGACGAGCTCTTTGTCATCAGGTGAGAGCTCCAGGCAACACAACTCAGTGCAGAAATACAGGAGAGCTACAGTTGGTAAAGCAAGGAAAAAGGTCAGGTTGGCGGTCAAAGAGAAGGGTGCAAGGGGTCAAAGGTTAAATCAACAATACATGCCAGATCCTGTTCTATCTCGAAATGATGAAAGATATGAGTTGCCTGGAGTGGATAAGTTGGAGGATAATGATGCCTCAGTCAGTGACAGATGTATTTAAAGTGACAGAGGTCAGGCTGAATGCATCAGTTGACAACAAGGCATTGTGTTACCTTACAGGCTGCAGCTAATAAATAATACAAAAAGATACCCTATTGACATCATTACTGTATATACACTTAATTAAACCTTTTGAAATGACCGCTTCTCTCGGTAAGCATGACATAAAATAGTCTACCTACGCTTGGCATCATGCTCTTCGGTTTCCTGCAAAAACAGCTGTGGTCTTTTTTTGTGTTTAACGAAATTGAGTCCTCACCAGTAACGGTGACTGTCAGATGGAGCGTGGATGCCGTCACCCTCCTCATGGTGGAAGCCTTCAATGCGCTCAGTTCTGCAAACAAACAGAAGGGATAACAACTCTGATTAAACTTAATGTACCCTTATTGGAAATATTTGGCCTCGACAACATTGCCTCAGCCAATATTTGTGACAATATTAGATATAGATCATTCTGTCCACAAAACATTTGATAAAATTCAGAAATTAACAAAACAGCAGGTAAATGTAGTTTTAGTTTTTTAGTTCATTCAATTTAAATACAGCACCACACCAATTAACATCACTCCATAAAAATTCATATCATGATGGACTGAATCCTCATGAGTTCCAGCGGGTCAGGTTAACCAAGAATGGACATAAATTCACAAACAAAGAAAATAAAAATTATGGTCTACTCATACTAAAGGAAACACACAAAAAGTATTTAGTTTGTTATCAAGCTGCTTTCTTGAATGGTTTCTGGCCAGCACACACAGTCTGAGGTGCAGATGCAGCGCACTCTGGAGGTATTTGATGCCTCGCTGCACCAGGACAGAGCGACAATGTCTGGCTCTTTTTGTTCCAGGTTCACCAGCATTCTGCCCACTAACAAATGGGTCACTGTGTGCAGCTTTGCACACTCACTGGCAACAATGCTGCGTCCAAGCTATTCTAGAGCCGTGCTGAGCCATTAATTGGTTCTGGTGTAAACAAAAGTAAAAATGAGGGCATTCACATAAGCTGCTGACACAGGAGCACACTAAGGATTTTGCAATACTAATGGGATATCATGTTGTACACAAACATGATATCAATATCCTAGAATACATTTAAGAGCTAGAGGGTGACTAATACTGAGTGTGCCAATGCTGACTAATGCTTAGTGTGCCATCCTCAGCATTAACTACTGTTAGCCAGTTTCACTGCAAAGTAAGACGGCAGATTGAGTAGCGGAGGAACGGTTTGTTATTATGTTTTGGATGGGGGTTAGGGCCAGCAGCACACAGACGTCTGGAAACAGTTAAGGATGGATCACAGGCCTGTACGCAAGAGGGTGGGAAAGAGGGAGAGGGCGGAAGAGCGAGGCTTGGGAAGAGCGAGGGTGGAGGAGGAAGAGAAGGAGGGGAGTCAGTGGAAAAATTGTGAAATGCATCTTGAGAAATCTTACCCCATTGAACATTTTTACTTGATAGTGCAATCCAATTTTACAATCTCTATTTTAAGAACCTGGACTATCTTCATGCATTATGTAATAGAACACGTGTTTAGATTACACCTCTCCAACTTATCTGAAAATTTTTATTTATCATTTGAACATTTCTGGCAACACCACCTCAAGGCTGTATCTATGAAAGTGTATCAAAGTTACAGATTTCTTTTAATGGCTATATTTTCATATAGAGGAGATAAAGGATTTAATCAGTTTGGGAATGGTGGTGAGTTAGAAGAAGGCAGTTACTTAAACCAGATACACGTTGTCTCTCTAGATTTACTGCCTTAGGCACTTCCGCTCCCAAAACGAAAACCTCTTGAGTTGCTCCAAAAACATGACTGGTCCATTTCCTCCCGGCCTCCTGGTTCTAATAAAAAGGGGCGAAGGAGAGACTGACAGAGAGCAAGAGACAGAGAGAGAAACTTTTTTTCCCCTTGTGTTGTAGTTCATACATATGCGGAAATGCACACATCCTTAGTGGTACATAATGCATGCTACATGTGCTAAAACACACACACAGGCACTTGCTGCATTACACTCAAACCCACCCCCCCTTACGAACAGATCTCTCCCCCCTTTTCCTTTTTGTCACTCGTGTCTGTGTACAGTTCATGTTCCCACAGTACTTCTCTTAAACTTTCCCAGGACCACTGATACACTTGGGACCCTGCTGGTCGTGACGGCGGGAGTGGGGGGTCACCTTATCCCTGGGGGCCCCAGCAGCCAGCAGCGAGGGACTGTCCACTGAGGAAGCCATAAATCAGCACTTAGGAGTAGCACTAACCTCAGTGTCAGTGATGAGGACTTTTGAGCGACAACAGCCAAACACGGCAACGCCAAAAGAATGTGTCGCTTGGCAGCATTAAGACTAACAAATCTTATTGTGACTGACTGCTGATGTTATTTTTTCGCTAAAACAAGCCAAAAAGCTACATTAGGGCTACAGCAGCATCTGAATCTACATCTGAGATCAAACAGCAGAAAACATTCTTTGCTGAATAAGACTCTCAGTGTGTTCACATCTAATTTTGGGGTCTTTGAAAAAGGACGGAAAAATAATGTTTGGCTACTGCAACACGATGAGGTTTGATGTTGACTGATGGGCAGTGGGGGACACCTTCCAGAAGGAATATGACCCTCAAGATAGGATGTGCTGACTAGGATCAGAGGGCCAATGGGAGCCTGAAGACTGAACACTATGGTGAAATTAATCCAAGATTTAAGAACATGCAACAGTAACATCAAAGTCGTAGTCATGGCGTGATGTGACGCTTAAAGGGAGTTTTAAACACTGTTGAAAACATACTTGTTTTTGTGCTCATCTCTGTCCTGGTCAAGTCTTTGTGCACGAAAGGGAACATACAATACTATGAAGTGTTAAAAGGGTCAGGACACTAATGAATCTGCCAAGAAAGTTTGGCAGCATTTCAAAGAGTTTGTTTCCCACTTAATAAAAACACTTAGTAGTAGTTTGACCCCTAAAACACAAAGTAGCTCTTTGTTTGAACCACAGAGGCACCAGAGTGGTGCTTGAGACAATTTACAGTAAGAAACATCCACAATATCCACAAGTCAACCCAAGTCAAGTGGTTCTCAGTCTGAGGATGAGGTCTTGTAGCGGGTCTTAAAGAGATGATTGAAAGGAACTGAAAAACATTTGTATAACACATATGTTTATTGTTGTCTTTTTAATCTTTGAAATGGGATACTCCATTCCTGCAATGATCATGGAGGTCTGAAAAAAAACAGTGTTTATGTAAAGTGATGGCACAGTAATCACCATGATGGATAAACTGTTATCCCACTGTATGAGTTTTCCCACAGATGCTGGGAATTTGGTGGCTGATTGACCCTTCCCTAGTTTTCATAAACAACCCTGCTACACTCAAAGTGTCACTAGCTAATGAGGAAGAATGCTAAAATGGACCTCAGCGGGATGCAGGCAGCCCACGCACTGCCCCACAGCTGCCTGTAATCCCCACTTCTGGGATTATCTATATATACCATAGCTGCGTGTTTTATTTAAACATCTGGCAGTGATGAAGCAGTCCTGGATGAGGTGGGAACTGCTTTGCGAACCACATTTGCAGTCAACTGTTTGCTTGAGTGTGTCCCAAGGGGGGAAAGGTTTCACTTAAAAAAAGGAGGGGGCAAATTGTAATGTGTAACAAAAGAGAGAAAGATGTCCAAAAAACCTCCCAAAGTGCAGCTCTCACTTCCTGCATGGGGAAATTTTCTGGCCTTGTGTGGGTGTGAGGCAGTGATGCATCAATGACACAGCAGAGCACCACAACCACTAACCAAATACTCCTGGAGACACGCCACAATGAGAAGAGGACAAACTGCACATAACGAAACTTCTACAAAGAGAAACAACTGCCTTAAATAACAAGCTGCACAGAAAAGATGTAAACTCACAATCAGAAATGTGGAAAAACAAGTACAAAGAGCAAAGACGGAGAAAAAAACAAACAGAAAAAAACAATCAACATACAAAAACAGAGCAATTAGACCAATGACAAAGCATGAAAAACCACTGACACACCGCAGTGATACTGGACACAACACCAGACAGTGGAACAGACAGCAAAGGGAGCACGCAGACATCCATCCACCCATCCACCCATCCATCCATCGTCAACCGCTTATCCTGCGTACAGGGTCGCGGGGCACGCAGACACACAAAACACAATTTATAGGAAACACTACATCAAAGCACAGAGTGGGACAGCAGAGGGAGCGCATACAGTCTTACATCACAGTGATGTTTACAGGAAGCTGTGATCTGCAAAACAAACATCTCCAATTTCACGGCCACTTCACTCCAATGCAAACAATTATAGCTCAGATAAGACTGACGATGAACTATCACTGACATTTAACACTTTATTAGGACATATACTAAATCATGTGGCGAGAATAGCTGAATAAATGAACACCTCATATTCGTCTTTTTTTCCTTTGTGGAAGGATGTCATGTTTTCTCGACATATCTCTGAACAGCAGGACTTGGGAGAGCTCTGTAGGAAAAAAATGACCCAGCGTGTCATGTGCCTTGGACAGACCCAAGATGCACTGCTCCCACCCCAGGCGGCCTCACTGTCCCCCAACGTGACACAATACACATACTGTACGTTACCAACTGCAGACTCATGAGTATAAGGCGGTTTCAGCTGCGATAGCACACATGTCATCAGCATGCTGTCGGAATATGTGAAGTGTGCTGTTTGCTTATGGAGACTGTGTTGGAGCCTTAAATGCTCTGTAAGACCTTAGGGGAGCTTCAAAGTAAGGTGATAATTCTCTGTGGTTTTCCATTACACATTGTCATTTGATCTATTGTTAATATAAAGATATTGATTGTAGTAGCTAAATGAAAACCTCTGACGCTCTCACTTCTGACAGTCTCAGTCAATGGAAATATACAAATCACCATCGTAGAAATGCCCCACATTTTCTACAATCCAGAAACGTGTCTGTCGTAATAGTTTGGACAAATGCTGAGTATGTGAGTATGCAGTACAAATTGAGGCTCAAAAGAGGTCTTAAAGTTTAGTAATAGTTGGAGACTTGGCTCCCTTACAGTAGACTGAGCCCCAACAAGAAGTTGCTGTTACACAGCTGGACACGGGGCTTTGAAAACCTCTGTATCAGCCAAAAAACAGCTTGCATCCTGTAATTTTAGAGCTTGAAGCAGCACTATAGCCATCTCAAGTTTTCTTTATCTGATTCTGGTCATTCTCAAAAAATCTCCCTCTGCTTTTATTCAGTTCAGCATTAGGATACAGTGACTGCGAGTGGTCTTGCCTCAGAAACCAAAGTGGCTCTGTACTCATGCTGAGGCAACACATGTTTGGGAAACTGCGGATTTTGGTTTGCTCCCTTTCAAACAGAGTTGTAAATGCTGTTTTGTAGTGGCGGTGGGGGGATGTAAAGGGCTTCTGGGTAAAACTGATAGTTGCAGAATTGTAGACTTAGATGTGGCTAGTGTTTGATATCAGTTTAATGATCTAATTTTCTACTCATTTGGGAGCCTAAATGAAAGGAAAATGTTTAAGATTTCAAAAACTAAAGCAGCTGTTGTCACTGAAGTCATGTAAATTTTTCTCATTTTCTTGGGCAGTTAATCTTTGGCTTACTACCAGTTAGGCTGTAATTTTGTGTGTGTGCTTTGTCCCAGTCCCAGCCAATTCAAACTGTTTGTGCTCACAGGGAATACAGGGATATCAGATATATTTGCTAGCATAAGCAGCATCACATCCACCTACGTTTTTCTTCTGAGACCTCCCCACCCGTCTGCACGCCGTTACCATCATTTATCCTGCACACCGGCCGTCCCTCGAACACGAGTCCCCCACCCAGCCCGGTGAGAAATGGAGGACGCCTACACACACTTGCAGTCCCTCCACTCTTACACACCCACGCCCACCTCAAAGAGAAACAGAAACAGCTGAATACAATTAGGCCTCACTGCCTTTAAATTCCACTCACTTCCCCATATGCAATAATGTTGAAAGGATGTGGAGTAAAAAAAAAGAGAAAGAGTGACAGAGAAGCATCAATTTGGGGTGATCATTTATACTACTTATGCAATTTGCTGGCAAATTTTGATTTTATGTGTCAATTTTGACAATTATGGCAAAACAATCTTGGAATAGCTCTTTGGGGTATCTCTTTCTATGCATGAGTAGACAAACCAAGAGACATCCAAAAAAGTCTCCATTTTCCACTGTGTGGAATATTCTTATCTTATAAAAGCAGCAGATGGTTTTCCTTTGTCCTCCACTGCACTGTATCACCAATCATCAGCATGTTTTTGTTGGACTGAGGACAGCACAAACTCCAGAGTCGCGCTTTAAAAGAATCTAAAACTTCCTGAAAATCTGTATTTTTGTTCTGTAGTACATTCAGAAAGGATGTTGTGATTTCTTTCTGATGTTATACCCATACAGGGGTGGAAGAAGACACAACCTTTACTTGAGTAAAGGTAGTAATACCACAGTGTAAAAACAGCCTTGCATTAAAAATTATACTTAAATTTTGGACAGCTTATCTCTTATGTGTTTGAAAATGACGCCTTTCTTTGCATTTTAAGGCTGATTTCCTTCAGAAAGTGTGGTATTATAACTCAAAAAGAAACATTTCCTCCAGGAGTCATCTGTAAGAGTGCTCTCTTATTGCAGATGAGATGCAGCTGTCTGTCAGCTCTGCGTGAGTGGGTGGGAGGGAGAGAAGGAGGGAATGAGGGGGGGGAGGCCAGATGGACGGGCAGCCGTACAGGATGCTGTATCGCAGCACCACTTAGTGCTCTTCATTAAAGCTATTTGACTCAAATAAAAGTCTAAGTACAGCATTAAGGAAACAGTGACCTATAGGAGGACATGAAACAAAAGCTCAGTTCAAAAGTAAGCATGATGACTTATGAATCAGCCAGTTCAAGTAAGCGACCACCAGCAAGTCAGAGTCAGCTAGATTTAAATATAAAACAAGATGAACTGAGCAAGTGTAAGAATAATCATATGATGAGATGTCGGAGTGCTCTACATTACTTTCAAAACTCAAAACTTCATCCGGATCTAAACAACGTCACACTGGTTTTCAGGGCACAATTGCTGAGCAGCTGTGCGTTCAGGTCACGGAGGATAAATCACAAGAGGACAGAATGGGATCAATGTGCAAAACTTTCTGCTGAGCTCAAACTGTTACATATCGGCACATGTGAGCCGAATCAGACCCCTGGCATGTTTTCTGCATGGTCATAATGTGAAGCACATTTTCTCGCAGCGGCTGGCATGCGGTGAGCCCAGAGAGCCAGGAAACAGCTGATGACGAAGGATTAGGTCTGGGCCAGGGGAATGGAGCCGACTGGGCCGTGCTGCATCGGGGGGCCGGGGAGAAGAGCTGTGCTGCAACACATACCAGCAGCCTGACGCACAGGGAGAGAAATCCCCACTGGTCGGGAGGCAAATGAAACTTCACTTTGTTTTACAAATCCAAGCTATAAAGATTTGTTCTTTATAGTATGAGTATCTTTACTGTTTTTAAATTGCTGTGAAACGTTTAGCAAGAGACATCCAGCTGAACTATGATATGAATGCAATACTGTCTAATACTGTTGATGGTAAAAGTATGAAATGCATGTAATTTTCCAACAGCTCATCTGCAACAACAGTACGAGACAGTGCCTGGACCAAAATATCCACAGAGCAGATCAAGACTTCAAAAGGAAACTCCTAACTGTAGAGGAGGAGAGCAGCAGACACAAAATACATGCCAACATTGTTTACAACTTGTGCTAATTCAGATGCCCCCCCATATCAAAAAGGTCATCAGTGTACAGAAGATGTGCAGTTAACCAACCCAACAACTAAACAGCCGCACATAACAGGGAAGTGGGAAGGCTTTCAGGTGCAAAACATATGGCGGATTAGAGTGAAGAGACATGCATGTCACATGTGTGTCAGCCATGAAATAGCTCACATTGCTATAATGTAACTCATTCCAGGTACTAAAACCCTCTGTGATGAATCTGCAGAGATGATTCAACAGATTGTTTATGTCTGCTCCACTCTGCGTACCTCAGGCGAGACCGAATCACAGCTTTGTGAGGGGTTTACATTTAAAAAGGTTGACCAAGGCATTAAGTTATACATTCAAGCTGGCGTGTGTTATCACTAAAAGGAGATCCATCCACAGTTACAGAGGATGCTGGTGACGGTGACTGATGCCAGGTCTGATATCACTGCACCGCCGCTGCTTTTCAATGAGCTTCTCCATGTAGCTATGCAGAGAAGATTGATTCTCTTAGGGCCATTCAGAGGGGAGGAAAGAGACTGATGGTTTAGCTGTGAGGACCGTCAGTTCACTCAGGGTGACCGAAGAGGGATGTATAAACAAGCCCTTTAGCGGTGAAGCACAAAGTAGAGCACATACAAACAGCCTGTGCTGTAAAGCCTAGTGTGTGTGACCCTGGGATACCTTGTCAAACGTACCCTCGCGGTGAGAGGACAAACATTGTTAAAATGTGAAGAGTGAAAAGGTGGTGCGAGCCATCACCATGTTGATGTTTGAACAGGCTTGCTCACGTTCTTTCACATTGAAAGTCCTGGTGTGCACACATTTAAGTATGGGGGTGACAAATACCACCAACATAGACACATTCTCACAAACTAGCAACAACATCACACAACAACAAAAAGTGTTACAACCAGATTTTTCTTGTCTTCTGGTATTAAATCGGATTACTTTGCCATTTTAAATCACAGGAAGTCATATGATCCAACAATCCAGTGTTGTAAAGATGAGATGCATCCTCTCTGTGATTGACAGCTATGAAATTAAATCTGTCACAGTGAATTTTCACCCCTTTGTACAATACATCTTCATTTCTGCCAACAGCTGCCAAGCAGCCATGACTAAAAGTAAAATTCCTGACAGAGAAGTAAGACTCCTTACCTTCAGAGTGATCCTGGAAACAGACAAGTCTTCCCTCTCCGAGGAGGTTGCCGGCCAGCAGTCGGTCTCCTCCTTCTGAAATCAGAGGAGAGATTTCCAGCTGGTTCTCTCTACAGGAGATGCTGCCTCAGATGTATAGATCCCTCAGATCCTCAGAGTCTGAGGTTAATCTCTGCTGTCCCAGGAGCCCGCTGGAGGAGGTACTGCTCTGAGCCCTCGCTGTTTGTTTAGTCAAATCACAGCACCACGGGTGTCTCCTCTCCTCTCTCACACTCTGAAACAGCCTGCCCTACCGCTCCCAAAGAGTGCTGTAAGTTTAAAAGAAGTGTTCCCAGTGGAGACATGCGCACACACATAGACACTGCTGCCCTGACAGATTCACACAGAGGAGGGAGTCAGTGGTCCGGCCCTGTTGAAGCCAGAGTAAGAGTGAGTTGGAGAAGTGAGCAGGGAGGGAAATGTGAGGGGGGAGTTGAGCAACAAGCTTTAAAAAAGGGATGAACAGAGACAGAGAAAAGAACAGAGAGAAAAAACTTCAAAATACAGACGAGCTCTGCTTGTTGTTCTTCGGTAGATGCTGAGAGGTCCCGAGCTGGAGTGATTTGTTTATGAATGGAGTGGCGAGCAACTGGAGGTGAGCTGAGACTGTCTCTATTGGCAACAGCAATCTGGGCCGCATCTAACCCCTCCATAAAACAACAAACACAATAAAATGGAAGAGAAAGAGTGAGAGTGTGAGTGAGAGGTCCAAGCGGGAAGAAAAAAAAACAGGTTTTGGCAGAGCTCACGTTGGCCTGCTTTAGTAACAAACAGAAGTCTCAGTTTCTAAGGAAAATAACTTCACTTAGCTAAGCTGCTGCTAGAATCAGGTGTGAAAGTGGTTAGACACATATGACACATATGATTGAGTGAACCCATTTTTATTACATTGTGCTTCTTCTTGTGTATTTAAAAAAAAAATTCCTTTCTTTTTTACATTCATCCCACATAAAATAACTCAACACCTCCACCCCCCCACCCCACCCCCCCGCTTCTGTCTCTTTTCTCTGCTCTTTCAGCCTCTCTCTTTCAAACATGCATACACGCACCATGCAAGTACGTCCAATTTCCATACTGGCTCTCTCCCTAATTTCTTCCTTTCCCAGGAATGGATGGCTTGAAATTCATAACACAGCCCTGCAGCTGACGAAGGCCTTTTCTCTCTAACGAGGGGTCGGGGCAGACAGAGGGGAGGAGGGAACATGGGGCCAAATTGGACAGTAACCATGTTCTCCTCTAATTGTGAGGGTAAATCTGAAAGCCCTGCTAGCAGTAATTAGAGAGGCAGTGAGCCCCAGTTATTAGATAGGAGGGGAACAACACCACATAGGACTGTCCCGCCTTAACATTTATCTTCTTCTACCTTTGTAATTAACACGTTCTTGCAATAAATGTGTCCTAAATATGTCCACCCAACCCCCCATGAATCTACTAGTGTATGGTGTAGTGCTTGCAATGTCAATTAAAAATGTTTACAAGAGATAATGCAGCAATAATTCACATGACATTCACATTAAGCAAATACTTCCCTATATGCAATTCTTTATCAGCTAGACACACACTCTGTCTCAACATGCTAAGGTAAACCACAGCTCTAACAGGAAATGTTGGGTTTAAAGTTTTAAAAATGCCAAGACAGATATATCTAATGTGTTCATTGCATTTTGTTTTCATCTATAATTTGTGTTGTGTTGTTACAGTGAAGTGGAATCTGTTGCTTTATATTTGGCAGCTGTCCTAGTTTATTCATACAGCTTGACAGAGTGGCAAACCAAACCATATAATAAACTAGACTCCAAATCGTTCTGCTACAACAATGCACAGCCTATTCAGCCTGGCAGAACAGCTAAAGAGTGGTTTCTCTCACTGCTGATCTGGATTGTTGACATAGCTAGATTGCAACTAGTGCAAGCACCTCGTGTATGCTGGTCCTGTGCTTGTGTTTTGCTGGATTTCAGATAAAGCTAAAAGTTATCTTGCTGTGGACCTTGGAGGCTCTTGGGAAGGGGGTGGGAGGTGGAAGCAGGAAACATTAGGCCTGAGGCCTGGACCTGGAGCTGAACCCAACACACCTCTGAGAGATGAAGATGGATGAAGCCATAAAACGACTGATCTGGAGTCTATGGAAGCCTAGGGGACTATATTAAAATGATAATGTAAACTAGAAAATGAAAATGTAATTCCACAATAGCATTATAATTGTCCACATATGATAATATAATAATCCATATTTGCATATTATATGTTTCACATGTGTCACATGTATGGGCATTCTACGACCATATTAAAATGAAAATGGAAAAGCTGTTTCACATTTAATTTACAAACTTGACTCTGCTGTACAATGAACAATAATCAAATGTTGATTCAAATTTGAAAATGAAAATGTAATAGACTGTGACCAGTATTGCAAGCATTAGGTCACAATTAAAATTAAAATGCAATTTTCTAACAATTTCAAAATGAAAACAGTATTTGACATAATTTTTAAACTTGTACTCGTACAGTGGACAATATTTAAATGCAATACCCAACAGTGCCTCCAGTCTATTGCATTCACATTTCCATGCGTACATGGGAGAAGTTTGCCCTCAGGGCTTTCTGTCAGAAAGCCTTTCTAAAACATGGTTAACATGATTTCATGAACAACAGTCTCCTGGGTGAAAGAGCTGTGTTTGTGTTTGGCATTATCATCTACCACCGACTTCTTCCGTAGAACGCGGCCAGACTTTTCCCATGTACCCCCAGGTTGAATGGTAGAACTTGTACATGTTAATTTATTAAGTCAACTGAAAGAGGAAATGAAATCTTGACCAGCCTTGAAGTGAGGACTAACAGAGTGCATTTTCATTTTGACACCGGATGAGTGCAGTGAAGTCTTAAGTCTTATTTAAGTCTTTTAAAATGAAATGTCAACTGCCATTTTCATTTTCATATTGGTAGAACATTGCATTAAATTGTTTATATTGCATTTTATTTTTCAAATGTGAACATTTGAATATTGTCCAATGTATAGCAGGGTACAAGTTTGAATATTAAATGTCAAACAGTTATTCTATTTTCATTTTAATATGGTCGTAGGATGTCCATCTGAGTATGTAAAAATAAAAATGAAAATTGGATTATTTCATTTTCATTCTCAGAGCCTACATGTGTAGAAAATTATAATGCTGCTGTGGAACTATATTTTCATTTTCAACTTGACATTATCAATCTAATATAGTCCCTAGGCTTCCACAGAAGTTAGATCCATTCTACCATTGTACCAGTCAAGGATGTAGCCCAACAGTCAGAGGCTCCTCTAGACCTGATTTTGATGTTGTTCAGGTCCAAACCTGAAACACTGGGACATTTCTAAAACACAGCAACAGCAACAATCATCATGGGCATCATATCTTAAGATACCACCTTTCACATCAAATCGAACAACACAATTCAAGCAGTACAGGGCAAGAGAAACTACATTAACTACAGAAACAATTAGTTGATTAAACAACTGCCCAATTGCCAAAAAAAATAATCTGCAAGCATTTAAATGATTGTAATTTTGCAAGCAAAAACACCTAAGTTTTGGTTTTGAACTGCATTTTTCAATATTTTCTTAGATTTTGTACACAAAATTAAACAACAATGACAATAATGAAGGGTTGCGGCTGTAGTTGACTTGTCCTGGTGACCTATGTATGTAAGATACTGACCTTATAATCACAACGTTTCTTTGTTGCATGTCATCCCATTCCTCTGTGTGCCCTCATGTTGTGTCAGCTCTTTACTTCTGACTGTCTAATAAAGGAATGAAAAAGTAAATACTATCAAAAAAGACAAAAGCTTAATGAGGGAAAGTCAACAAAACAACAATAAGTTGAATCCACACAAACTATTTTAATCACTTCCTCTATCTAGTTTTAAATATTCAATAAAAATGTCCGCAGATAAAAGTATCATTTGTGTCCAACAGGAACAATAACCTGTTGCAGTTCTGCATGATGAAATATTGCACTGTCGCCACGGTCATTACATACAAAGTCTGTATGCTGACTTGTCGTTGATTAGGCAATTCTGAACACAGACATGGTGGGTGAGTATACAGACTGACTCACCCTCTGTGATCAGCTGAATCTGGGGTGGTGAGTTGTCATACAGAGTAAACTACTCAACTTGGAATAACCACTTTTTTGTTTAGTCGCTTTATTCAGTTGTTTAATTTATCATGAGGCCAAATGATGTTGATGCTTGTTGAACAGAGTTTAAATAATATAAACTCCTCTCCACTTTGAAATGTTTAACTGTCACGGTGAAGCAGAATCTATTACAGACGTGCTGTAGGGGTTTAGCACTTGTTTGTTTGTGGACTGTAATAGGTCACAGAGGAAGCCTGGCACAGATGAAAGCTGTGGGTGGGTCTGTGCACCTACAGCAGCTCTCTTTCTTACACATGTGAGCTTTTAGAATTGGTGCAAAGATCCTACAAGCCTTTTATTAGTTCCCCCTGGATTAACTTGAACGTTGAGACAGCTACAAGGAGACCAGCGGTAACACTGTTTATGTTGCACTATTTAAACTGAATCTCTATACATGGATCATTCCCTACAGTAACCCTTCATTTAGATAAATATTAGAGATTTATACAGCCTGAGGTTTTCATATTTTTGGAACACAGCCGGAGACAAGCGCTTTAATTTTAAACTATAGGGATCTTTTTTGGGGTCTGAATGTTTGAAGACCTTTTTAGTGCCAGTGTTGGGGCCATGTGAAGTGCAGGCAAATAGCACAGTTCAGTTAACACATACTCATCCTCTAATGTATTCATTAAGGGCTAAAGCCACATCTTTATTTTTAGCCAAGTTGTGGCCATGATGTTTTGCATTTCAAGCTAGTGGCAATGTGTGTTTGAAGTTTATGTTGCACTTTCCTTAATGTTCAGGATCTGCAGCACTTTCCTCTCCATTAACATGAACCTGTTTCATGTTAACAGCTGATAGCTGTTATAGCTGATAATGACTGTTCTCACCAAGATAATAACATGAATTTTTTATGAATGTTTTGTGGATGCAGAACTCACACACGAGATCAACAAGTGGACTATGCAGTATACTTTACGGCATGATATTCTGAGTACATCAAGTCAATGTGGAAAAAGTTTAAAGCCACAAGCATGTAGGGTTAAGAATACACTTTACAATATTGATCATATGTTTGGAAACAGCACTTCTCGGAAAGGACTCTAGACCAGGAAAATGACCTGCCGTGTTCAGTTTATTGCTGCCCCCCTGTGGTTGTTTTAAGCAGGGATGTAGTGGACAGTAAACATTAACTTACTTAACCATTACTTTACACTTGACTTGAACGGCCAGTTTCTGTATCTGCCACACATTTAATTCAGACAATACATTACAGAAAGTATGGATGATAGGACTTTCTTGATACATAACACAATTCAAAGCTCATTGTAATGTCACCTATGTGTTTCCCCAAGTTTCTGCCTTCTTCCCCTCACTGTCACACCATAAAATATAACGTCATACTGTAGATTCATATCAAATTTGTCTTCTTGCATTTTGAACAATTATCTTATCTTACGGGAAATTATTACAAAAAAGATAACTTAGTGAAATTAAAATCATTGAAAAGATGAAGTTGGCTTTATGTTTCTTTTACTCTTTTCTTAACAATCAACATTCAATAGGAAACGTGTTTAAGGGGTTAAAAATTTGTCTATACAACCTTTTCTTGGTGACCAGAGTAGGTCCAATCACTGGAGAAATCTAACTGATTTGCTTTACTCAAGTACAGTAACAAAGCACTTGTAAGGCACAGTTTCAATGTTATTTCTCTTCTCGTTATACTTCTACGCCACTACATTTCACAGACAAATATTGTGTTTTTTAAACCACTACATTCATCTGACAGCTACAGTTACTACTTCACAGACTGACATTAAAATATATCTTTTTTTTCTGTATTTCACACGTAAGTGCACCATCAGCAACAGATTGCTACTGACACTGGCACCGCAAAACACAGGAAACCCTTTCCCTTTTGTGGCACATATTTATGACTTACAGTATCTCACACAGAGAGGTGGACAGCAGAGGCCTGGGGTGCCAAGTTGGCTCTACCATCCATTTCAGCTCTGTTCTCTGTACTGCTCTCTGTACTGTCTCTCCGTGGATTACAATCATTACAACCCTCTGATTTAGGAGACACCATGGATCATAATGTGCAATAACGTGACATTACGTGAAATCCCACCCACATGGTCATTGAGCATCTTGAATTAACCATAAACACTTCAGATTTGATATTGTACCTAACCCTACAGAGCTAAATACCACTTCTCATACATATCTGTGGTCCTTACCATTAACCAGTTATATTTTTGACATGTGTATATTTTGGATTTGCACCTGATTGATCACCGTAATTGTTAATATTTTGTTGCTTTCTATATATTTATCTATAAATATCTTTCCTACTTTGCACTGCAACTACTGCACAACAATTTCCCTTGGGACAAACAAAGTTATATCTTATCTTATCTTAGTAGCACAACCTCAATGTAGGTACAAGATTAAAATACTGCTCACAAAGTAATGTGTTTGTAATAATAATCTAATAATAGCCTACTAACACTTAAATACAATATTTCATCGACATGCATGGGTTACCCAAATATTTCCTATGTTGGGTTACTTAAGGCTGGTTCTGATATATGATATTCTTTAGTGTGAGTAATTTAAAGGCAAAAAAATGAAATAAATTAGAATTGAACCACACTGAACATAATTACCACAAACCTGGCAGTGTAGAAAAATAACATTTGCACCTTATAACATTAACAGAAAATACAATTGAAAGGTTAAATTATATAATAAATGTTGTTTGCATGGGTGGGGTTGGGCAGGGCAATTTGGACACATGACCTCATAATTTTTACAATCCAGGATTCTCCCCTGCTGACCTGACAATTCTGCTGTCCGATGAAGACTTTCACTTTTCATTTTGCTTATAATACTTCCGTAATTTTACTTAGGGATGATTTTGAAAACTACTACTACCACTGAGCAAACTTCTATTTTACTTTACAATCTCTGTGCTGCATTTCACATGAGCCCTACGCAGGTACGTGCACACGTCCGTGCGCGTGAACATGTTCACCTCACACACACCTTACACGATGGCCTTCTGAAAATGATCCACAGGGCAGAGTGGGTAAATTTGAGTCAATGCCCTCATGTAGCCAAGACGAGCAGGCAGGTGGGTCTCAGGTAAAACGTGACGTCATGATGATACTTTTGAACTCCTTGGCAGTAAATCCATAAAGGTGTGTAGTCTTACTGCACAGGTAGCCTGAACCTTAGACTGCAGTGAAAACAAGCGCCAGATCCTGCTGGGAATAGACAGGGAGGCCTAACATGCGCCAAGACGTTTGATTCACCGAGGTCTACCTGAGAGTCACCCTACCTGTCAGACCAGGACACCGGTATGTACCCCAACTCACAGTCGGTCAGACACCCATCTCAGACACTGTCACTGAACAATCAGTACATCCCGCCTCCGTATGACTTCCCCGGTTATCATCACGTCCCGGGAGTCGGAGACCCGTCGACAAGTGGCTGGAGCAGCGTCTACGCTGCGCGGGAAGAGTATCCGTACAGCTTCCCGGGGTCAAGCCCCAGCGCAGGGCAAGTCAGCTTCTCCTCCACGGAGATGTGCGGCACGCCCACCGCCGCTGGAGGAGGGTCGTTCACCCCCTACAACTTTATCTCCGGACAGGACTCCTTCAGCTCCAGGAGGAGACCACATGAATCCGTCAGACCGTCTGTTTCAGGTGGGACATAGGCTACTTACTGGATCCAACCATTGAGGTCACCATGTAGACTTATAACAGACTGTATGGTGTGATTTAACCCTGTATTGGCCTTTGATAAATAACCCAGGCTAAGATATAATTATACATAGAAGCAGGATAGGCTGAGGGAGGCTTAATGCTTCCTTGTAGACAAAACTCTTGACAAAAGTAGTTTGCACTTGCATGTTCTGGTTTGTAAACATGTGATGTAGATAACACTTTAAGGATGCTCTAACAAATGTTTTAATTTATTATTTTACATTTTATAGATAGAGTCCTTAGTGCAGTTGCATGACAAACTAAACCTCAACAGCTGAGTGAGTGTACAGAGTGACAGATGAGGAACAGTTTCAACATGAACACAGAGTGTGACAGCACACACACATTCATCAAGCTTTTCACCTCTCCCTTCCGCCATTTTGGTGTGAGATGCCAGTGAATGCAAAGATAACATTGGAGGCCGTGAAGTCTGCAGAAGTGTATCTCCCCACCCTCTCTGTCCACTGGGTGGGTGCAAAAGGGTGACAAACTAGCTAGATAACACGGGCACCACACGCAGTCTGCAGAAGACAAACCGAATCTCTTCTGAAGGCGAACCCTCGAGCCTTAAGACTTATGTCTTTGTGTGTGTACTGGTCTGCCTCGATCGATGCTGTCACATGGTCAAAATTTCAGATAAATAACTCTGACTCATCCTTTCCTAAGGGAGAGAGAGTGTGTGTGTGGGTGGAACAGCGTGTCAATGAATAGCTGCCTGTGTAAACACCTATGTAAACACCACTCACCGTGATAAGGAGAACCACTGATGCAATGCAGAGGGGAGTCTTTACATTAGTTATAGTTAGCGTGATTAATAGGGTTAATGAGGCTTTAAGTGGCGCCTGAACTTGAACGTGGCACCAGACGTCTTCACATTAGTCATCTGTTTGGCCATGACTCACTGACATTATAATCATACATGTATGTATTACTGGTCTGAATGAAGACAAACAAATACACTGGAGCGCATAACACACTTATTCACTTACATTCGGTCAATCAGCCAAACTTGTGTTTATTGTTTTACTAAATCAAGGGTTGTTTTGTGTGATTCAGGAGTGAAGACTCGCACCAAGGACAAGTACAGGGTGGTGTACACTGACCAGCAGCGCCTGGAGCTGGAGAAGGAGTTTCAGTGCAACCGCTACATCACCATGAGGAGGAAGTCCGAGCTGTCAATGGCACTGGGCCTCTCTGAGAGACAGGTGAGAGGACTAATTAAAGTTAGAGGTAAAAAAGATAAGGAGGGGAGGAGGAGGAAGCACAGGAAGGGTTACAAGAGAGAACAGGTGAGAATCAAAGGACATGATTGAAAAAGGCAGGAGCAAATGTAAAGAAAAAGTCAGCGTTGTTAGAAACACCCAAACCAGAGCAAGTAAGGCTGTAGCACCAAAACCACAGGGTGCACTGGATTAAGAAAGGGCGTGTCTTATCACTAATGAAATAAAGGTTTAATTAGTAAGAGATATCATCAAAAGTCACATAGCCTCATTTTAAGGACTGGGCCCAGAAAAATATAATAAAGGAAGAGTGCCTCCTTTTCAGGAGTGAGTATGTGTAATAGGGTAGATATTAATAAACATGGGGGAGGTTGCAGCTTTCTCTTTGTCTTTCTTTCTCTGTTTTTTTCGGTTGGCCCCTCTTGTTTCTGCTTTTCTGTTTGTGTGAGCTGGGGAGGGGGCAGTGGTGAAAAGTGAGAGTTAGGAAATAAAAACTTGCACATGTAAAAATACAGCTAGTAGAACATTGTTTTCAGTCCAATTAGCTGCTTGGTGCTGTATTTTCCTCACCATCGTGGTTAAGTGGACACATTTTGTCACCTATAGTTGATATTAACACAGCACAGAAAGCTCCTCAACAATCAACCAGCAGAAACCTCTGGAAACCATAATCTTCTATGGCCAAACAAACACCTCGCATTAGCAGTGTTAATGGTGAAACCCTCCCTCTTGTTCTCATGATGGTTATTGGTGGGGGTTTTTTCTCTGCCTCCTCATTCTGCTTGTTAAACCCACAGTGCAACAAAGTAATTCTGGGAAAGAAGGAAATTACTAACCTGAAGCAGAAGTAGGCGGGGCAGGGTACAATAAAGTGAACACCAAAAAAAGCAAAATCATTACAGTTCAGCATCCGCTCAAGATAACAAACTCGACGATAAAGGCCCAAGAGATAAGTCAGTGGAAAAGCATCAGAAGAGATAATGCATCATCCTTTGATATTTCTGATCATATTTAATAACATCCAGTAAGAGTCCTTCTCTACTAAGTGTGTTTCTGATGCTTCTATCTCATGTTTGTGAGCATCTCCTGTATGTTTCAGGTGAAGATCTGGTTTCAGAACAGACGAGCCAAAGAGAGGAAGATAAACAAGAAGAAGCTGCAGCATTCCCAGCAGGCCTCCACAACTACACCCACCCCACCTGCGCTGGGTGGACCCGCTGACACCCACATCACCACCAGCCCCAGCAGCAATCTTTTGTCTGACACAATATCAGAGGAATACTAGGTGGATTTTACATGGACGACGGATACAGCATTAAATATGTACATAGTGTTTTGTTTTATAAGTTTACCACAGAATGAATGAAGACGATTCACATCAACATGATGATATAATGCAGCACTTCCTGCCTTTCACCATGACAAGCACTGTCTGTCTGTTGATCATTGATCATCTCTAGTGGACATTTGCCAATCACTGGAAGTTAATGTGTTAATATGGCTCATTAGCAGCACAGAGAAACTGATTTTAAAGACAGAGAATCACTGGATAAAGTGTCATTTGTCACACATGTGTGCCTTCTTCAAGAATTGTTGGTTAAAGTCACAATGAAAAGGCATTTGTGTCAAATGTGTCTGTATATTGGTTTATAGAGTGCGAGTGCATCTGTATAGTCAAGAATCTGCTTCATGAATAAGAAAAAGGAATAATGTGTCTATTTTTTATGAGTTTCTATTTGCTCTAACTGCAAGAGGACAATGGAAAATCATACTTGCAAATAAGTAGAAATTACAATGAATAATGCATAGCCCTGCTACTTATTTTTGGGGATGTAAAAGTATGTTAATTCCTCTCTTTATGACTGTTAGAATTTACAGGAAATAGAAAGAGCGCAAAGAGTGTTGCGTTTGTTACTACTGAAGAATGTGATGCCAAAGTTCAACACCGCTTTAATGTTCTTTCTGTTGAAATATTGATGCAGGGTGTGTCTTGGGAATAGATCTTTCAGAAATATAAACCAATGGGTTTCAGAAAGCAGCTGTTTATAGCACAATGTAAAGGGTGAAAGCACAGAAATGTTAAAAACAGGAAGTAAAAGCAATGAGAGTACAAAAATGTTGTCATTTGGAATTCATTGTTAAACAGCTGTATACTATGAAACATTTGGTGACATTTTCCCCCCTAATTTGACTTTATAGTTTTGTTCATTAATTTAGTCACCACCTCTTGATAACAACAAGGAACTGAGATGAAAAATGGTTGAAAATGACAGTGAAATAAGATGTTCAGACAGCAGTGTTTAGCCACATCCTGAAAGACTGCTGCCGCATGACTCAACATCTACAGTCATTGTACCGCTAAACACGCACACATTTTAAGTGAAATAAAGTCCCTGCTTCTCCTTCTTTTGGGACTACTGTGTGTATAAAAATTGTTAAAGTATGTACTATACTAAGACATTTGACATGTTAACACACTTTTGATTGTTCCTGTTTGTAGGTCACAGAAGAGGAAGGAAAAGTGACAAATGTAAACTTTGTACTGACCAGTCAGAAAATTGCAAAAGCTGCTTTCAAAATAAACCACTGTATCACCACCTTTTTGCAACTCCTGTATTGTCAGTGAAATAGTTTCCTTGTTTTGCCTTTCAACCGTTAATCTCAATACTGTGTTTTTACAAGGCTGAAGTTTGTGTTGCTTATAAAACATGTTTCATTGCACATTTTATAAAAAGCATGCTCAGTACAGGGGTTTATTGATCTGATTTGTATTTTCTGTTCTTTCGCACTTTCAACAGCTCTATGTGCTTTCATTACTCAACTTCTGAAACATTTCTACAGAGAAAAGATCCTTCAAGTTCACGCAGGCTATGAAGAAATACCAATGGTATAAAGCTTTATTAGCCCACACAATTACCTAACTATAACATTAATTTAATGGAATTACGACACAATTTTTATAAAATTATTTAATAATAATAATAATATTCATTGAATTATAAAACAATATTAACAATATTAGTCTTAATTTATCCTCTGACTAATCTTTTCATAGAAACATTTGTATCTCCCAACAACATGTTGACAACTGTACTGTACAAAGACTAGAATACATGCTAAATCAAATGATTTTCTCTACTCTCTACTCACTCTGACAAATTCTTTAAATATTAAATTATAAGTCACCTAAAGGATGCCATTTATCAAAAACTCTGGGATTGAAGAATTGGCAACTATGTCCTGCAACGCCTGGCGCTTGAGAAGGAATTTCTGTGCGTACAGTGCTGTGGCATGGCAATGTAACATCACATGATTGTGTCATGAGAATGACAAAATCACCTTGTTTTTATGATGAAAATGTTTAACACACTAAAAGGTTGCAACAATACTGAACAATTTGGTACCCATGCAGCTATTGTATTGTAATAAGCAGCACTGGCTGACTGATCTGATGGCAGAAGCATACTGGATTGTTGGAACAGCTTTATTACACTTCTTCTGTGTTGTCAATTATTTGCTCAGTAGATTATGTCAGATAGAAGTTCAACTGTGTTTCAACAGGAAGGTTCAACTAAAAAAAGGGTTGCAGGTGGTTGTTTGAGGACAACTATCATGAACCATAAACACCAATTTTATTGCTCTGTGAATCAGCTGAATGGCAGTCTATGCTTGTCAACCTTTAACCTCAAGCTATCAAACCAAACAAATCAAGTAACCTCTGTCTTTGATTAAACGCACAACCACTAAAAGCACATGGTCTCACCTTAACTACAAAAAAATGAAAATATCATCAGTATTAACATTGAAAAAACTCATTGTTAATAAGGTTAATAAAAATCCTTTTTTATATATTTCATTTAAAACTAAAGTTCCAATAAACTAAACTGCACTGTAAAAATGTATATTATACAAAGAGATCTTAAAGTGTTTTGGATGGTGAGACTGAGCTGAGAATCAGGCATGCACGTACCAAAAGGCTGCTAGAAGATGCAACAGCAATGAGCCTTTTTACCTGCATCTGATTACAGCTTTGACAATATAAAAGTTATTTCTCCAAAATGTTCACTATGAGTGCCTTTGTACATTCTCCTGTGTCTAAGGGTTTGAACAAGTACTAACTTCATGCATTAGCTTAATTAACTATCATTCTAGCTGATGCCTTCCACTATTTAACTATTTGTTTCTTCCCTCGCTATTTGTTGTTTATTTTCTGGGTTGAAGCATGTAAGCTGCACAAAATTGGGTCTTTTAAAAGAGGCAGGAAAGCCAAGAGTCTGATTGATATTTAAATTAGTTAGTTGTCTAGTTATATTTACATTAATTTTTTTCAATTCTAACATGCAGTGGTCAAAACTCTTCACACAGTCAGCGAGTACCAAACTATGAATAGTTTTTCGTTGCTTTCACACAAAATGCATTCAATGACCACTGTCTCCAAAATTGAGGAACTCTTTTCTCATTGCTACTCCACCACCCGAAAAAACAATTTACTTGCAGCACATTTTGCAAATGCTGTTTGCTCTGTGTCCAAAATTGTTAAAACACATTCAAAACAGAATTATGCATTTCTGCAGCAACCAAACTGAAATATATGTAGTGTTTTGAATGGCATTATCAAATTTCTTCTGAATGCTCACGTAAATCAGTTAACATGTAGTACTGTGTTATGTTCTGTGATTATTGCAAAGCAATCTTTCAGGCAGGGAATTATGCTGAGGACAATGTAGTGTTCAGATCAAGATTCTAAGATTTTCTCATGTACATCGAGTATATACATCAAGAGCTACATTCAATCCAAATTCCTAGCGTGTGCACACATACCTGGCCATTAAAGCTGATTCTGATTCTGATGCTCTAAAAATAAAACTTTTGAATCTTGAATGTGCAGATAAGTTACTGGTAGCTCACGTAAATTCTCCTGTATGCACTTACAACCTGTCAGTGAATGTGTTCTATCGTATATAACTGTAATTCCAGACAAAGGGGTGTATTTATAATCATGAATGTTTTTGTCTGTTGACAAACGGGTTAATATTAGATCATGAAACATCTTCAGCAGCACTGTGTTCAACTGACTTTCTATTTACAACAAATATCCATTAGGAACATTGATTTTCCTCCATGACCTGAAAGTTTGAGCCTGAAATTACCAAAACTCAGTTGAGTAACATAGATGTACAAACTGTTGCAACCCCTACATTCTAAACTGGCAGCCACAAAGTCAAAGGAAACTCATCAAACTTATTATAGAAAACATGATTTGATGGTGGTAAACGATAAACACATCACATGCTCAGAATCTGATAAGCTGTAAGGTCCCTTTCCTCTTTAACATCCTATGCTTGACTTTACTGAATTCAACAAGAACACGATGGTTTGTCCATCTCAGTTTTGTCCTTGTTACAGTAAAGCAGAAAAAAGAAGAAAACAACACTGTTTTATATAAAAGGTGTTCCTCCTTTGCTGCTAAATGACTGTATTATGAAACACTGTGAAAAGTGGAAGTGTATTTCAAATTTCAGATGAAAATACAGAACGTTATCTACGTCTGGATCATCTACAATAGACTAATTCCCTCATTAACTAAAGTATTAGAGCAAGCAGCACAATTAAAACTACACACCCACTCATATTTATTGCATTAAAGGGATATATTATCGTCATCAGCCACAACTGGTTTTAACAACCGTTGAAAATCACACCATGTAACTGACGAACCAATACTGAGAAAAAGCAGAAGTGTTTACCTCATGGAAACAAATTCATGCAGACTGTGAACTTCCTCAGAGACAAGACAGAAAATCAAAGGAAGACAGCTTGGTTGAATTTGATAATAACACTCACGCACTGCACCGAACCTTTAATAAATCTACAAATGCAAGAGCATGTTAGTTTGTTTGATAAACTTTGACCCTTGACTCATCCATCAACATCTGTTGAATAAATAGATTTTGATTTAAGTAAATGCAGACTTTATTACTTTGACATGAAGATAAAAGTAGCCATTTTCGATGACATGTAAACACAGCTGATTAACCAACATTATAAAAGTACTGATGCCACTTTTTCAGGCACTTTAGAGTACGGTTCATGTCTGCCAATCATTGTAGGCTAATACAAAAAATACATTGCAAAGACATTTTTGTTCTTAAAATTTGTATTATCATTATTAAAAGTTTTCAGTTTTAACTATGAAATAAAAGTAAATATGCTCATAAATTAGACACAAGTAAAAATGAGGAAGTGGAACATAATCTAAAGATAAGAGATATTAAAATTGTGGTAAAATACATTCTTACGAAATATTAAATAGTCATAATACATAATCTAGTCTATAAAAACTAGCCACACTGTGATTCAAATGCTGGAGCTGATACTTTGATGCTCAGTCACAACCCAGTAGTACAGTAAAGGTGAACAAAATATGAGCACTGATGGCTTTTTATTTTCCTATTGGAAATCACATTAAATAAGGTGAAAGACCTTCAGGCATCTTGGCACACCTCCTCCACCTGCCTTCAGCGGTGCAGTGAACACTGAATCACCTGCTCTGCGGACTTTGGCATACACACATTCATCTACTCTGGTTCAATGGTCTGCCGAGGTTGCTTTGAAATCTTGACTTGGCCGTACTCCACCTCCACCTCTTCTTTTGCTGCATCTGCCTCCCAGGTCGCTGCATGACCCTGACATCAGCATAGGTTAATTCTTGTTCATCTTCTTCTTCTGCAGAGTAAAAGGAAGTGAAGCACAAATGTATCATATTTAATGATTAGATACAATCAGTACAGAAAAGGCGATCACTTCTGATATCAGAAGTCAATTGTTAAAGGAATAGTTTTACATAATCAGAAATACGCTTTCTTACTGAGAGATAGATGAGAAAACTGCAATGATGGTTCAGGAAAGTTTTGTTTAGTACCTTTTGGTTTGTTGTTTTCCTTTTTCTTGTGAGCACAGACGACTACCACCCCGGCCACTAATAGAATTACCAGTGCAGAAAGTACGCCGGCGATTATTGTCAAATTGTCTATTTCCGTAATAAAAGACACAAAAAGACACACAGATCTTTAAGTTAACACACTTTACAGGTGAAGACACACAAAGAAGAAAAGGGGAAATTAGTTTAATAAATCCACTGCAGCAGGGTTAGTTATCACTTACTGATGTACCATGGGACATCTCTGCTGGGAGTTTGATTGGAGGATGTGATATTAGTGGACGATTTAATTGACACTTTGCCAGGGTCCTTACCCGCAGTAGTGACTGTGGTAGGTGTTGTTGTTGTTGTTGTTGGCTCAATACACAGGGTGTTATTGGCTTCAAGCACCCACTGTGATATGTGTGTCATATTGATGGTGCAGTTAATGAATATGAAGCCTGTGGAAAAGAAACGATAAATGATGTACAGTTAATCATCAGAGTCATACTAATCAAACTGTTTTCTACTCACCACAGGTAGATATCTTCTCTTTTTTGGAGACACTACTGACGTTATTCCTGACTGAGCAGACCAGCTGTCCTGACACGTCTTGTTTCAGAGTGATGTTGTTACTCTCATTGTTTCCAGAGAGGAGCTGAGCGTCTGTCAGTGTGTGTCCATCCAGAGTCCAGCTGTACTGAGGACTGTCCCCTCCCTCAGAGGAGCAGGACACCCTCATCTCTCCCTGGAACAGACACTCAGGACCAGCAGGACAGAGGACACAGGAGCTGAAGGAAACACACTCAGATGACTTTTCATATTAAGACTTGGTTATTCTATAAGATTCTAATACATAACAGGCATATTTACAGATACATGTAGAATATGAGATATATGAAGTTTCCATTTACACTTATTCATTTATCCAACGCTTTTATCCAAAGCGACTTACAAACGCTATAATGTCAGAGGTCGCACGCCTCTGGAGCAACTTAACCCATAGTGGGGAAATGAACCTGGGTCTCTCACACCAAAGGCATGTGCCTTATCCATTATGCCATCACCACCCAGTGTGAGTTTAGCAACAAAATAACATGTATGTCTATCAATATACACTAAAGACCCCCATAGGCAAAAAATGTTATTTACCTTGAATGATCAAATGTAGAGTCCGCTGCTCTGATCTCTTTCCATCTGAATCAAAGATTTCTAGAGTATATTCACCACCATCAGTCCAGCTCATTGTTGATCCTAAATGTTCCATTACTGGGAGTAAATGAGGATCTGTTTCTATCACATTACAAAATCTGATTCTTTCTCCCTGAAGTACTACTGTTTGTTTTTCATTGGTATTTAAATATTTCTGAGGCGCTGTCCATCAGCTGGAGGACCACAGTTCCTCCCAAAGCTCCATAACACTGAGCTCCATCCTGTCTGCCATCACATGTTTCCACACCTGGAAATGTGATAAATTAGATTTAAAAAATGTAAATATCACACTAATTTTATTTCTACAAATGACTGACTGTGACAATATTTTTGGTAAATGCAAATATTGATCTAAAGCAAATAATAGTAGTTTGGTGTTTCTCAGACGTCACTGCACACATACGTTTATTGTTGTGCAGCTGACCATTACGCCCGGCCTTTGATTGCAAAACAGTTAAGGCTCAACTAACATCTGTAAGACATTTGTTTTAATATTGTTAGCTGTAATCTTCACTCAGCCATGACAAACTCCTGCTGTTTTTTTGTTGTTTTTATACACACCTACAGAACTATTTTAGAAAATAGCAGAAAACTTGAAGTGACTTAAGGAAGAAATTAAGGGGGAAATCAAAACAGTTGGGGATGAAGCACTATAATGAATAATTTATTGGTTGATTTTCAAAAACTCATAATTGGAATTTTTACTCTAATTGCACAATGAAGTCAAATTGATCTATGGATTTTTATTGCTCTTGGAAATAACAAGATTGAAAATGTTACTGAATCTTAGAAAAGCTGTATGTTACAAACTGCTGCAGTCATCAGTTGATTCTCATATCTTAATTTATCAATAAAAGTGGTTTTCTTCAGAAAAGGTGGTTTCAAACCTGCAGTATTTGAGTTGCATTATACATATCAGTGAACATACTGTCTATACTCATGACTGTACTTGAAACAAAAGCTGTGCAAGAAGTTCCTGTATTAATATGTGTTAGTTAGTTAGTTAGTTAGTTGTAAGTTTAACAGCTCACCATGAGAGACTCCAAGTAGCATCAGAAACAGTCCAATCACAGCTTGCATGTCTCCTCAGTCTTCAGCCTCTGTTGACCCAGTCAGCAGCTTCCACTCACACTTTTCTCCTTCACCCAAAAGCAAACCTGCACATTCTACACTGAACAGCCTCAAATGTGTCCTGAAATGATCAGCCTCACAGGAGAGTGTGTAAAAACTTTGAAAAAACAGAGTGTTGTTGTTTTCACCTTTTTATAGGCAATGAGGAGAAAAGGAAGTGATGTCAGTTTCACTTCCTTTTTTGCTCAGAACAAGAAGACTTTTGGTTGTGATGGACTGAGAGGAAGAGAGGGAAACATTCCTCCTTTACACTGAAAGAGGATTTGAGACTGACAAAACAAGCATCTGATGCATCTTTAGTTTTTTTTTCTCTAAATGATTGAACAATTACATTTAATCAAAATTCACAGCCTGAGATTCTGTCTCAACTTTTCAAACTGCCCCTGCCTAACCCACAAGCTATTATGAGAACATGTTGAACACATACTGCACAATAACACACACCAAGTTGTATTTTAAATTCTGGTTTAGACAGTGAAGTCAAATAATTCAAAATAACAGAGAAATGTGTATAACATTGCATTAAAGAAATCCAGAATTGTGTGTATTGGATTTACACATTCATTTAAAAAAGCTACATAAGGAGAAATTTCAGATAAATAAAGACAACACTGAGTGTTCAACACATTGTCTGAATATTCATATGATCCACAAAAACAGTTAAGCAAATTAAAACATTTAGTGATTATTGAGTTTTTATCATGTGATTCAGAATAATTGAATACTGCAGTAACAATGCTATGATAGATATAGCAATATTATATTTTACATAATGTAAACCTCTAGATACAGTGACTTTTCAGACTTTATTATCGGCTAATTAATGCCTTTCTTGCCTTCAGTATACTTGGCAATACTACCCATATAAATCCACCTAAGACATTCCCCTTTATTCTTTGACAGAGGATTATTCGTTTGTCTTTTTCAGAGGTATATATCAACAACATTTTTAAAAAGGCATGAATAGGCTTTCCCCCATAATTGGTTGACTGACTGAACAAAGCAAAATTCTGACATCTAACTAGAATTTGGGGATGACAACTGTTCAATATCTAGCCTGCTTATTTTAGAAGCAGTTTAACACATGTGATTACCAACAGTCCTCACAGCTGTCAGAAAATGTATTATTTTCAGTGCTCGACCTCATCAAACTGTACAGTTTAACTTTATGCTGAAAGCTTTGTGGAGACGTTGGTTTGTGTGATGGTTGTTGTGTTGTTGTCAATATGGCAAAGTTAGATGATTAATCGACTGAACTGCTTATTTCAGTTCCTCATTTCTGACACAAACAGAAGGAGCTAAAATATGTACATTCACGCTGCACTATTGGCCCACAGCTCAAACTATTTCTCGTCAATGTTACTGGTTTAAAGTGTGTAATTCCTCGTGTAAACACCCCCCACAGCTCTCTCTCTGCCGTCTTGTTAGTTTCTGACGCCCTCCACTGGCAACTGTTGATTAAAGTCAAATGCTCTAAAATAAAAGACTTCCGACATTGCACTCGCAGCATGTGTTACAGTCAATATCCAGTGAAGAAGATTAAATCATTATTATAATATTGATCTTTTTTTTTACCAAATACAGAATTATCCAAAAGCAACAGTAACAGGTTTTTATTACAAAACAACAGAAACTCCTACTATTAAATGTTTTGAATGGTTTAACATTATTGTTCTTAGCAAAACAGACATATATTTGTAAGTATAATCAAATAAGAAAAAACAAAACTGTTATTTACATAATCCAGCAATTAATCACTTTAATCATATATGTGAAAATGCCATTAACTGTAATTGTACACAGTTTTGATTTTACTAAACAAAGTTAATACCATGATTTGAATACAAAATCACCATTTCTAAAATATACATAACCATAAAGTCATGTACAGATACAAAAGTTTAAGCAATTTATCTTAAAAACATTAACTTTTCTTTCCTAATAAAAATATCCCTGTTTCCAATTTTGTGACAGTTTTTCAGATAATCCAGTGTGTTTCAAAATGGCTGATTTACCTGAAGAAGTGGGAGAATGTTCTCAACCCATGAAGAAACAATTCATCCTTTAATGTGTCTAAAAAAATCTAAATCATTACATTTGGTGATGCATTGTTTTTATTGGACAGCAACACTGTGGAAGTCTATATTCTAATAATTTACTGCTAATGACAAAATCAGCTTTATTCACAACGTCACATTTTGCTTTAGGATAAACTGTGCTGTGTGGAGCAGTGGCCTCTGGATGATTTATCACTCTCCAAAGGCAGCGGCGTACTGAAACTCTGATCCACTTTCACCAAGTCAATAACCAGTGAAGTGACAGAGTGAACAGAGTTTCCACTCTAAACCCTGTTTTCACATCCAGAAAGACATGAGGCCAATCACAGCAGGTGTGAGGGGCGACACTGAGGTGTTGGTTTCAGAAAGTTAAAGTTCAGATGCAGAACTTCTCATTTCAACCATCACAACAGAGTTCTCTTGATATTTCATTGTTCGAGGGTCGGCAGAGCCTTCAGCTATCTGATATTTATTTTTCTTCCAAACAAAATAGATGGCGATCCCAATTAATAAAAGAATCACCACAGCTGCTCGCACACCACATATGAGCTGGGAGCGATCTGTTCAAGAAAAGAGACACAAAAATCTATTGTCAAGTTATTGCTGTGACAGGAGAGTTAGTTTTCACTTAGATAGAGATTGGCAGGTGTGATGTGAGTGGAAGATTTAATAAACATTATGATGACAGTGTCCTTACTGTCAGTGGAGGTCTCAGTGTCTGTGATCATGGTAGGTGTTTGTTGTTGTTGGTTCAATGCACAGGGTGTTATTGGCTTCAAGCACCCACTGTGATATGTGTGTCATATTGATGGTGCAGTTAATGAATATGAAGCCTGTGGAAAAGAAACGATAAATGATGTACAGTTAATAATCAGAGTCCGTCATACTAATCAAACTGTTTTCTACTCACCACAGGTAGATATCTTCTCTTTTTTGGAGACACTACTGACGTTATTCCTGACTGAGCAGACCAGCTGTCCTGACACGTCTTGTTTCAAAGTGATGTTGTTACTCTCATTGTTTCCAGAGAGGAGCTGAGCGTCTGTCAGTGTGTGTCCATCCAGAGTCCAGCTGTACTGAGGACTGTCCCCTCCCTCAGAGGAGCAGGACACCCTCATCTCTCCCTGGGACAGACACTCAGAGACCAGCAGGACAGAGGACACAGGAGCTGAAGGAAACACACTCAGATGACTTTTCATATTAAGACTTGGTTATTCTATACAGATTCTAATACATAACAGGCATATTTACAGATACATGTAGAATAGGAGATATATGAAGTTTCCATTTACACTTATTCATTTATCCAAAGCGACTTACAAACGTCAGAGGTCGCACGCCTCTGGAGCAACTTAACCCATAGTGGGGAAATGAACCTGGGTCTCTCACACCAAAGGCATGTGCCTTATCCATTACGCCATCACCACCCAGTGTGAGTTTAGCAACAAAATAACATGTATGTCTATCAATATACCACTAAAGACCCAATAGGCAAAAATTGTTATTTACCTTGAATGGTCAAATGTAGAGTCCGCAGCTCTGATCTCTGTCCATTTGAATCAAAGATTACAACAGTATATTCACCACCATCAGTCCAGCTCAATTTGTTGATCCGAAATGTTCCATTACTGGGAGTAAATGAGGATCTGTCTTCTATCACATTAAAAAATCTGATTCTTTGTCCCTGTAAGTATTCCTGTTCTGTTGCTTAACAATTGGTATCTAAATATTTCTGAGGCGCTGTCCATCAGCTGGAGGAACACAGTTCCTCCCAAAGCTCCATAACACTGAGCTCCATCCTGTCTGCCATCACATGTTTCACACCTGGAAATGTTATAAATTAGATTGAAAAAATGTAAATATCACACAAATTTTATTTCTACAAAATGACTGACTGTGACAACATTTTTGGTAAATGCAAATATTGATCTAAAGCAAATAATAATAGTTTGGTGTCTCTCAGACGTTACTGCACACATACGTTTATTGTTGTGCAGCTGACCGTTACGCCCGGCCTGTGATTGCAAAACAGTTAAGGCTCAACTAACATCTGTAAAAAAAGGTAAACAATTTTGATCAAATAATTCCTTTCAGTTTGCAAACAGGACATTCTTATTGTGCAAGTACAGTTTTGAGTAATTTGCACTAACATACAAACATGCTTTTATAGAAAACATTTCATGAAACATGCTACATTATATTCTACTTCACAATGTTGTGGAAAATATTGTTTACTACTTTTTAACTTTTTACTAGTGCATAGTGGTTACTTTTCAGAATAATATTTAACATAAATACAACATAGAAAAAATACAATATATGATGTATTGACAACAATTAAACCGAAAGTGTGTGACGATGTCAACATTAAAATGCTACTTACATGGTAATACATCAGTGATAATAATCCAATAATACATATTATTATGCAGTGTGATAATATATATGAAAGACTGAGACTATACTAGTGCAATACATTATAAATAAAATCTAAATACATTTTAGACCACAATATGCTTGAATATATTATATTTGTGAATTGATAATATTTCACAACCCTATGACTGGAAAACAGTTTGACTTTAGTTACTAAAGTATAGCCTACTCAATGTTGTGGTGTAAAACATTCTTTGTTCTCTATAAAATGACTCTGGTTTAAGTCAAGGGTCAGTGTGTGAGCTGCAAAACACTGAAGATGATGTAACCTTTTGAATGTACTTACACTAGCTGCATAAAATGTGTCAAATTAAACAAGTTCATCAGCTCACCATGAGAGACTCTGAGTAGCATCAGCAACAGTCCAATCACAGCTTCCATGTCTCCTCAGTGTTCAGCCTCTGTTGACCCAGTCAGCAGCTTCCAGACAAATCTCTCTTCTTTATTCAAAAGCAAACATGCACATCCTACACTGAGCAACCTGAAATGTCTTCTCTTAGTGATCAGCTGCAAATAAGAAGGTGTGAAAACTCTCACCAAGCAGAGTGTTGTTAAAATAGTACAGCTGAGTGGAAAGAGGAAGCGGTTAGAGTTAACACAGTCAGCTGTTGCAAAGTTATCATAAAAGCTCCAGAAACAACAAGAAATCTGCTTGCCCCAGTTGATATCTTCTCATATATAACTATTCTTCAGTTGCAGCCATATTGTTATGTTATCAGACAAATATACACCATCACTAACCTTTGCACTACATTTAACGAAGTGAAAAAGTGATATCATTGGACTTGACAAGCAGAGCAAAGAAAAAGTCTTATAGAGAGGTGCGTTGGATCAGAAACTGAAAGAACTATTGATGCTTTGGTCCTCAGACCATCATCAGGTAAGAATCTAATTAAACACTTATTTACAAAATGGATTGAACTAATTCTGCCAAAATAAAGGTGTTTTAGGAGGACAGTGGTTAATTCCAACCCAGGATGCTTTTATGCACTTATAAGGAAACATGAAGTCATTTTAACACCTTCAAGTCTCTGATACATCATCAGAGCTCATGTTTCATGGCTCACTCTCAATAGGACTACTTTAAACAGTCAAACCTCAAACGACATCCTCAGACTTTACTGTAATGTTTCTTGTGTCATTAACAACGGGTAAAGGAAGCAGAATATTGCAGCAAACTGGCCATTTCAGTTCCTCATTATCTTCAAATTATTTTCACGCTTCCAAACGTTATTTTATGTAGAGCAATTTATAAGAATTTCTTTTAAATATAGTATAATGTTCAAAAAGCAGTGTAGCTAAAGTTTTCAACTCTTTATTCTTTTTAGAAAACTAATCTACAATCAGAGGATTGGTTTGTCTTTTGTCAGAGATATCAACAACAGTAGTAAATAAAGGCCAGCAAAGTGCGTGCACATTCACATGTACGCGCATGATGCGCATAACAGTCGTTCACGTGAATACATTTTTGGATTAATAAAAAATAATTTATCAAAATTTAATTAATCAAAAATTTATTTAAAAATAATCATTAATAAAAAAAAGAGTAAAAATGAATAATAAAAATTTAAAATAATAAATAAATAAAGATTGGGAGGTCATAGCAAGGTTGAACAACAAAGAGATGGAGATGTGAAAATGGGTATTTAGAAAAGTATTTGCACCTCTGTTAGCGGTGGTGGGGGGGTCGATCACCAAAAGGTGAAGACGGGTGTGAAAAGGGGGGTTTGTGTATATGGGATGTCCGGTGTTATCCTCTAAAAGAGGATGTTTGGGAGTGGCTTTAGCAATCGGTTGTATATATATAGCGGGCTAGTTTTTTGACTTACATCTGACCGAGAGCATGGTGAATCCGTATCGGACGTAGCTATCTTTGTGCAGAACAACAGCGCCATCTTTGCAGCATTGCAATCATGGACGTCGCAGGTAATCAATTGGGAGTAATGACTCCAAAACAACGCATAATTGTAGATCCTGTTGCAATGAGTATGGCTCCCAGAAAGAAGACTCCCCCAACAACATTGGCTGATTTTCTGGACCGAAAGGCCTGGGTGCCTCAGTTTGAATGGGCGGTGGAAGATTTTATAATGTCGGGATTCTTGTTTGAGCATGGAACAGTTCATCTTTATACAAGAGATCGTGATGAAATTTTTCTTTGTGAAAGCACACCGTACATTAGTTTTTCAGCCAAAGACTGGAATTACTTCAGAAACAAAGTCTGTAAAGATATGAGTGCTTCAAAAGGAGTCTATACCACACAATGGTGCGGGTCTGTGCCAGGAGAGCTCTACCGTGTAGCTCTACCCAGAATCCTACATCTTTTTTAGATCATGCAAGGATGATTCTATCATTCAAAATGCAAGGATGGGAACCCCAGAGCAGCAAAAAGGCTACCCCATCACGTCTAAAGAGTGGGAGACGTGGTTCAGCACCGGCTTTGTGGTCCAGTGGGGAGAATGGGATAGAACCCTTGAAATCTTCTCACACATTGATAAATTATTCAGATGGTATAAACCTTATGTTAGCTATGTAGGGATCAAAAGAAAACTTTTTGGTCCTGAGGACAAGCAAGATGAACAACAAACAACAACGCAGACAACCTCAAAGACCTCCACGACGGGTCTGACGGTGACATTGTTCTAATTAAAATGTTTTGTGCAGGTACGAGGACATGTGCATCGGGTGAGGGTCTATCGAGCAGCCCTAAATATTTTCCAGTACTACAGGACGATGATAACTCATGGGTGGATGACTATGGCAAAGAACTGGGGAAAATAAATTTAACATTTCTCATTCCTGAAGAAAAAGCGGAGGAGGACAAGAGCAGGGCCAAGCCGTTTAAGGGTGCCTGTTTGGACACTCTGGACTGTTGCGACAAAGACACATCTCCTAACACTACTGCTAGAGGTATTGTACAGGTAACCGTAGCTTATTATGTGACACAGATAGGATACTATGTTGTTCCATGGCGTACCATGGTGCAAAGGACAGCGGATAAATAGCAAATGTTTTTCCTGTGAATGATAATGAGTTTCATATGGGTCATGTGTTTTGTTTTTGTACTTTTAGCATTGATTTGTGTGTTTTAATGCTAACCACAAAACAACATGTCGATGTTGCTGATGAGATGTATTGCTTAACTGAATCTTTGGTTTGTAAAAACATAGGTGCTTGTACTGATTTTCTGAAAAGTGTATACTTGTAATCATTGCTGACGGATTTGTTGCGTATGTCGTTGGAAATAAAATACTTGAACACAGACGTTGAAGCATCAGTCTTTGTAACAAAGATCATGGAGGAGGTGATGAGAAATATATACTATGCGGCAGAAAACACGGGCAAGCAAAAACTTAAAAAGGCCATGTTTGACACTACTGGAGTTCGGTACGCAGATTCAGACGTAGAAAACTGGCTCATGAAGCAAATGCCTATACTCTACACAAGGCGGCTCCAGTGCATTTAAAGAGAAACAAGGTTTTAGTGAATTCAATAGATTGGCAATTCCAGATAGATCTAGTTAACATGTCCGCTTATTCTGCTGAAAATGATGGGGTACGCTATTTGTTAACGTGTATAGATTTGTTTTCAAAACACGCATGGGTGCGTTGTTTAAAAAATAAGAGTGGTAAATGCGTCACAGCATCCTTTAAAGATATCTTAACTGAAGGAAGAATCCCACATAAAATTCAAACAGAAGAGGGAAAAAATTTTTAAACAAAATTCATTCAGCTTCCTTAGCAGCTTCCAAACACACGTATAAAATGGATACAGAGGATTTATTTGTCACCCTGCCCAGCAACTCGTCTGCATTATTTTACCTGATAGAAATACAATATCCAAAAACATGGAAATCGTTTTCATCGGAAGACTCAAAATTTGTAGTGTTTGATAAAAAATCCAACAAGAGGGTAGTTCTATCAGCGAGACAGGGATTCTATACAACAATGTCACAGATAATAGCTGAACTAAACAGTTGTTGTTTATCTGAAAACGACATGGGTCACATTGAGCTTGATTACAACAACATTACCAACAGAGTAAGCATTTTACCAACAAGAGAAGTAGAATTAAAGTTTCAAGGAAAACTTGCACAAATGTTGGGATTTATCCCCGGAGCGGCTTTTAAAACTCACAAGGGAATTGCAACATTTACATCTCAGCCACAAACTAACACAGTGTTGACACAGATGCAGTATTTGGCGCCACATCCTGCCGATGTTAACGTAGGGATGTATAATAAATTTGTTTGTACCGATGTTGTTGATCATCAAACGGTAGGGGATAGTTACGTCCCTCTTTTAAGAATAGTACATATATTGGGTCCAAACAATCCATATGATCACAAATACTTATGACAGACCACACTACCTGAGGCTCTGCAAAACACACATTGATAGTATCGAGATTTCTCTCAAGACAGATCAGAATCAACATATCCCTTTTACGTACGGCAAAGTGATAATAAAGCTGCACTTTCGACCCGTAAAATATCGGTATTAGACAAGGAGCAAACATGTACCATCCATATGCTCACAATGCAGACAAGTACGCTGCATATTATACAGCCCAAGCGGGTGGTGATTTGCCTCAGAGCTCAGTATGGTGCAGGGTTAGGGGGTATCTTTAGGGGATTGTTTAGATTATCAATCCCCTTATTCAAGAAAGGATTTACATTTGTTGCCCCTCATTTAAAGACATCTGCTAAAAACATAGCTACAGATGTTATTACTAACGTCATGAACAGACGTCAAGAGGGGTCGTTTATAGTGACCGTGGCTCCCCGACCAATAAAACGACCTCCTGGGAAAAGAGGGAGTTCCCCACCAAAGAGGCTTAGCCGAACAACAAATAAGAAGACCCTACCCTGGATGTACAATATTTTCACAGGTTGACATATCGTTGGGGGACCGACTCATAATGCAATCATCAAACACATATCCTTACAGGGGTATAATAGAGTGCCTTTTGAACTACGGAAAGGACGCTCTGCAGATACAGTTTGGATCCGGACTATTTTGCATGGATACAGCAGGTCATATGGACGAGGCGACGGCTGGAGGACGCAACGAGGGACTAGTTAAAAGAATGGAGTACACACAAGGCGGCCGCATAGTGGAGCTAATATCCCCTTTACATTCTGACTTGTTTTTTCAAGACATGTTAATGATAAATGGAGTAGACCTCAAGATAAAATTCATAAGATATAAAAACTAATTTTGCTTAATGCGCAACACTGTAGACAACTGTCGGGTTAACATTATGTCAGCAAGCCTGTTTGTAAAGAAAGTCACTGTATCTACGGCTGTTAAGCCAGCGCACGCTAAGGCATTAACGCATGGCAACATTAAATGTCCCATAGACAGAGTCTGTCTTAAAAATTTTAGCGTCCCAACGGGCACTCGTGTTTGTAATCAAGAAAATTTCTTGGGACAAATACCTAAATTTATTGCAGTAGGATTTGTAGATCATGAGGCATTTACAGGTAGTTATGCGTGTAATCTATTTACATTTAACCATTATAATATAGAGTTTTTATGTTTATACGTTGACGGCCAACAAGATCCATCAAAACCCTTTCAACCCAACTTTACCAGAGGGAATGCCATCAGAGAGTTTCATCAATTGTACTCGGCAACTGCAAAGTATCTTAAAAACAATGCTATGGCCATAACCCGCGACGAGTTTTGTAATGGATATAGTCTGTTCTTTTTTAACCTGAGCCCTGATGAAGGATGCAGAGACCATATGTCGCTCATTAAAAACGGTAGCGTTAGAGGCTCGTTTCAGAAATCTGCTTCAACGCACACTAAATGCGGTTATTTACACCACATATGATTCTATAATTGAGATATCATCAAGAAGACAGGTTCTCATTGACTTTTTCTAACTTTAACAAACGATAGTATGAATACGATAGAACTGTCAAAAGTACTTGATAAGGTAGTGAAGCAAGGTGTCTTTCTTGGAGTATTTGCTAGTGACCAGCTTCCTAAATCAGTTATTAAAAAGAGAGTCATGTTGGTGGTAAACACAGACCCCTCCCACCTGGGAGGACAACACTGGGTAGCTATCTATATTGACAAGCAGGGTGTGGGATCATTCTTTGACAGTTTTGGGAACTCTCCGATATACTCACATTTTCCTGAATCCTTTTCTGTCTTTCTCAACAGTAATTGTAAATCCACGCAACATTCTGTTAGACAAGTGCAAGATGTGGATTCTGTAGTGTGCGGTCAGCATTGTGTGTTTTTCTTTACCATATGGATAGAGGATTATCTTATGACAATGTAATGACTAAATATAGTAATAAACGGTCATGCAATGATTTTATGGTGTGCAAATTTGTGGAAAAAATACGACCCTCGGTTGTATGTGGTCAAAATAATTATGCAGAATGTAACCAGCGTGTCCAAATATCAGATTCTTTTAAGTGTGTATAATAATATTAGAAGTTGTGTGCCATTCATTATCAAAATGATTTATTGATTGAAACATGTATGACAATGTTTTTTGTTATTATGGTGATATAAATAAAACACTTAAATGATAAAGTGTCTCTATGTATTTATTTAAAACCAATAACGATATATAATTAATCCAATCACTCAATCGCATTTTAGGAGATACAAAGGGACTTGTTTCATTGTTTGCTAATCGATGCTCTCTGGTAACAAGAGGTGTAGATGGCGGTCCAGTAATAAGAGGAGAAGATTCTCCAGAAGTCTTGAAAATGATTTCAACAGTTTCTTGAATAGACTCGTGTGCCGGAGATCTTCTTAAAAGATCAAGCTGTTGTTTAGGTACCAGAAACATTTTTTGTGCATACTCCATAGTCATCTAAGTTTGTCTTGAACCAATAAGACTCGTTATAAAAGTCACAGCAATACTCAGGAGGGGGAGAAGAAAACCGCCAGACTGTTTAAGCATCGTCTTCTTTTTCTTTGAAGCACAAACCTTTTTATTGGCAAGCAGTCTAATCCCCGCCTTCTTCTTTTTTAATTTTTGATTCTGTGTCTTATTTAAAGGAATTTTACCTTTTAAAACATAGTAAGCTATTTCGCATAACGATACCAAAAGGTCTGGTGATGCAGATTTAATAATATTCACTCTCTGAGATGGAGATGCTCCGTGCATAGTTTGCAGTAAAGACAGGTTTCTTTTAATGCAATCAGACATGTTTATTTACTTTCTCTTAGGCACATACACAACAGGCAGGTCTGAAAGCAAGTCGGTTCTGAGTCTGAAATCATCAGCTTAGCTTTAAAATCAATCATCAACCGTAACCGTAAGGAATACTCGTGGCATTCGAAACAATCCATAAAAAAATGACTCTTCCCAGGAAACATTTGTCTAGCCATTAGCATGACATGGTATTTATCTCTGGGATTTTTAAACAAAACAAGATAATTGGTATTCAAATTAATAGAACGGCTAACTTTGCCTTGAAAAAACAAATTCTGAACTAGGTATAAACAACTTAAATTTCTATGATGCAAATATTTTATAAACACATTTTGGACCTCAATGTTATTGCTAGCATCATTCATTAAATCATCAATAATCAACAAATAGTTTTTATCTAAAGGCAACAATGTATCATAACATAAAGAAGATGGCAAGCCTTCAACGAAATTCACATTTCTAATTTTCAATAACTGGTCATACAATGGTTAGCAACTCAAAAAAATATATACAATGTTTTCAATCTGTTTTGAAATGAGCTTTCCATTTTCAACACACATTTTAAAATTATCCATTTTTGAAGGACCTGACACAATTACTAAATGTTGTAGTCTAAAATCAAAACCATCAGTCTCTCTAACAGCCATGGTATGGTAAAGCTCTCAGATCAGGAAAAACTCTGCGTTTCGTATTCACGACTTGAAGTCTTGTGGCAATTGTTTTATTTTTTAGTTCGAAAGCCATTTTATTTATCCCATACTTAAAATTGTCTCCTAGTGTTAGTATAGTAGAGTGACATCTATCTCAGCTTAAATCACATCCTAATGTCCGACGCTCATGTAATGCAGGATAAAACCGGAAAAAAAGACTTCCGTACCTGACGTATTTTGTTTACTAGCTAATAATTAAGATGTTGCAGGCAAAACACATGATCGGTCTAAGAAAGTAACACAGAAGACGACAATACAGTAAGTAGAAATAAATATTATTGCAATATAGGTGACAACAACTAACGCCACTTCCCTAGCAAAGATTGTAATCTATAAAAATCAAACTTGTTGAAGACACTGAAAATGTGCATCTTGTAAGTAAACTCTGAACTATGTGTACGTACATAAAGAGGAGAAATGAGAAATGGCGACTCACATGGCAGAAGGATGAAACTGTTCGAAGTAAATACTCCTACAACTGTGTAAAATATATCGAAATATTACCTCTGATTAGTATAGCTTAAAGCCTAAAGCCTTTCTAAATAATCAGACACTTGTATGATTAATTCTCCTTGAAGTTCGCTATAAAAAAAACATAATTTAAGATAATTTGCTGCACACAAAAAGAACCATGACTGAGGATAGTAAACACAAGCAGAGATTCTGTTTCTGCAAAAGAACACCTCAAATGTCTAGCTGTGATCCCATCCTATTCTCGCACATAGCCTACATCTGAATCTGAATTTTTGTCCAATATATAATCACTCGCGCATTTGAAACACTTAAAAACTAAAAAACAAAAATATGTGTCAAGTTATTGCTGTGACAGGAGTCAACAGGACTAACAGGAGTTAGTTTGTACCAGCCCGTTCTCATCTCAGGGCGTCATATACCGACGATTTGAGAAAGAGTGACAAAGCGTAGGTATTTGACGCAAAAGGCACCCTTTAGACGCACCGGGTGCATCTCCATGAGACTAGCTAGCTAGCAACGTTCATGATAAAGGTGTTGACAGCCCCCCCCGAAGCCCCTACCCTTACCACAACCATTAGAAATGTTAGTACCTAAACCTAAGTCACTGAATGTATGCATGTCGACCGGCTAACCCTACAGCTGCGCACATCCGATGTGCTAACCGGTAGGGTTAGCCTCCCTTGTGTTGCTGCAACCTGCAACGTAGGGAACAGGGGCGTTTCTTACGGACGCTGAAGGGTACCTTTAGCGCAAAATCCTTACGCTTTGTCACGCTGGCTGAAAGCGTCAGTTATGACGCATTGAGATGAGAACGTGTTGTTTGTACGTACTAATGTACCATGGGACTTTACTTCTGAGGACCCTGCAGTCTGACTGGAAGATGTAATATTAGTGGAGGGTTCAGTGGACACTAGGTAAGTCTCCTTACCTGTTACAGTCAATGAATATGAAGCCTTAGGGGAAAAAAACAGATAAACGATGTACAGTTAATCACCAGAGTCATAATTAAAGTGTTAGCTGTACTGAGGACTGTCCCCTCCCTCAGGACACCCTCATCTCTCCCTGGGACAGACACTCAGAGACCAGCAGGACAGAGGACACAGGAGCTGAAGGAAACACATTTAGATGACTTTTTTTATTAAATGTTGGTAAATCTACACAGTTGTAACATGTTGATAGCTTGAAGCTGGGTATAATCATCAAGGAAAATAACGTGTTCCCTTGTCAGTGGTATAAAATATTTAGTTGGATTCATTTCATATAATGTTAACATTCTCCAGTGCTGTGTGACAGAAAAACGTGCTGCTTACATTAGTAAAACAATCAGTTGATCATTGACACTAAAATGTTAGCCTACAGTTTGTAAGCTCAGATCAGCCAGCTTAGCTTTTACTGCCCTGGTCAAAATAATTTGTAGTTGGATTGTAATTTCTAACGTTATTCTCCAACTCTGTGTTTTAGCTTTGCTACATGGACAGAAATGAGTCTGTTATGTTTGCAAGGCAATAAGCTGATGAATATTATTGGCAATAAAACTGCACAGCCTGGAAGATCAGATCAACAGCTAAACTTCACATTTTACTGCCCTGGTGGAAACCACTTATTAATTTTTACTTGTAACGATTAAACAATAACAAGACGGTGAGTCTATAAAGTGACCAATAATGCTTATACTTTAGAATTTGCATTGAAAAAATGTATTTGTTTGTTGGCTTTTGCATTGCCACTGTGCACACAAATGTGTAATTTGATAATTAACAGGGTAAATGTCCATTAAATAATTTAACATTAGTTTCTACACCTGAAAAAAAAATTAACCACTATAATTTTTAGGAATGTACAAATATTAATGTATTATATAAAATATAAATAGATTTTTAGATCACAATATGATTATGTTGTGTTATATGTGTTATATTTGTGAATTGTTAATATTTCACAGTCCTCTGACTGAAAAAAGTTTGACTTTAGTTACTAAAGTACAAATTTTTGTGGTATAAAACATTTTGTGTTTCAGTCAAGTTACCATCAAAACTCAACTTAATCTCCAAGGATCCAAAGACAGCACATCACATTTCACGACTGTTATGTTGCTTCCAGACAAACCTCTCGACTTTACCACAACTCTGAATTATTAGAATTATTAAAAGTGTCGAGAAAACGCATCTAACGAAATATAAAAAACATGTTTGTTGATGTAAAAGATAAATATCACATTCTCAGAATCTGATAACCTGTAGGGTCCCTTTCTTCTTGAACCTCATGTGCTTGAGTTTACTAAATTCTACAAAAACACTTTGTTTGTGGTTGGTTTGTCCATCTCAGTTCTGTCCTTGTTTCAGTAAAGCAGAAAAAGGAAGAGAACAGGACCTTTGCTGCTAACTGACTGTATTAATAAACACTGTGAGAAAAGTAAAAGTGTATTTCAAATTTCAGATGAAAAGACTGTAGGTTATCTATGTCTGGATCATCTACAATAGACAAGCAACAAAATTTACAACTACACACCCACTCATATTTATCAATGCGTTGAGGGGATATATTACTGTCAACAGCTACAAACGCTTTTAACACCCTTTGAAATTCACACCATGTAACTGACAAACGAATGTTGTAAGACTAAAATCTGATGTTTGAGAAAAAGCAGAAGTGTTCACCTCATGGAAACAAATTTGTGCATACTGTGAACTTCCTCAGAGACAAGGCATTTTTCTTAAAACTTGTCGTTACGCCACAAAAACCAAAGGAAGACAGCTTGGTTGAATTTGATATTAACACTCACGCACTGCACCGAACCTTTAATAAATCTACAAATGCAACATCTATTGAATAAATAGATTTTGATTTAAGTAACTGCAAACTTTATTATTACTTTGAACATTTAACATGCAGTTAAAAGTAACCATTTTCGATGACATATAAACACAGATGATCAACCAACATAAACGTACTGATGCCACTTGTTCAGAGCACTTGTTCATGTCTGCCAATCATTGTAGGCTAATACAAAAAAATACATTGCAAAGACATTTTCCTTCATTATCATTATAATTCATTATGTTTTCAGTGTTTTAACAATGAAATAAAAGTAAATATTCTCATAAATTAGACACAAGTAAAAATGAAGAAGTGCAACATAATCTAAAGATATTGAAATTGTGGTAAAATACATTCTTAAGAAAATATTAAATAGTCTACTATATCCACTAAAAACTAGCAAGTCTGTGATTCAAATGCTGGAGCGGATACTTTGATGCTCAGTCACAACCCAGATGTACAGTAAAGGTGAAGAAAATAATACAAACATAGATGGCTTATATTTTTCCTATTGGAAATCACATTAAATAAAGGTGAAAGACCTTCAGGCATCTTGGCACACCTCCTCCACCTGCCTTCAGTGGTGCAGTGAACAATGAATCACCTGCCTCTATTGACCTTGGCATCCACACATTCATCTCATTTACCCATACTGCCCCCTGGTACACAAAAAGACTAGACTTGTTGTACATAGACAGATGTACAATGATCATATACTCTGGTACAAAAATGCTCTCTCCACCTCCAAAAACTTATACTATGCTAATATCATCAAGGGAGGTGAAGGGAATACAAGAACTCTCTTCTCCAAAAAAAGACTATACTCACACCACCGGAAAATAATATGGACAATAACTTTTCAAATGAGCAGTGCTCTGCTTTTTTGACATTTTTCAAATCAAAAATCACTGCAATTCATGAGCATTTTGCGTCTTTAGACATCATGCAGACCAACCTACAATCAGGAAATCCATTGTCACTGCCTCCATCCACTGTTTCCTGTGACTTCAAACTGAAAGTCACATTTCGCAACCAGGGTGCAATCTATGGGGGAGCCAGGGGGAGCTTAGCTCCACTAAATAAGACATCAGCTCCCCTAAAAGCATGCTTTGTGATATTTTGGGGGATTTCAAAAATATTGACAGCTTTATTGCCTTTCATTTCTATATTTCTCTATCATCATGGATCCATGCGTAAATTCAGGAGCGTCAGAGGTAAGACTTCATCCAGCCTGAGGGGACGATCACCAACCGTCCGCAGTGCCTAACTACACTCCATCTCGCTTTCCTGCAGTCTTCCACAATAAATCTTTTGGCTCTACCACCCGTCAACCTCAGTACAATGGGTGCTAGGACCTTCTCCTATGCTGCACCCAAACTCTGGAACTCTCTTCCCCTCCACATCCGTATACTGGACTCTATTACAAAATTCAAAACTGCACTCAAAGCTCATCTTTTCAAACTAGCATACTCGCTGCAATTATGTGCAACGCTGATTTCCATTTGATTGTTGATGTTTTACGTTTTTGTTTTTATGCTGTTTTAATGATGTTACGTATTATTGTTGCTTGTCGTATGTTATGATGTAAGGCGACGTTGAGTGTCATGAAAGGCGCCATCAAATAAAATGATATATTATTTTATTATTATTGTTGGTTCAACAGTCTGCTGAGGTCGCTGTGAAATCTTGACTTGGCCATACTCCACCTCCACCTCTTCCCTTTGCTCCATCTGCCTCCCAGGCAGCTGCACGGCCCTGACATCAGCATAGGTTAATTCCTGTTCATGTTCTTCTTCTGCAGAGTAAAAGGAAGTGATGGCGCAAATACATCATATTTAATGATTAGATATACTCAGTACAATAAAGGTGACATTAATTAAAAATTCTGAAATATGCTTTATTGCTTTCTTGCTGAGAGCTAGATGAGAAATATGATACCACTCAGTGATCTAACTTTTTGCAAGAAAGCCAAATGTATTGTCCAAACTGTCTATTGTTTTGATTTGTAAATAGAGAGAGAAAAAAAACAATTTCTGAATGAGATGATGGTTTAGGAAAGTTTTGTTTAGTACCTTTAGGACTGTTGTTTTCCTGTTTCTTGTGAGCACAGACAACTGCCACCCCGACTGCCAAGAGAATTACCAATGCAGGGAGTACGCCGGCGATTATTGGAAAATTTCCTATTTCTGTAATAAAGGGCACAAGAGATACAGACCTTTAAGTTAACAAAAATAGTTTTTAACCTGTAGGCAAAAATTGTTTTTTACCTCGAATGATCAAATGTAGAGTCCGCTGCTCTGATCTCGTTCCATTTGAATCAAAGATTTCTAGAGAATATTCACCACCATCAGTCCAGCTCAGGGTGTTGATCCTAAATGTTCCATCACTGGGAGTAAATGAGGATCTGTTTTCTATCAGATTAGACAGAATCTGATTCTTTCCCCCTGCAAGTATTACTGTTCTGTTGCTTATCAGTTGGTATTTAAATATTTCTGAGGCGTTGTCCATCAGCTGGAGGACCACAGTTCCTCCCAAAGTGCCATAACACTGAGCTCCATCCTGTCTGCCATCACAGTAGGTTTCCACACCTGGAATTGTTGAAACGTAAGATGTAAAAGATGTGAACAATTCTGATCCTTTGATTTCTTCAAAATCAACAGATCTACATCCTTTCTGCCATCACATGTTTTCACACCTGGAAATTTGAGAAAATAGATTTAAAAATGTAAATATCATACTTTAATCATTTAATTTCTACAAATTGAATGGGCATGACAAAAGCACATGCAAATATTGATTTAAAGCAAGTGGTTTGGTTTGTCTCTCTCAGATGCAACGCAAACAGAAGTTTAATATTGTGCAGCTGAGTAACAAGTTCAACCAACAGATGTATTTCTCTGTAATATATTTTTTACATATAATTAGCTAAGTTAACTTCATCCTGTCATGACAAACAAATGCTGTTTTTTTTTTTATTATTAACACACCTACAGAACTATTTTAAACTTGAAGTGACTTAAAGAAAACATTAAGTGGAAAATCAAAACTGTTGGAGATGAAGCGCTCTAATTATAAATGTAATGGGTTCATTTTCAAAACTCATAATTGTGATTTTTACTGTATTTGCACAATGACACGGAATTGATCCCTGGATTTGCCATTGCTCTTGGAAATAACAAGATTTAAAAAGTTACTGAACCTTAGAAGAGCTCAAATATCAGTTTCAAATTGCTGCAGTTGTCAGTTTATTCTTCAAACTAAATTTATCAATAAAAGCGGTAATTTCTTCAGCACCAACAGGTGGTTTCTAACCTGTCTAGACTACATACACTGAACAAAATTATAAACACAAAACTTGAGCTGAACTCAAAGATCTAAGACTTTGTCTATGTACACAAAAGGCCTATTTCTCTCAAATATTGTTCACAAATCTGTTTTAGTGAGCACCACTCCTTTGCTGAGATTATCCATCCTTGATATGCCAACCTCACAGGTGTGGCAAATCAAGTTGCTGATCAGACAGCATGGGTATGGCACAGATGTGCCTTAGGCTGGCCACAATAAAAGGTCACTCGAAAATGTATGTGAAACAAATAGCTGGGCAAGAGGTTTCAGTTTGAATCTGTGTTGTTAGTTGTAAGTTAATCAGCTCACCGTGAGAGACTCTGAGTAGCATCACCAACAGTCCAATGACAGCTTGCATGTTTCCTCAGTCTTCAGCCTCTGTTGACCCAGTCAGCAGCTTCCACTCACACTTTTCTCCTTCACCCAAAAGCAAACCTGCACATTCTACACTGAACAGCCTGAAATGTGTCCTGAAAGTGATCAGCCTCACAGGAGAGTGCGTGAAAATGCAGAGCGTTGTTGTTTTCATCTTTTTATAGGCAGAGACGAGAAAAGGAAGTGATGCCAGTTTCACTTCCCTTTACCAAGAGGGTAAAGGTACTAATCAGAGTCATAATAATCAAACTGTTTCTACTCACCACAGGTAGATATCTTCTCTTCTTTCCAGACACTACTGACATTATTCCTGACTGAGCAGACCAGCTGTCCTGACACGTCTTGTTTCAGAGTGATGTTGTTACTCTCACTGTTTCCAGAGAGGAGCTGAGCGTCTGTCAGTGTGTGTCCATCCAGAGTCCAGCTGTACTGAGGACTGTCCCCTCCCTCAGAGGAGCAGGACACCCTCATCTCTCCCTGGGACAGACACTCAGAGACCAGCAGGACAGAGGACACAGGAGCTGAAGGAAACACACTCAGATGACTTTTGGATGTTAAATCTTGGTTATTCTATAAAGTTTCTAATACAGAACAGGCATATGTGCTCACCGGCCACTTTATTAGGTACACCTAGCTAGTACCGGCTTGGGCTTACTTTTGCCTTCAGAACTGCCTTGATTCTTCTTGGCATACTTTCAACAAGGTGTTGGAAACATTCCTCAGAGACTTTGGTCCATATTGATGTAGTGAAACTACACTTTGTTAATGAAATTATGAATAATAATATTTGGAAATATCATATCATAAGCACTTGTTCAAAAGAGGGCACCACCTGAAAAAGCATTAGCTGTCCACCCAAGGCTTTCAGGACTCCTTGGGTATAGCTAATAATTACAACAATTATTACTAGTGATCAGTTAGTTATTAATTGTTCAGTTATTCAGTGACTTGACGCTAAACAGTACACACACACACAAGTTACTGTGTGAAAATTTATTCGCTAACTAAAGTGAATACAAAGTGAGAATAAATATAGGAATATCAAGAAACAAACGACAAAAACAGAAAAGCAACCAGAATCCAACTAACGAGATATAGAGCAAATTAGGCTTAGGCTAATAGTTTCAATGTGAATTCAGTTTGCTATTGTTGAGAGAAATACGATTCTAAAGGAATCAGGGAACAAATGGACGCAAGTTATATGGTGATAACTGAGTAACCTTAGGCTATTGGTTTTAGGAGTGGAAGATAACTCGAACCGAAATAAAAGCTTTTAAAAGAAACTTGCTTGTTTTCTTAATTATAAGTTGCGTGAATTGAACGACCTATGACTTTAATAAAACAAAAGGTAAATTCACAGAGGGTTCGCGAGACCTTGTGGATATAGTCTAATTAAGTTACTGTGAAACAAAGGAAAACTTAGAAGAGTTTCTCCGGGCCAGACTTCTTGAATACAGGATGCTAGATACTGCAGGAGAGGCACTGGAGAGAAGGGCAAAAGAGCAAGAGAGCGAACAAAGGACTTTGCTATGTTTTTGTTTGTCACTTCTCCTGGGCGTGTCCCCTGGTAGGAGGGCTGTGTCCCTCCTAGTTTCTGTTTTTTAAACATTAATAATGTCTTAAAGTCTATTTGTGCATGTTTTCACATCACATATCTTTCCACAATATCAACTCTTTTCTTAAATACCATAAACAGTTATACAGTTGTTAGTTTTAAGCATTTGATAAAAGGAAAGGAAACTATTGTTAATCGTCTGTAACAATTACAATGGTTACAGTTAAAACAACAATTTATAGTGAACATAGCAGATGAGCAGAACAGCTTAACTGAATATTTCCAGGATACTATTGATTGTTCTACATTCTTATTTAAGAAACTATATAAGAGCTATCAGTTAACAATAAAACACAGACAGTGATTATACTTTCCACATCCGCGAGTAAAGAAGGGTCTGCTAGGGTCCCCGTAATGAAGAAATAGTCATCAGAGGGGGTATGGGTAGGGCTACCAGGGCATGTGTGGAAGGTGTCCGCCAAGCTGACCGTAGAATGTAGAATAAACAGAAGTAGGCCACGTCCGCAGGGTCCGCATCTGTCCGTGTCCTCCTCCGCTCCCGAGTATATTCGAGGCTTAAGAACAACAGCATGTTATAGCCTACGTCTTTTGTCCTCTGGGGACACTGGTTTCATATGGACCTGAAAATAATTCTGACTACTTAAACTTTATAGTTAATCCAATCCTTGGCCTAGGAGCTGGGAAAATTAATTGTATAACACAGGATAATATTTCTGTACCATATTATGAATCCATTTTCACATTTGTCTTTTTGGTACATAGATTTTGTTTAAGTCTGTAAAAGGAAATGAGTGGGTATCTTCTTCAAGATCATAAAGTGTTGTAACATTTAACAACCACATCTGTAGTCGTCTCAGTTCAGTCAGTCTCAGAGTAAACAAAGGGGACCCTTTTCTTTGATCTGTGGCTGTGTGTGTGTGTGTGTGTGTGTGTGTGTGTGTGTGTGTGTGTGTGTGTGTGTGTGTGTGTGTGTGTGTGTTTGAAGATCCAGTTTTGGGCCTTTAGTTTATTTCCTCTGTGCACTCAAACATCCGAAGAGACTGGTTCATTGTGAGGTTACATCTCTGGACAAGGTTAAATTGTCATTTCAACAGTCATGAGTAGAGTCAGTAATCTTAATATCTTTTGTATCTGTTATTTGTAGCTCAGTTTCAATTTCAGTAAAAAACAACTGCTTGAATTTACCCTCATACAGTATGTAAATAGTATAAGTAGACAAGTCATTTTTTGGGATTTAACCAGAGAAAGTTTTGATTTTGTTTCAGCAACATAAATCTATGGCAGTCAATTGACGATCAAAACTGACTCAACATTTAAGTGTCCTTATTCTTGTATGAATGTGGTCCCAGCATGGGTCAGTGTTTGAACGGCAAAACACATCACTGAAGATGATGTCAGACTACATTTTGAATGTATTTATCCTATAACTGTATAAAATGTGTCAAATTAAACAAGTTTATCATCTCACCATGAGAGTGACTGACTCTGAGTAGCATCAGCAACAGTCCAATCACAGCTTCCATGTCTGCTCAGTGTTCAGCCTCTGTTGACCCAGTCAGCAGCTCCCAGACAAAACTCTCTTCTCTAACATAGTTACATAGTTAAATTGTTTCTTTTTTGGTCTGTTTAACTGTGTTTATTGTTGATATACAATCGGGAGTCTGTAGGCCTACAAGGTATTTTATTTTGAAAATCAACCGGATTCTCTTTGCCGTTTCTGTGTCTAACTTCCTGCCTGGCTCATCTGCTTTGTGCCGCTTGACGCGTCTTCCATCAAAAGTAGACCAGCTGCCTATTCTTTGCGCTGTGGCGCTTCTAGTATCAGCACAAGCATTGACTACAATGGCAGCGATTAGGTAAGGCTGCCGTGGCGCAGCCGTAACGCGGCGCACACGCCGCCTGTGTGAGTCCGGGGTACTTCCTGTCGGCTCGGACGACCAATCACAGAGCTTACGGTCCGTGTCGACTTGACGTGTAGTTACATTTTTGAGGAGGTGCACGTCAGGTGACGGCGTAGCCTCTGCGTAGCCCCGTAGCCTACGCCGTCGATGTGACGCAGTAGGGTTTTAAGTATCTCACGAATGCTATGCGCCACCTAGTGACCTCTTTAAGTATTGCCCCATCACAGTAACAAGTAGAATACAATGAACTTGGCATTTTAGTAAGCATTTAAGACACAATGTCATAAAAAAAATTATATGGGTTTCTATTTTTAAACACATTGTTTATTTTAGAGATAAATGATAAACCAATGAATTGTACTATGTCAGTGACTTTTTAACATCTCTTATTTCCTAACTGTAAACACATTTTTTTTTAACCCTTTACACTAACAAACTACAAGTCTGCCTATTAGATTATGTTATTCTCTCACTAATTTGAAGCTGAGTGTTAAATACGTTAACTTGACACTGATGGACATCAGTGGTTATATTTTTTAATCAAAATTATTGCTAGGGACAATTCAGTAGTCACAATCCTCCTTTCTCTCTGTCATCTTGTTAGATTCTGTCTCCCTCCACTGGCAACTATTAAAGGCAAATAGCCTAAAACAGAGCTTTACAAAGTGGGTGCTGGACCTCCCCAGGGTGGCTCCAAACTGTTTCAGGGGAGGCTCAGTGAATGGAAATTAAAAAATATTAAATTGACATTACAGTATTTTGTGTCAAGGACAATTATCTTCCTCCCATTGCCTCTCCACAGGCTTGCCACCTTCAACTAAACCTCTCTAAGACTGAACTCTTAGTCATTCCAGCCAAGCAATCTATGCACCATAACATCAAACTACAAATTGACTCCTCAACCACCACTCCAACCAGGGTGGTGAGAAACTTGGGTGTCATGATTGATGACCATGTTACTGCGGTCTCTCGGTCGTACCACTTTGCTCTATACAACATAAGAAAAATCAGGCCCTACCTTTCTCAGTATGCCACCCAGCTTCTGGTACAGGCCATGGTTATCGACTACTGCAAAGCACTCCTAGTAGGTCTTACAGCTTGTGCAGTGAAACCCCTACAAATGGTGCAGAACGCAGCAGCGCATCTGGTTTTCGATCAGCCCAAAAGGACCAACGGCGTCGGCAGGTCATTTTTTCAGTGCTTTAGCCGTGAATGTCTTGACAGTAGCCCCGAATGTAACTCGATAACAACATCAAATATTTTTCGTATGTAATAATCATTATGACGCAGCCTGTCTCTGAGGTTTTTAAAGAACGGAGACTGCTCGCAATAATATTGGTACATTTAGTTTGAAGTTCACATAACGTGACCCCCCACTGTTACTCAGCCTGTCTGCATTTAGAGTGTATTTGCTACACAAACGGTTAACAGCAAAGTAGTGAGAGAATTACATGACACACCTGACGGTGACACAGACACCTGTCGCTCTGTGTCCTGCTGTCTCTGTCCTCCTTGCTCAGAGACACCTCTGCTCTGTTTGGGACTGTCTCACTGCTCCAGGATGCTTCCCTCTGAAGCGACTGTGAGCTGCACTTTATCAGAAGTGCTGAAGTTAACATTTGTGTGGATGTGCAGGCTTGTGAGATTTATGTCTGATCACAAGTGTTTTCAGTTTCAGTTTTCTACCTGAAATAATGGATGAAGAGCAGTGTGCTCTGCGTCTGTCAGACAGTCTAAAGGGGATCACCACTACCATATCAGCAGAGCAATAACGCATGGTAATGCAAAGCAGAGGGGACAGTAGATTTTGTTAAAATATTATGAATTCATTCTAATTAGATTGCGATTTTATTCTTGTAATCAAAATCTTCAAAAGTGAAAACATGAAAGATTTCTGGGCTGGGCTAAACCTCTGCAAGGAGGTCTCGGTACACTTATTTGGTCTGCTTTTGCTGCGCACCCCAGTGCGATTGCTGCATTCACACCTGCCCAAACGAAATCTAGTGCGATTCAACCGAACTAAATGAGCAGGTGTGAAAGCACCCTAAGCTTCAGCACACAGTAAC